TTCTTCTCTCTCCTCTCTCGCCTCATGGTGAATGCTGCAGCTACTGTAGACTCCAAACAACAGTTTGGTGACTTTGCTGTGATTGTGTTGAAGGACATGGTCATACCCAACTGTGTGTGGCAAGCAGGTCGGACGTCGGGGGCCATCAGGACAACAGCTGTCTCCTGTGCTTGGGCTCTGCTGCAGAGTGGTGTGCTCACCAAGGAAAAGGTAAAGGATGGGATCAACATATACTACTCAAAAGAAGTTAAGGATCACCTGATTCTTTCATATTACTATAGTTAATCTCTCATGCCATGACAGATTAACATTACCATATGAAAGAATCGGGTGATCCTTAACTTCTTTTGAGTAGTATATATGAAATTTAATTCCATTTGCTTTTGCCGAATGAAATCCACATGTTCATGGTAGTGATTCAGGTACATCTCAAGCATCCAGTGGGAATTTCTGTGTAGAATAGATCCTCAACAACCCATGCTTGTCGTAAGGGTTGTTGATAGGGTGGATTGGATAGGGTGATCAGACTCTGTGACTTGGTCATTTGTATGCTATTGTACCCCAATGGCATGGGACATTGCTCAGATAACACTAAAAGTAATTTAAATGTTGTGTGTTCGGTCTTTTTAATGACATCTTAGAGATAGCCCAGTGATGTATCAGATTTGCTTAATTAGCGGACAATTCTGTAAGTTTATATGTAATCATTGTAATGAAATTAATCGGGATATGCAGGGTTTAAATGGAAATGAAATTATTTCTTTCAAATTCATTAAACTTTTGACAAGACAAAAGCAGTGCCTAAAGACTTTGTGCTTTGTAGTATTATACTCTGGTTCATGGGAATCACTTCGTGGGTGCAACAGTTTAATGGTATTCTTGATATTCTTTTAGGAATATGCCACCTGAGTGTGTCATGTGTAACATTTTGTGTCATCTGCAGATGTTGCCGGTGGTGGAGGACTTCCTGACTCAGCTTATCAGCACCATCAATGACGGCAACAAAAGTACGCGTCTCATCAGCTGCCGAGTCCTCACCCGCCTTCTGGACCTGATGGGCACGTCCCTCTCACAGGACAGACTTCACAACATGTACCCAGAACTGCTCAAACGACTTGACGACAGCAGTGATGAGGTTCGACTCATAGTGGCAAAAACCTTCCTGGCCTATTTTGACTGCTTTGAGAGTGGTTATGATGTTGGCCTGTATCGTGCGCACCTTGAAGCTGTTTACAGAGGCCTTTTGGTTCATCTTGATGACCCCGAGACGTCCATACAAGAGGCCATCCTAGGTCAGTTGCACTCTGCTACTCTATGTAAATTGTACGCATTCAGTTTATTGATGAATCAGGATGTGTCATCACTAATCTCATTTAATTAATTTTAGTGGGAATTCGTTTGTTGTTTAACGTCGCACTCAGCAATATTCCAGCTATATGATGGCGGTCTTTAAATAATCACGTCTCGACCAGACAATCCAATAATCGAGCATCGATCTACGCAATTGGGATGTAATGACATGCATCATCCAAGTCGTCAAGCCTGACCACCCGGATCCCTTTAGTCGCCTCTTACGACAAGCAGAGTTGCCTTTTACAGCATGCATGGGTTGGTGAAGACCTCGTTAGTGGGAATTCAGTCTTTTTTTGCTTCCATATTAATATAATGAATGGGTGGCCTTTTGGTGGAATGTGTTGAGATTCACAGTTCTGGATCCACTAGGGGTTGGGATTGCAGATCCACGAGCATGGGATTTGGATCACAGATTCACTTATATTATGATACTTGGTAAGCTCCATGGACTTGCTTGTTTCACCAAGGTGGTAACGGCCATAACCTGCTTCATTTGGGGCTTTTTCCTTGGGTAGAACTAGGATAGTGTTCTAAGAGGCACAGATGCCCCTAACTGAATATTTTAAGTTCAGTACCTCAGTATTTTGTTTGTGTTTCAGATGTACTGAAGCGTTCAGCACAAATCAGCCCTTCTATGTTGGTGACCGAAGTGGACAGTGTGAAACATAAACATCGGACAGGCAAATATTGTGATGAACTTGTCAAATTTGCTAACAGTCTGGACCAATAACACCATCATTACTGTGTACGAAGACCATCTCATCATCAGCAACTTACAGTGTCATGCTAGTGTTGCGATTAACAGCATGACATTGATTCATATTTATACTGCCAACACTGAATGAAAGAAAGAATAAATTTCAAAATGAACCTACTTGCCTTTTTCTTGTATTTTTATCATGCTTATATTCTGAATAGGTTGTCAATAAACCCTGTCCCATCAAACCCATCTGGTCTTTCAGCGTGTGAAGCTACAAGGCCCACAGCTATATTCATTTGTTCATATACATCTATAACCACTCCCGAAAAAGACTGACAAAAGACATTCTATTTTATTCACATACACATTAACATGATTAAAATGATTCTGACAATGGTTATGTTTTACCTAAATTGTTTAAACAACCCCACTTTGAAACAATCTGTGTTTTATGCTGCTGATGTTACAACTAGTCTTCCTCAACCATCAAGCTGGAAGAAATGAAATACAACTCAGTTGCAATGTGCAGGCGTTGGACACAGAAAATTTTCACACCATGACTGAGGTTGGTATCTCGATCACATCACTCCGTGTCAACTTCATGTGGGAGGAAAACCTGAAGTGATGCAAATCTTAGAGACTAACCACATTGATGAAATCCACAAGTATGGGTATGGTGCTGATAAACCTAGATGCCTAACCAGGTTGAGTCTGGGATTCGAACCCACATGCACATGTATCAAAAACACATGATAGGGGACACAGGTTCATATATAAGATGTCTGAAAAATGGTTGTGTGCACAACCTCTGGATCCAGCAGTGGAAATCTATACAAGCCATAACATGAACATTAGCAGAATCATGGACAGATCATCTGTGTTACTCCACTTTACACAGCAGCCATGTGGGGAGATGCTTCACTGTCACATGTACAAGAGCTGTGAGGTGAGGTGAGGTGAAATGGGGTTTAATGTCACGTTCAAGATTATTGCACTTATACAGGAACATGCATGTGCCTGCTTTTACTAGTCTGGACTAATGCCAGTTTTATAGTGCTAGCCCACAGAGATAACATCTGGCAGTTAAACATGGATACCCCACTCAGACATATTTAAACAAATATTGTGTAATGAATGTTGATATACACTGAAAGGCAAAAGAAACGTCACTTCTGAAAATACTGATAAAACTTAACAGACACTGGCAGTCACCTGTTCTGTGCTCAATAAACTCATTTATCAATCTACTGCTTCTTTTTGTTGCCTTAAAGTCCATTGAACAATTGAGTTTAAAATGGAGTGCTTTGCCTAAACGCAGCCTACAAAAGTGCAATGGGACTTAGTTGCGGAAAAGTCTTGTCAAAAACATGATGCACGTGCATATCGTGGATAGTATGGGTATAAAAGACACCCAAAACTGTTAAGCTGGCTTTTGTTATTTTGATTCATCAGCCATGCCAAGATTATCAGGAAATGAGAGACAACAAGCGATCGGAAGACTGCAAGCAGGCCAGAGTGCACAGGTCGTTGCAAATGCACTCAATGTCAACGTCAGAACGATATATAGTTTGCAACATCGCCACAACACCACCGACGACCGACCGCGTAGTGGTTGTCCTAGAGTCACTACTCCCAGACAAGATCGGTTCATGATACGCCAACATCTGCAGAACCGATTCCGAATGGCCACTGAAACAGCTTGGCAAACCACCAGTGTGCCATCAGTGATCGTACAGTCCAACGTCGTCTAACTGCCAACAACTTCTCGTGCCACCATCCTACTCGTGTACCTATCCTGAGATATCGTCACCGACTGGCCCGACTGCAATGGGCCAGGCAGCATCAAAATTGGCGTCAACAACAATGGAGAAGAATCATCTTCACTGATGAAAGTCGCTACTGTGTTTCAACGGTGGATGGCAGAGTCAGGGTCTGGCGAAGGAGGGGGGAACATTATGTTGATGCTTGTGTTATGGAACGAGACCCGTGGGGCGGCCAAAGCATCATGGTTTGGGGTGGAATCGGACTAAACCAGAGAGTGGGACCTGTGGTCTTTCAGAATATTGGTCCAGGCAGGGGTAATGACATCACAGCTCTTCGCTACATTGACCAAGTCCTCAGACCCTATATCGTGCCTTTTTTTGCCCGTCATCAAAACCACACCTTTCAGCAAGACAATGCCCGTCCCCACACTGCCAGAGTCACCAGGGACTTTCTCCAGCAGCACAACATCCAAATCATGCCTTGGCCTGCCCTCAGTCTGGATTTGAATCCCATTGAACACTTGTCGGATGAGATCCAACGCCGACTCAACGACGTACGCCCAAGGCCGACAACTGCAGCAGAACTGCGTGTAGCGTTCCTGAAGATATGGGCCCATATCCCAATGGCCTTCATCAACAGGCTAGTCCACTCCATGTACAGGAGATGTGTGGCTGTAGCAGAGACCATATAATAGATGGTCTCTGGCTGTAGACAACGCCCGTGGTGGCCACACCAGGTACTGATTTTGAACCCCCCAGCTGTGATGTCTTCTGGTGCATCCCCAAATTCACAATTTGCAAAAACATTCCCCAGACTGTTAATTTCATGTGGGTCAAACACTGACTTTCCCCGATGTCTTTACTTACTTATATAAGCATTTGAAAATAAAGATATTTATATGATACATCAACATGACGTTTCTTTTGCCTTTCAGTGTACATATAAGTCTTCCTATCATATTTCAACTTGTGTCAAAATTATGTTCTGTGAATAATTTCAAAGGTATCCTTCATGCAAGGGGTCAAAAACTATTCTTGTAGCTTCAGAGTGAGTGAGTGAGGTTTGATGCCATGTTTGGCATTATTCCAGCAATACTGTGGGGAATCGACCCCGGGTCTGGCGTGACAATTAAACACTTTAACCACAAGGCTACCCCACTGCCAGGAACAGATAAGAACACATGTTGCAGGTTTCAAGCTTTATTAGCTTTCTTCTATGTAGATAGAGGTCAACAACTAACAGTTTAACAAGTATCCCCTCGTTGTGGAGGGTTTGCATTGCAGTATAAACATTACCTGACAGTGTCATGAATAGTCACAAAACATATCCACTCTAAACAGTTGACAGTTGGTAAATAAGGACTTGATTATAGACACAACCAGAAGCGCACTTGCGTCAAGGCAGTAGTGGTAGGCAGGCACCTCACTGCCAACAGAAGCTCCAAAGTGTTAAATTGATACAGTTACTTTGTTTCTGTGATAACGGTGTCTCAACTGAACTGACCTGAATGATTCAGACAGAAGCAAGAATGTTCAAATACATGAAGAAAGGATCAACCCTTCCACCAGAATCTCGGCCCCAAACCAGTAACTGCAGTTTATTTTCTCAAAGCATAAAATGACAACATAATTATGTTTTATTAAAATGATGAGCGTGTGACTATCCCTAAAAAGTGATGTTTTTTTCTGGGATCAAGAAAATGACATTAATCAATATAAGGCATATAAGAGAGGGTTTAATAACAAGTGTGTTCATTCCTACACAATACATCTGACAATGAAATAAATAGTTTTTACAAAGACAAGTAGATGTAATGGACGGGGAGACTATCTGCTTGCCTGGACTATATGTAACAGGGCAGTAACAAAATCTGTTCATGTGGGCATGCAGAGTTACCTGCCCCTCAAACGACTTCTGTAATATACACTGTATTTTCAGTAATGGGAATATTTGCACTAAGTATGTCAAAAATATCATTTCTGTCTGTACAAATGTAATATAGCATTTAATTATTCTATACAAACATCACTTGCAGTATCTGTACTCACATTAAAACAAATGTTCCTACATTCAAATGTTCTACATGAATTATATACAAATTCACAGCCATGATAGCCTTCACATCAAAATATAGAGATATAAAAGCATAATATAAAATGTTCCTGAAATGTAACTACAACATTGTTCCTCTTGTTGTCCTCTTATCAAAACTTCCTCCTGGTGAAGACGCATGGCCATTTATATCACTGGGCTTTCACCAACATTGATGTGGTTGGTGTGGGAGGTCCTATCTGGCAGCACTCCGTGGTCGGCCTGCCAGGAAGGGAGTGGAGGCCGTGACTGAAACAGACATCCATCATACATCATGTGTGTCTTACATGTGTCTTTATTACATAGCATGTGTCTTACATGTGTCTTTTTATTACATAGCATGTGTCTTACATGTCTCTGTTTATTACATAGCAAGTGTCTTACATGTGTCTCTTTATTACATAGCATGTGTCTTACATGTGTCTTTATTACATAGCATGTGTTTATTTTACATAGCATGTGTCTTACATGTGTCTCTTTATTACATAGCATGTGTCTTAAATGTGTCTTTATTACATAGCATGTGTCTTACATGTGTCTCTTTATTACATAGCATGTCTTACATGTGTCTTTATTACATAGCATGTGTCTTACATGTGTGTTTATTACATAGCATGCGCCTAACATGTGTCTTTATTACATAGCATGTGTATTAAATGTGTCTTTATTACATAGCATGTGTCTTACATGTCTCTGTTTATTACATAGCATGTCTTACATGTGTCTTTATTTTACATAGCATGTGTCTTACATGTTTCATTATTACATAGCATGTGTCTTACATGTGTGTTTATTTTACATAGCATGTCTCTTACATGTGTATTTTTATTACATAGCATGTGTCTTACATGTCTGTTTATTACATAGCATGTGTCTTACATGTGTCTCTTTTTTACATAGCATGTGTCTTAAATGTGTCTTTATTACGTAGCATGTGTCCTACATGTAAGTTTATTACATAGCATGCATCTTACATGTGTCTTTTTATTACATAGCATGTGTCTTACATGTGTCTGTTCATCATGAAGATGGTTACAGTGGATGAAGCATGACAGAAGACTGACGTCCGACGCCATGCATAGAGGCCATGACAAAGTACAATATACTCTCCAAAGCTAATCTTACTTTTTTCATTAGATTTCTCGGAACTTGCTGTCTTGGCATTGTACAAAGCTCTGTAAAGAAAAACAGAGGACATGTCAACATTACACAATCCTTATTTCATTAACTCCACTGAAATTGCTATATTGATATGTCGTTTCCATATTGAAACAAGTCAAGTCCAAGTCCGTACCAAGGATGTTGTTTGTTTGTTTGTTTGTTGTTTAACGCCGCACCAAGCAATATTCCAGCTATATGACGATGGTCGGTAAATAATCGAGTCTGGACCAGACAATCCAGCGACTGATATCATGAGCATCGATCCACACAGTTGGAACAAGATGACATGCAGTCAACGAGCCTGACCACCCGATCCCCCTAGTTGCCTCTTATGACACTCATAGTCACCTTTTACGGCGGGCAGGGTTTGCTGAAGACCTATTCTACCCCGGATGTTCACAGGTCCGAAGGATGTAGTTTAGTACATGTATACTCTAGAGTTGACAGTTGTGCATGGACATACCTGAATGTCCTGGCCTGCGCAAGGTACTTCCTGGACGTGGCAATCTCGTTACCAAGCCGACGCAAATCGTCTCCCTCAAACTTGGGGAGGTGGGGGTACTGGAATAGACGTCACAGTTGGGAAAGTGAAGTAGATAAATGAATAGTGTTTTAAGCCTTCCTCAGCAATATGTTAACTTTACTCTGATATAAAATAGGGGGGCATAGCCAATATTTGGGGGGCATAGCCAATATTTATCACAACTATATGGGAAAGGGGCACGAAAAAATCAGACATTTCTATTTTTCCAATTAAATTTTTATACACATGAACATTCATTGGGGACTGCTCATTAATTATACAAAGGGGGTAGGTTGGGGGACTGGGGGTGTAATGAAAAAATGTTACATAAAATTGGGGCTTGAGGGTGTGGAGTAGGGAGTGGGCTGGTCCCAGCTAAATATGATAACGTCCTAAGACCAATCCCACCAGCCCACCCACTCCTATAATAAACGACCAGTCCCTTACATCCAAACATCCTAATCATTAAACAGGATGAAATCTGACCAGCCCAGAAACACTGATGACAGTATACTCCTAGGAGGTGGGGAACTAACCTCTGCATCTTGAAATCCCTCTGATAGAAGTTTGTGAGCAAAAAGATGTGCATCGAAGTCCTCATGACATCGGTGGTACCTGCCGCCGGTCTCTGTGGCCAGGAGATGCAGGAAGCTGTTGGCGGTGCTGGAGACAAGGAGCAGATGCAGTGTTACCCCATCATACATAAACCATGTGAGATTCTGTGATCATTCACTAGATTTGTTTCCATCTTTTTAGTAGTTCAAGATCACACTTAGCAATATTCCAGCTATATGACGGTGTGCCAGTGACTGATATCATGAGCAATGATCAACACAGTCGGACTACGATGAGATGCAATGAACCAAGTCAGTGAGTCTGACCATCCTATCCACTATGGCCGCCTCTTACAACAAGCACACAGGGGAACTATTTTAAGCGTGAATCCCTACCCGGCTCACAACATAGTCTTGGTTTATTCACCTGTCTGAGCACTTGAAGGATATCGTGTTGACCGTGATTAGCCGATCGGAGTTCATTCGGCCAACCTCCTTCAGCACCAGAGCTGTACTGGTGTCCGGCTTCCCATCAGTCAGCAGGTACACGGAGTCAAGGTCAGGGTCACAGAATGCCAGCTGGAATAAACATTTCAAGAGGTCATTTGACTAATGACAGCTGAACACATTGCCAGTGAAATCTCAAATCGCTTCTTGTTAGACACTTCCTTCACCAGTAAGTACAGAGCACTGACACACCCACACTTGTGTTGCTGCTGGCCGCTATAACCTAGAGTGACACACACTGACACAGAAGTGACCTCATCAAACATATTCGGTAAAGTTAAAGATTAAGACAGTACCTAGATTCAAAAACCACAGCAGCAAACCTCAAGGGCACCACTACCCCCATTAATTTAATCATCGGACTAATTTTTCTTAAGGACACATACTCTACAAATGCATTAAATAAAGTTTCATAAATGTCAGGAAGGGGACACAAAACACAGCAGCATCCAAACTGTACCTGGAGGGCTTCCAGGGTACAGGTGTTGCCCTCGGCAACCAACTGGGACGTCCACTTGACTGCATCATGGCAGTTCTCTTCTGTAGGCTCCTGGATGCTGCTCTTCCACTTGGCACACGTCCCAGAAAAACTGATGAGGTTGAATCTACACAAGACAAAACATTCTGAATTACTGAAACAAACACATTGGCAATGTAAAGCAATACCCAGGAATCAGACATTTGACACAATAGCACTACTTCTGCATACCTATATACTATACATACAGACAAGGAGTGAGGTGAGGTCAGGTGAGGTGAAATTGGGTTTAACGTCGCGTCAAAGATTATTGCACTTATGTAGCAACGTGCATGCACGTGTGTGTGTGGCTGCTTGTACTAGTCCGGACTGATGCCGATTTATAGTGCTTGCACACTAAGATACCATGCCGCAGATTACCATGCATACCCCACTGACTCCAAGCCGACCAGTCCTTGTTTAAGCCCCTTAATGCTGAGCGCCAGACAGGGTAACAACAAGTACCATTTTTATACGTCTTTTGGTATGACGTGGCCGCGGATCAAAACCCCGACCTTCTGCTCTCGGGGCAAACGCTCTACGACTAGACCATGGAGGCGGTCAGACAAGAAGTGAATCAATATATACCATATAACTGGGAAGCTAAATATAGCAAAAAAACAAATGCCATGTTATACCACAACACATGAGTGTCAAATCAAACCAGGCTCTATGATTCTTTACTACCAATGATCAAGACAATCCATTAAGTTGCCTCTCAGTGTGTCAAACATAAAGGGATTATAACATTTACATGTGTGGCATACTAATGCTGAAAAAAATCCATGTTTCCCTTGCTTCTATTTGGAAAGTAGAAGAACTCTCCCGCTGTTAAATAAAAGCAATACCTGTGAAGATCCAGGTCAGAATGATCTTCAGGCACCTAAGCTTGCCGTAAAAGGCAACTATGCTTGTCGTAAGAAGTGACTCGGATGGTCAGGCTAGCTGACTTATTTGATGCATGTTATTATATCCTAATTGCGTGAATCGATATTCATGATATTAATCACTGGATCATCTGTTCCAGACTAGATTATTTATAGACTGCTATCATATAGCTGGAACATTGCTGAGTGCAGCGTTAAACAACAAACAACCAAACAAACAAACAAACAAATAAAGCAATGTGAAACCCACACATGTACTACTATCTATGCCTCCCAGTCAGTATAGTATAACACATGAGTGATGGACAAGACAGACTTACTTGATCCGGAGGCGATGCAGCTGTTCCCAGATGAGAGCGGCCATCTCCTTCTTCAGCTCCTCCATGAAGGGGTTCATGGAGCCCGAGGTGTCAATCAGCACCACGCAACGCTTCTCGATGATCGACCCAAACACACGCCGGCTACCTACAACACACACAGCATCTCATCAATGTCGAGTATTCTTGATTCACACCAATGAAATGTGAGTTTAGTTTGTGTAATAGTTCACTCATGCTATTGTTTCACTTAGCAGACATACTGTTACATTGATACAAGAGCATGTAAGTGTGTGACAAGAGCATAACAGCATGTTACAAGAGCATAACAGTATGATAAGAGCATGACAGTGAGTGACAAGAGCATAACAATGTGTGACAAGAGATCAGCAGCAGTCAAGAGCATAACAGTATGTGACAAGAGCATGTCAGTGTGTGACAAGAGCATGTCAGCATGAGACAAGAGCATAACAGCATGATAAGAGCATGACAGTGAGTGACAAGAGCCTAACAGTCTGTGATAAGAGCATGACAGTGAGTGACAAGAGCCTAACAGTCTGTGATAAGAGCATGACAGTGAGTGACAAGAGCCTAACAGTCTGTGACAAGAGCATGACAGTGAGTGACAAGAGCCTACCAGTCTGTGATAAGAGCATGACAGTGAGTGACAAGAGCCTACCAGTCTGTGATAAGAGCATGACAGTGAGTGACAAGAGCCTAACAGCCTGTGACAAGAGCATGACAGTGAGTGACAAGAGCCTAACAGTCTGTGATAAGAGCATGACAGTGAGTGACAAGAGCCTAACAGTCTGTGATAAGAGCATGACAGTGAGTGACAAGAGCCTAACAGTGTGTGACAAGAGCATAACAGTGTGTAACAAGAGCATGTCAGCATGTGACAAGAGCATAACGGTGTGTAACAAGAGCATGTCAACATGTGACAAGAGCATAACAGTGTGTAACAAGAGCATGTCAGCATGTGACAAGAGCATAACAGCATGTGACAAGATCATGTTAGTGTGTGACAAGAGCATAACAGTGTGTGACAAGAGCATAACAGTGTGTGACAAGAGCATAACAACACATGACAAGAGCATAACAGTGTGTGACAAGAGCATGTCAGTGTGTGACAAGAACATGTCAGTGTGTGACAAGAGCATATCAGTGTGTGACAAGAGCATGACTGTGTGTGATAAGAGCATAACAGTGTGTGACAAGATGTCAGTGTGACAAGAGCATAACAGTGTGTGACAAGAGCATAACAGTATGTGACAAGAGCATATCAGTGTGTGACAAGAGCATATCAGTGTGTGACAAGAGCATAACAGTGTGTGACAAGAGCATAACAGTGTGTGACAAGAGCATAACAACACATGACAAGAGCATAACAGTGTGTGACAAGAGCATGTCAGTGTGTGACAAGAACATGTCAGTGTGTGACAAGAGCATGACTGTGTGTGATAAGAGCATAACAGTGTGTGACAAGATGTCAGTGTGACAAGAGCATAACAGTGTGTGACAAGAGCATAACAGTATGTGACAAGAGCATATCAGTGTGTGACAAGAGCATATCAGTGTGTGACAAGAGCATATCAGTGTGTGACAAGAGCATGTCAGTGTGACAAGACCATAATAGTGTGTGACAAGAGCATGTCAGTGTGTGACAAGAGCATGTCACAAGAGCATAACACTGTGATAAGAGCATAACAGCATGTGACAACAGCATAACAGCACGTGACAAGGGCAGAACAGCACGTGAAAAGAGCATTAATATGTGGGACAAGAGCATAACAGTACCTAAAAGATCATGAGTGAGTGCGACAAGAGCATGAGACATACCATTGAGAAGCCACTGCAGACGTTTGATGTATCGCCGCAGGACCTTCTCCAGTTGCTCTTCGTAGTCCTTCAGTTCGTGTGGCAGTAGCTGCAGGTGCTTGATGGTGCCCTTGATGTTGATGGAGGGGAAGATGTCACAGTATCTGCACATACACAATGTCAAGGTCACTGTCATCATAAGATCACACAACACAATCAGCTTCAAATGATACCACTGGTGCTACTGGTCCTACTGGTCCTACTGGTGCAACTGGTGCTACTGGTCACACTGACCCTACTGGTGCAACTGGTGCTACTGGTCCTACTGGTGCTACTGGTCACACTGACCCTACTGGTGCAACTGGTGCTACTGGTCCTACTGGTGCTACTGGTCACACTGACCCTACTGGTGCAACTGGTGCTACTGGTCCTACTGGTGCTACTGGTCACACTGACCCTACTGGTGCAACTGGTGCTACTGGTCCTACTGGTCCCACTGACCCTACTGGTGCTACTGGTCCCACTGACCCTACTGGTGCTACTGGTGCTACTGGTCCTACTGGTCCTACTGTAGTAGCATGTAGCAGTAGATGACATGTTCACATCATGCCAAGAATGTCCACTTGGATATTTTGTTTGTTTGATTGATATCATGAGCATCGATCCTAGCTATTGGGATCGATGATATGCATCGACCAAGTGAGCGAGCCTGACCACCCGATCCTGTTAGTCGCCTCCTATGACAAGCATAGTCGCCTTGTACAGCAAGCATGGGTTGCCGAAGACCTTTTCTACCCCAGATGGTCCAACTTGGATATAATGAACTTTCCTATAATATAAGAAATAGAAGCCTTATGTTGTGCAGACACTGTAGACACAGGCACAGGCCACAGAGATCTAGACTGGACACAGCTACTAGCCCCTAAAAAACAGATCCTGATGTGCAGACACTGTCTTTGACATCAGCATAAGGCTGGAGAGACCAGACCCTCCGTCATAGGAGGTGTAATGGGTTTAACGTCGCATTCAAGATTATTGCACTTATATAGCAACGTGCATGCATATGTGAGTGTATGCGACTGCTTGTACTAGTCGCAGTTCAACATGGATACCCTATTCAGACACAGTGTAGCCCTGAATGTCGAGCACCAGACAGGGAAACAACCATCTTTTGACATTTTTTGGTATGATGCAGCCGGGGTTTGAACCACCAACATTCCACTCTCCAGGTCAGTCTTCGTCAGTGGAGAGGTGGAGCCTCAACTAACTGCAGCTGTTGCAGATGACTCGGGTCGAAGTACCACATAGAACTTACTTTGCTGACACATTCTTGTGAAGAGACTTGACAGACTTCTCTTTGTGTTTACAGTCAGGGCCTGACACCATCTTGGCAAGGTCGAGCTTCAGTTTCCCCAGGCCAAACAAGCGCAGCCACTAAACAGAACCAGACACAATGGTACAATAGTGAGTGAGTGAGTGAGTTGGGTTTAACGCCACTTATAACAGTATTCCAGTTATATCAGTGTCAGTTTAATGTGTGAGGAAAGCCCAAAGTGATGCAGGTCTCAGACGTTTACCACGTTAGTTAAATCCACAAGCATGGGTATGGTGACAAACCAAGAAACATCGAACCAGGATTCGAACCCAATACAACAGGAACAAGCAACAGTGTGACAGGAATCCCTGCTGAACATCTGTTATGGCATGACAGATTAACTATAGTATTATGAAAGACTCAGGTGGTCCTTAACCTTCTTTGAGAAGTATATCTACCCAATGCTTCTCTACATACAACATACCTCCTTAGATGAGACGGCATCTTCGTTTTCCGGTATCTGAGTCCGACCGATGCTTTTCCTGTTGACCTTCGTGTTCTGATACTTGGTATACACAGCCCCTGCAACACATGATCAGGCTTACCTTCACATCCATGAACCACAATATCAGCTGCATCCTATCAAACATCACTTGTCATGGTCTTATTTCTCATATATACCCATCCCCACCCTAATGTTTTGTAGCAGTAGCAAATCTTTAACAGATGTAAGAACAGATTCATGAAAGAGTGAGTGAGTGAGTTGGGTTTAACGCCGCTTTTAACATTATTCCAGTTATATCGCGACGTGTCAGCTTAATGTGGGAGGAAAGCCCGAAGTGATGTTTGTCTCAGATGTTTACCATTTCGGTGAAACCCACGAGCACGGGTATGGTGCTGACAAACCTAGAAACATAATCGGGGAGAACCGGGATTCGAACCCACAATCATAGGTTTCTGGCGTGCCCAAGGGACGCAACTCTGCACAGCGAATCGCGGTGCCTTAGACGACTGGGCCACCCGTGCCCCCAGATTCATGAAAGAGTGAGTGAGTGAGCTGGGTTTAACGCCACTTTTAACATTATTCCAGTTATATCGCGACGTGTCAGCTTAACGTGGGAGGAAAGCCCGAAGTGATGTTTGTCTCAGATGTTTACCATTTCGGTGAAACCCACGAGCACGGGTATGGTGCTGACAAACCTAGAAACATAATCGGGGAGAACCGGGATTCAAAACCACAATCATAGGTTTCTGGCGTGCCCAAAGGACACAACTCTGCACAGCGAATCGCCTTAGACAACGGGGCCACCCATGCCCCCGGATTCATGAAAGATATATCTGCAAAGAGTATTTAACAGTAATATATGCACGTGCGGATCCAGAGTGGGCATGCAGGGGGTGAGCACCCCCTCCTTCTTTCAAATACCTTACATGTTAACTGCGCCCAAGGTACTATGCGCACCCTCTTTTCCCAGTCCTGAACCCACATCTGAATAAATGTCATATTTAGGGAATTATTTCCCATAATCAAATAGAAATAGATTAAATGAGTGAGTGAGTGAGTATGGTTTTACGCCGCTTTTAGCAATATTCCAGCAATATCACGGCGGGGGACACCAGAAATGGGCTTCACACATTGTACCCATGTCGGGATTCGAACCTGGGTCTTCGGCATGACGAGCGAACACTTTAACCACTAGGATACCCGACCGCCCCAAATAAGATTAAAAAAAATAAAAACTATATACTTCAACAAAATCCCTTTAGTAAATGAAGCATGTAGTGGATTTGTTTCAGGGACCCACCCATGTCATGCTTGGTGTCCATGAAAAAGTGGGCGGACTGTATCCTCCGGGGCGCTGTCTTCACTCTCTGCATGGGATCCTTGGCTGACATGGGGCGCTCTCTCTGGGCTGGTTGGAAGAAAATAATAATGACAACAATAATAATAACTTAAATATATTTATAATGTGACATATACCAAGTGAACTCATGGCGTTCATGCCATTATAATCCCCTGTCAATGGACCAAGTCCGCATTCGATTTTCATTCCTAATCCATAGGGAGTATACATCCCAAGCTAGAAGTTTAACAGTCACATTACCATCTCATCCTATCAGGTACCCATTCACTGCTCGATGAACAGAGGGACTGTGGAACATAGTCACTTGTCTAAGGAGACATCACATGTAACATTTGCTTCAGTGTGGGGCGGGACTGAAGACCGAGAAACTAGAAAGAGAATTGTTCTGCAAAAGGTCATCTTTATCCAAAGCTAGTTGTCATGGTTACAGCGTACTCACATCTGGGTGTTGAGCGCACCTCCCTTGCACTGGATGCACTGGTGGGGCGCCACTTGATGGCCCTGGTCGTGTTGGGCGACGCATCCCAGCTCTCCTTCTGTCCCTCCGTAATCTGTACAACAGACACACCCAAAATGTAACCATGGTAACACTGCCATACTCAACATGTAACATTGGTATACACAGCATGTAACCACGGTAACATAACCATATTCAACATGTAACCATGGTAACACTGTCATAAACAACATGTAATCATAGCATCCCTGACATACACAACATGACTGTAACCATGGTAACACTACCATACTCAACATGTGACATTGGTATACACAGCATGTAACCATGATAATCCTACCATATTCGAAATGTAACATTTGCCATACCCAACATGTAACTATGGTATCACTACTATACGCATCATGTAACACTGCCACACACTGCCATGCAGGCAGAGAGGGGAACTAATGTTACAGCCCACCAACCTGTCTGGTCCTGGTGCGGGAGGTGGAGGGTCTGGGCGGAGGAGGGGGGAGGGCGTTGGTGCTGTACTCTCCCTTGTAGTAGTCGGAGTCTGGCGGGGCCAAAGCCTTGATCTGCTCCATGTATGGATGTTGCTGCAAGTTAAGTAATTACAGTGAATAGGCTGTCATGATGTTGCCAGTATCACAGATGTCACCGGAACTATCCACCAACTGAATCTCAGTCATTCTTACAAGTGAATGTTCTCCCAGTATACAAGCACATAACTTTATTACAGCCCTATCTCTCTGGCCTGAAAGTATTCAAGTGTAGATCAGATGAAACAAATGTTGATAGCAAGAGCAATGCAACATGAGTGAGTGAGTGAGTATGGTTTTACGCCGCTTTTAGCAATATTCCACCAATATCACGGCGGGGGACACCAGAAATGGGCTTCACACATTGTACCCATGTCGGGAATCGAACCCGGGTCTTCGGCGTGACGAGCGAACGCTTTAACCACTAGGCTACCCGACCGCCCCTGCAATGCAACATGAAGCAGTGCTCAGTAACATACATTTATCCCCAGTTGTCAGCACAGGATGGCCCAGCTGTCTAAAGCAAGGCAACGCTCCATGCAGAGTTGTGTCCCTTGAGGGTGCCACAAACCTTTGATTGTGGGTTTGAATCCAAGTTCACCCGGATTTTGTGTCTAGGTTTGTCAGCACCAAACCAATGTTTGTGTGTTTTACAGAAGTGTTAATCATTTAAAACCTGCATCACTTTGGGCTTTCCTCCCACATCAAGTAGACATGACGTGATATAACCGAAACACTGCTGCATTAAACCAAACCCACCCACTCACCCATCCACTCACTCACTCACACATGATCTCTTAGTCAAGATCTGCCCTGGAATCACTATGGGCACCATTCATTAAAAGCAACCTAGCAGTCACATGATAGACTTCAAATCCTCCTCACACTCTGACTAGAACTGTTTGACAACTTACAAATCTATTTCTGTACTTCTTCTTCACATTGTCCACCAACATGGCACATTTACGGGAGAAGTTGAGCGCTTTGTCCACCTCAGAGTTGACAAGTTGAATATCATCGCTCTCTATGATACCTGCACACAGAGGCACCAACATGTCACATGTCACGACAACATCCTCATGAAAACATCGGCAAACATTGTCTTACGTAGATTCTTACTGTTTCTTCAACCCCTAAGTTTGAGAAACAGAATCCTACAGGAATGAATGCTGTTTTAAGCACTACATAAACGTTGCATCTCTAATGTCACAGTTTCATTATGGACCTGGAAATAACGGAGTCTGGGTATGGCAAAGCAGTGGTTGACAGCATGAGCAACAACACTCTCAGCGGAGGTGTGAAGACACACATTCAACCAGTTCAAACCAAATCCCTACCTCAGTCACTTCTTGTGGCAAGCCTAGAATACTAGAGACACATTGTCACAGAGTCCACAGGGGAAAGACTTTACGTTAGCAAGTGAACTAGGTGTCAGCGGTAGCCGATGTTGTGCATAGTGAGAAGGAACTAGGTAAATGATCGACATCCCACCTGTTTCCCGGAACCAGTGGAAGCGGCCTTTGCTGCAATGTGCCATTGTCCGCAGACATTCTGCTGTATGTGTGATGTTGGCATAGCGACCAGGGATGGCACCATTCACATCATAATCATCAACATTGAACAGGATGCTGTGTAGTCTGAAGTTCCGTCCAATGGTGGCCTCCTCTATGAAGGAGGAGACAACTGTTCCCTGCTGGTCTGGCACACCACTAGTGAATAAATACACGCCTTGCACACCTGCAAAAAACATATAAACTTATTTACGTGGGGGGACAGTGGTACTGCATGCAACATGAAATTGTTCTCAGACCCATGGAGAGAAAAAGGATATGAAGAAAGCACAAGTTTTACATGAAATCCAGGAGATTGTTGACAATGCGGTGAAATACCAAATTTCACTTTCTATTAAAAAGGACATGCTTGTCATATGTAACACAGTGACAAACCCTCCTCTGCTGTACCATGGACGGTGTTCCCTTGTTCCAGCAGGGAATTACAGAAAGGTTAAGAATTGGAATATTCTACCCAAATCTAAAGCAACTTATATTAAGAGGGAATAGTCAATGTTGTGGCACTGTGCACCATTCCACAAAGTGATCTTAGCAATACGACCATTGCAAGCTGATATTAAAGAATAGAGTTACGATTGTCTCAGCTAAATATGTTTTGTAGAATGGATGCCTGGATACGCAATCTATTCAAATTATATATGTAAATTTTGATATGAATATAAGTAAATTAATACTTTCAACGTATATTTCAACTGGACAATAAAGCATCAAGTTAAAGCAGCCTAGCTTTAAAGGCGATGTATACATTTATTGACAGACAAGGGTAGTTAAAGTCGACTCACGGACGCCATGCTTGTCCTCCTCCTCATTCTCCACCGCCAGCCGGAGGGCGGACATGAAGTTCCTACTGCCACCACACTGCAGGGCCAACACCCAGCTGACAACAGCAACATACACCGTCAGATAGCCTCGAGAACATATATGTAATGTTACATAGTTATACAAGAGTCATCAGAAGATGACAGCCCCCACAAATTCGAAAGAACAAATTATCTGACTGTTACTTAAGTCCAACTTGATGAGAGAATTTCTATCTAATTTCTCTGTCTTGTACAAGAGTAGATATTGAGCTATCAAAACATTACCATCGAATTGGGATTCGGAACTTTGAATTTCTATGTCAGGTACACACCCCTTTGGACAGAGTCAAAATCAAACTTGTTACCATGGAAACTTATATCCCTCCACATTATATGCCGGAGGGATAAAAACAGCTGTTTAAGAATTACGTTATCAAAATGTATATTAATTTATGGTTTTATTGAAAAATATTGATCCATTTTCTTGCAGAAATTCTGCCATTTAACATAGAGCCTTGGTAAATGAATCTAAAATTGATCTTGGCAATACTGTAAAACCTGAAAATATTGAACTATTCATATGGATAATACAACAGGAGATTATGTAATTATGGGATTTGACCTTTAGCAGATATCATTTCCCAAGGTTCCAAAAAGGGCGGCGACGGATTGTCATTAAGGGCCCCCCTATTCCAAACTGAAACTGACATTGGTGTTGCTCCACACAGTAGGCTCATCACTACTATAAACATGTTTGTGTTAAACATAAACCTTCAGTTGACAATCAGATTTGCATGTTTTCATAAAATATTTTTCAAAAGTGAGCTACAGAGCATTTCACTTTGTTTATACACTGTTTTACCCTGAACAATCGCCAACAACCTATCTGGCAGGTTATGGAAAGAGAAATATGGAAACGAATGTTGTCCATAGCCAATATAATCTTGCTAGTGAAGTGATTCAGACAAAGATGAAAATCTGATTAAGTTACGACACAAAGACCGTGTGGAAAGGACGCCAGTGTTTCTTTACTCACTTCCATGCATCCTGAAGGTTGAGGGCCGTCGGTTTCACCATCGTCGGCTTCCAGCGCCGAGCCCCACTCCCAAATCTGTCAGGAAAAACACAGGACGTGAGACAGAAACATAAATCCTTAGTTCTAAAGATTTTATCATAACCTGATTATGCAATAAAACAAGCATAAGAGCATTTTATAATTACAATATTTAACCCTTTACTCCATTTTCTAAGTTTGAGTAATAACTCACTCAGTTGCTAGAAAGAGACTTGGCAATATCAGAACATCTTATTTTTTTATCACATATGTTGATGATCAAGTAATTCAATGAAAAAAATGAATCAGATGCCGCCTCTAACTCCTTATGTATACTACTCAAAAGAAGTTAAAGAACACTCAATATTTTCATAAGACAAAAGTTAATCTGTCATATAGCCATATGAGAAAATTGGGCTTTCTTTAACTTATTTTGAATAGTCTATATTAAAAGATGGGCCGTCAACCTCCACCCGATACACACAATGCAATGTGACGTACGCAATGATGTTGAAGTAGTCCTTGTTGGCCATCTGCTGCTCCATGACGAGACGCAGCGTATGCTGGATGTGAATCAGGTAGTTCACGTTGGACACGGACGTGTCGATCAGGTACACCACACTAGGGACAACAAATGCATCATGTTAGGTCTGGGTACGCAGAAGTAGAGAGGGATGGGACAGCTGGTAGGCCAACTACTGTCAGGAGTGTATGTTGTTGTATGCCACAGTCATCAACATTTCATCCATAGCTCAGAGGACTGTAAATAATCGAGTCTGGACCAGACAATCCAGTGACTGACATCATGAGTATTGATCTACGCAATTGGGAAACGATGACATGCATCAACCAAGTCAGCGAGTCTGATCACCCGATCCCTTTATTTGCCTTTTACGACAAGCGTAGTCGACTCTTACAAAAGGCATGGGTTGCTGACGATCTATTCTAATCTGGATCTTAACCGGTCCTATCCTTATGTAAATACAATTAACCCTAAGCATCAAAGATTGGTGAAGCAATAGTGAATCATTTTTTTAGATATATCTAGTTTTTATGAAACTATTGGGTGGCGAACAGATTCCATAATCAATTGGATAATATTATCAGCAACATTCCTCTTACAAGCAGTAGATGAATCACTGCTCGATAATATCAGCAACATTCCTCTTACAAGCAGTAGACAAACCACTGCTCGATAATATCAGCAACATTCCTCTTACAAGGAGTAGAGTGAGTGAGTGAGTGAGTCTGGTTTTACGCCGCTTTTAGCAATATTCCAGCAATATCACGGCGGGGGACACCAGAAATGGGCTTCACACATTGTACCCATGTCGGGAATCGAACCCGGGTCTTCGGCGTGACGAGCAAAGGCTTTAACCACTAGGCTACGCGACCGCCCCTACAAGGAGTAGACCAACCACTGCTTGATATTATCAGCAACATTCCTCTTACAGGCAGTAGATGAACCACTGCTTGATATTATCAGCAACATTCCTCTTACAGGCAGTAGATGAACCACTGCTTGATAATATCAGCAACATTCCTCTTACAAACAGTAGATGAACCACTGCTTGATAATATCAGCAACACTCCTCTTACAAGCAGTAGATGAACCACTGCTTGATAATATCAGCAACATTCCTCTTACAAGCAGTAGATGAACCAGTGCTCGATAATATCAGCAACATTCCTCTTACAAGCAGTAGACCAGCCACTGCTTGATAATATCAGCAACATCCCTCTTACAAACAGTAGCATACTAAGGGGCCTATTTTATCACGGGTCCTACAGGGGGATGAATACTGTAGAAAGTCATACAACCATGATCGTTTTGTCAGCAGAAATATTATCATTCATTGTAGATGAGAAATTATGATCAACCCATGGTTTATGAACAATGGATGGTTCACCCAGTTTTCAGCAATGAAGCAATCAATATGAACTGAGATGAGACCATGAACAAACATAAAAGAGTTATCACACTTGATCTTGCAACCCTCATTGACAATATTGTCATGTCCTCACTTCCTCTCCACCACCGTGCCCAGCAGCCTCCTGCTCCCGGACGCCAGCCAGTCGATGCGGCGCTCGTACAGCGCCACGCTCTCCGTCAGCTGCTTCTGGTACTCAAACAGCTGGGTCATGTCCACGTGGATGTTCTTCACGGAGCCATCATGCCATGTGAACTGCACCATTGCTTTCTGCAGCAGAAACAGGGAAGGAGGTGGGTGTCAGTGTGACATTGTCATGTGGGAGGAAACCCATAATTTAACACTAACACTTAACACACTTTTGAAAAGTTTTGTCAGCGCTTTGATTGTCTTGTTTGTTTGCTGTTTAATGCCGCACTCAGCAATATTCCAGCTATATGAGGGCGGTCTGTAAATATTCAAGTCTGGACTAGACAAACCAGTGATTGACAACATGAGCATCAATATACGCAAATAGGTTACGATCAACCAACTCAGCAAGCCTGACAACCCGATCCCGTTAGTTGCCTCTTACGGCAAGCATAGTGGCCTTTTACAGCAAGCATGGGTTGCTGAAGACCTATTCTACCCCGGATCTTCACGGGTCAGCACTTCGTACCAAAGCCCACAGTGATGCTGGTGGTACATATTGACCACTTTGCTAACATCCCATAAGCTTATGAAAGATACACATAAATGATATCTTAATCCTTAAAATCAGATCTAAGTTCTCGCTGCCGCTAAACAAAGATCTAAGGACATCCAATTACAGGTCACGTCAGAATGACCTTTTGCGAACTTTGACCAACCACTGAAATGACTGCCAAGAAATCGACATCAGCCAATTAGAAAGCAGCTTTCTCGAGCTTTACAGCACTCATTTCAACCTGGTGGCTTCCATTTCAGACTACGCTTGAAAAATATGTTGACAAAATTCTAGATTAAAATTTTGAAAACTGAACAAACAAACATTCTGGAATGTCTAATATATGGTTGAGATTGCATGGCATTGCTTCCCAGGTACTGTTCAAATGTATATCCCATGGAAGCGAGAGATAGACGATAAGTTTGAGAGAATCAGTCTTACGAGCCGTAACTGTCATTCCGAATACACCATGTTAACGTTTTCGAGGTTGCATGATTAGAAAACACATTCTGACTATCACTTTCATGATCTGGTTAGCAACAATTTGATTGGTCTGATGAAAAGTCGTTCTGACGTGAATGAGAACTAAGATCTGATTTTAATGAGATCGATGTTTGCAAGTCTTATTTTGACTTTCATCAAATTGTGTTGTTTGCTCATTTGAACAGTGTGTGTCTGTTCCATCTGTCAGTGAGGTGTAAAGAGGTCCACATGCAGACACTGACCTCATGGACTTGTGATTGCACAGCCTTCTTTATGATCGGGATGAACTCCTCACGGTACGAGTATGCGTTGGGAGCCAGCACCTGGTACAAGTCCAGACGCTTCGCTGAAAACAATTCCTTGTTAAAAGTAACTATATGACATACTGATAAATTCAAGCAAATGATTTGGATTTACTTTGAATAATATTTCTGTGATATCACAGCTTGTCAGCCCAAAGTTTGTAAACCGTAGAAGCTAATCACTGTGAGGAAAAACTCACAGACACAGGCATGGTGCTAACAACCAAGAATCAGGATAGAGGCAATCTGGTTTCAAGCGTCCAAGTGGCAGATCCCGTCTACGGGACACAACTTGATAAATCAGAAAGAGAAAGGAGTTTGACCAAGCTACCTTTGAGGCCATGTTGGATGAGCCAGTCCACAGATGATCGGGGCTGGAATTTGGGCATGTCCAGTCTCAGTGGCAACTCATGGCCTGGGGGGCGGGGCAGGAAGCGGGACTGAGGCAGCTTTTGAACCTCATTGCTGATCTGTGTACGAAGGAAAGGATCACATGGTTTCATATAAACATTACCACAACTGGGACTTTATCAGTAAGTTGTCAACTGAGGGCCTGTCAAAAAAGACAACTATTCCATTTTATATCATTATGATAAGAAACAAGACAGATGTTTTAAGAATTTGACATGAAGATAATCTTTAATGTTGGGGACAAAAATGAAATGAAAGAAAATAATAATTTTATCTTAGATTATCTTCGCTACCGCTAAACAAAGATCTGAGGACATCCCATTACGGGTCACGTCAGAATGACCTTTCGTTAATTTTGACCGACCAATGAAATGACTGACAAGAAATCGACATTAGCCAATCAGAAGGCAGCTTTCCCGAGCTTTACGACACTGGTTTCAAACTGGCGACTACTTTCGAAACATATTTTGACGCATTCTCGATTAAAAATGTTAAAACTGATAAGAAGAACATTCTGGAATGGCTTAGATTGTATGGATATACTCATAAAACCCGTTACTGTCATTCAGAATACCCCGTATGACATATTTCGTGGTTGCATGATCAGAAAACACATTCCAACTGTCGCTTTCACGATCTGGTAAGTGACGCTGAGATTGGTTGGATGAAAGGTCGTTCTGACGTGACCCTTAATGGGATTTCCTCAGATCTTTGTTCAGCGATAGCGAGAACTAAGATCTGATTTTAATGAGATTGATAATAAACAGATTTTTTATTCCACCTGAGGGCGGACATATTTTTTTTTCTTGTATTAGAGATTTTCTCAGTCAATATGTCAAGAGTCAGCAGTTATAAGAAAAGAGTAAAAAATGATGATATGAGGTTACTTTCATAGAAACAATAATGAGTAAAAAAAATTAAAAAATACCAAAAAATAGCTGTTTTTCTTAGGGACATTTTATTTTTTATATTCATAGTGTTCAACTTTTGTTAAATTTCAGGTAGACAAGAAAACAATTGGTCAGTGTCACCAACAAAAGGTTAGAGTCTGACCTCGTTCATGATGCTGATGAGGGCACTTCCCATCATGCCCTGTCTCATCTCCTTGATCTTGTTGATGACGTCCTGCGCCTTCTGTATCTCCTTCAGCAGCAGGCTGATGTCCGTCCCTGTGTAGATCTTCTCCTGCAACAACATCAGCATCAAGTGTCAGCACAAACACATAAGGAGAATCACATTATATTTATGTGACTTTATATCAGACATTACATGACAATGGCAGGGACATTTCTGCAATAAATTAGATCAGAGACCTGTCAGTGTCCATCTTCCCGAGGCAGGAGAGTTAACTGACTATAAAAGTCCAGTTTCCACCCTTGCCGAACTAGGCTGGTATTGTGGAGTTACATTTCGGCTGGACTAACGAGTCTATGCATAGTCCAATCAAAATCGCACACCGAAATTGAAATCTGGTTTGTAAACTGTCGTGCAGATTTCTGTCGATTGCAGGATTTGCCAAGCATGTGCACCGCCAACTCGTTGACAGCAGAGATTTTCAAAATCTTCTCATGTTTTTAATCAAGGTGCTCATGTGATTTGCTGCATTTCGCAATGTAAGACCCGTTTTATCACAATATAGATCTTGATTATCGATCAGATCGTCCTGACCGGGCGCCACCATTTTGTGTGAAGCAAATGCAAGTGATACGAGAGGTAGAATCTGATTGGTCCATAGGAGAGGCTTAGAAGGGACATAACTGGTAATAGCCACTGGTGGCGCTACGACCGCGCCGAGTAATTCCTGCCTTGTTCGGCAAGGGTGGAAACTGGACTTTTAAAGTCAGTTAACTCTCTTGCCTCGGGAAGATGGTCAGTGTCCTACATGTTTAATGTGAGTGAGTGGGTGAGTTGTTTTTTTAACTCATTCCAGTTAAATTACAGGGAGTTAGCTTGGTGTGGGGAGGAGAGCCCAGATTGATGGAGGTCTGAGACGTTTACCACTTTCATGAAACCCATGAGTACCGGTATGGTGCCGACAAACCTAGAAACATAATCATGGCAAACCAGCATTCAAACACATGTTTATAGATTTCTGATGTGCAGAATGGACACAACTCTGCACAGCAAACTGTGACGTGACATGGCATGTACGTGAAGCAGAGTCTCCTACCTCGCAGCTGGAAGTGTAGCAATGGTAATTGCCCTGGGATGCCGCAGCTATACTACGTAGCGTAATCTGAAACAGCCAAGGTCATACGTAAGAAATAGAATCCCCTTCAGTAACTTGTGGGACAATATTACTCCATCTACAGTTTGTGTTCTACATTCAAGGAGTATCTGTGCAGACTTACGCTGGTGAGTTCATTGCTGCAGTCGTACGCCACTGCGTGGAGAGGGATGTCACGGCCGACGATCAACTGCTGGACGTAGTCACACAGGATCTCCGTCGACTGGTCAGGGCTGCAAATATATGACAGACAGCTTCTAACAATGGCTACTAAAACAGTTTTTTTCTATATCTTACACACACTTTGCACACTGAAAATAAAAAGCCTCATCTTGTCTTCAGGCATCATTTTGAAAAGGTCTACTCTTAACTTACGGACTACAGTGTGATAGCTTTACAGTCAGTCTTTGGTCAAGACAGATTCTGTCTTTGTTCCAGAAAGACATGGTCTTTGGTCAAGAGAGACTACGTCTTTGGCCTTGAGTGATTCAGTCTTTGGCGTAGAGTCACTGTCTGCATTTTATCAAGATTCTCCATGCCAAAGTTGTCACCTCAGGGTAAAATTACTAAACAACACTGGTATTTTTCATCGGTTAGAAGAATGACTGAACTGCCATATACTCACACACTGCCGAGGACCAGGATGACTGTGTCGACATCGGGCAGATTCATGACATGCTTCATGGCCTTGAGCAGGTTACTGCCTCCCCTTGGCTCCAGCCGCTCCACCCACTCCTTGGCCTCCTCGATACTGCAGCACAACAACAGTTACATCAACACCAACAACAGTTACATCAACACCCACTCCTTGGCCTCCTCGATACTGCAGCATAACAACAGTGACAACAACACCCACTCCATGCCCCCCTCGATACTGCAGCAAAACAACAGTTACATCAACACCCACTCCTTGCCCCCCTCGATACTACAGCATAACAACAGATACATCAACACCAACAACAGTTACATCAACACCCAGAACACTTACATCAACACCCACTTCTCGCCCTCCTCGATACTGCAGCACAACAACAGTTACCTCAACACCAAACACAGTTACAACAACACCCACTCCTTGCCCTCCTCGATACTGCAGCACAACAACAGTTACAACAACATCCACTCCTTGCCCTCCTTGATACTGCAGCACAACAACAGTTACCTCAACACCAACAACAGTTACAACAACACCCACTCCTTGCCCTCCTTGATACTGCAGCACAACAACAGTTACCTCAACAACAACAACAGTTACAACAACATCCACTCCTTGCTCTCCTCGATACTGCAGCACAACATTAACAGTTACAACAACATCCACTCCTTGCCCTCCTCGATACTGCAGCACAACAACACCAACAACAGTTACAACAACACCCACTCCTCGCCCTCCTCGATACTGCAGCACAACAACAGTTACAACAACACCAACTCCTTGCCCTCCTTGATACTGCAGCACAACAACAGATATATCAGCACTACTACACGCATCCACAATATGCATCAATAATATGTACCTATGATATGTATCTATCATATGCATCTACAATATGTATCTATAATATGCATTTAAAACATGCATCCACAATACACTTGTATAAGAAAACAAAGCAGTCGTACATTGTATACCAGTGTAAACGACAGACTTACATTCTCCGATTGACGTCTCTCATGACTGGCCACAGAGGTTCAATGTCCGTCCCAAACTCCAGCAGATACAGGCTCTGCTTCTGTGACAGTTGCTCGTCCAGGAAATGCTGAGAGGAACAATAATAGATGAGTGCATGTTGTTTTACACCATAGTCAGCGACAGTACAGCTATACCACTCAAAAGAAGTTAAGCAGCACCCGAATCCTTCATATTACTATAGTCAATCTGTCATAGCACTTTAATTTTTAATTTTAAAAGTGCTGCATGTTAAGCTTAAGTGTATGTGTGTCATCTATTCATTTGAGAATATTAAGATAGCAAGTGAGTGAATGAGTGAGTATAGTTTTATGCCGCTTTTAGCAATATTCCACCAATATCACGGCGGGGGACACCAGAAATGGGCTTCACGCATTGTACCCATGTCGGGATTCGAACCCGGGTCTTCGGCGTGACGAGCGAACGCTTTAACCACTAGGCTACCCCACCGCCCCCTTAAGATAGCAAGACTAATGAACACTGGCTGAATAGATCTTCTGGCTGAAAGGGATCTCCTTTTTCATTTTCCTTCATGCACTTACCATAAGTGACTCTTGGAATGCTGACTGCCGTCCAAAGCCCATGTTTGCATTTGATACATCCAGACACACAGCCACTCGTTCCCCTTGTATGTGTCCAAACATCTACAGGCAACACAGTCATGGTTTGTTACTCCCCGTGAAGAGATCACCCATTTAATACACATACAGCTGTCTTACATATTAATACCAAAGCGTGTGCTTATGTACTGCAGGAACGAGTTTCACTAACAAACATTGAAACTCCCAACATCCCTCAGCTTATTAAACAACATTGGGTGTAGAGATGATAGATAACTGAGAGGAGCTTATGCACACTCAATGACCCCAGCAACCCTGTTGCTCGGTATTGTTTCGCCGGCGGATCTTGCAACAAAATTCTACAAATTACGTCATAGGGTATTTTGACCTGATTGTTAACTTTGTGGTGTAGGGCCCAGTTCCACAAGACAACCATAGTGTAACGACAGTCATAAGTCTATGTGATAGTACAAGAGCCTTGATAACCTTAGCGCTACGAGAGCTCTGTGGAACGAAAGGTAGGCCAATGTATTTGTTAAACTCAATAGGATTATGCTGTGGCTCGCGTAGATGTCTGCCTATTTACACAAGACAGTGTAATTTTAACAAAATGTAATAAATGGTAAGTAATAAATAAAATACTAAACTCGCTCCTGTGTAATACAAATTTTATGAAACGAATGATAAGTTCTGGTATTTGACTCACTTTTGCTTATCAGATACCAGAACTATTCACATATTTAATAAAATTGGTATTATACAGGAGCTCGTTTAGTTTTCTATATACATCTCATAAATACAAATTTAGATATACATCAATGTTTATGACTTTCATATTAGTTATATTGTTAAGGATGAAAATATATGAATATCAATATTTTCACCTGATGAAGGAGTAAGTATATACTCTGAAACATTGTGTTCCTCATAATGAAGAAGTTGACATCCATATATTCTCTTCCTTATGTGTATCACTTCTAAATGTTGTTCAAATACCAGTTATATTGTTGATAAAGTAATCAGAAAATATGGTATACTCACCCTTTTGCTGCCCTGAAGTAACCATTTGATTCTCTTTGTATAAACCTCTATGGCTCTGAAGAAACAAGTTATTCCCTAAAGCAAAGCTCAGCAAAGACACAGTACATTGTATGTGATAGATCAGTGGAATATTGGACATGGTCCGAAATCTATTGTAAACCAAGTGCCCTATCTGAGGCAAATTGGGGGGAAATTGTGTGTTTGTTAAAGGAACTCATTTTTTTATTATTGTTATTTTTTCTTAAATGCAGAGGTATTTTTATACTGCATTCAATACAATAATGTATTACAAAGCATTACAACTCTTCCCTACCTACCCTGTTATCACTGAAATACAAGTCACTCTGTTAACATGGCTTAGCCATGACATTGTTAGCCATAACAGGAATTGGGACACATACATGTCCAATTTGGTAATTTTAACATGACATTTGCTGCAGATTTGGGGCCCAAATATTGTCCCCGGTGTTTGAGCAGGTCTCAGATAAATTCCTAAAGGTAGATATCTTTTTAACATCATTTAAATCATTGATTACAATTAAACATTTTGAATGATAACTGAATCTGATACCTTTTGTCTGATATTGTGCAGTGAATTTCAAAGAAATACTCACCATACAAGTACATGTATTTACTTAAAGATTCAAAATGGGTTACTTACATGTTAAGTTTGTACTCAAACTCATTCACATCATAGGCATCAAATTGTATGTGGTGGTTCACCTTCCCTGTCTGCTTCTCCGGTGTCAACCTGATCACAATAAACATGGCTAGTATATCTTACAAACTCAAAACATCACATTCTAAATATTTATGAAATTAAAATGAATGTTCTATATTGCATTCACCAATATTGCAACTGTACTAGTCAAAAGAAGTTAAGGACAACCCACTTCTTTAATATTACTATAGTTAATCTGTCATCACATGACATGACAGATTATATTAATATGAAAGAGCTGACATGACATATTAGTGAGTGAGTTGGGTTTAACGCCGCTTTTATTTATATATAACAGTATTCCAGTTATATCACGGCATGTCAGCTTAATGTGGGAGGAAAGCCCGAAGTGATGCGAGTCTCAGACATTTACCACTTCAGTGAAACCAACGAGCAGGGGTATGGTGCTGACAAACCTAGAAACATAACCCACAATCATAGGTTTCTGGCATGCCCAAGGGATGCAACTCTGCACAGTGAATCACGGCACCTTAGACGACTGGGCCACCCGTGCCCCCACATGACATATTAACTGAAGTAATATGAAAGAATTGAGTGATAGCTGCTATTTTCAGTAGTGAACCTGGAACGCTAATTACAACATTTTGCGATAATTGACTGACAACATTGCTGGGGATCATTAAACGAGCAGTAAGTTATATATTTTAGCAAGGGTATCATCTTGTATCAACACAGAAGAAAACGTATCGTGTATTGTATCATGGCATGAAAACTTACGATAGACCGGTGCACCGATGTATCGTTTCACCCCTAATGAATAGCATAGTAGTTAAAGAAAATGAAGTTTCTGCCATGCAGACTTGTGATTAATGGAATGAGTTTTGCCAGGACAGATATTGTAACCACACAATCCTCACTTAGTCAATTCTCAACAAGCATGGACACAGGGGACCTATTCTTCCGGTATTTGAAATGTAGTTAAATAGTTAAGGAATATAAAATGAAAAACAATTATTACTCACTTTCCCATTTCACCTAAAGCATGTTAAGTGAGTGAGTGAGTGAGTATGGTTCTATGCCACTTTTTGCAATATTCCAGCAATATCACAGCGGGGGACACCAGAAATGGGCTTCACACATTGTATCCATGTGAAATCGAACCCGTGCCTTTGGAATGACAAGCGAACGCTTTACGACATGGCTAACCCACCGTCTCCATTTCATCTTAAAATCCCCTCAGTACAGGCCTGTGTTACTCACTTCCCGACTTTTCCTTTATCAATCAGCTGCTTCAGTGTAAGTTTCAGGAAATCCACACTATGTACTTTGAGCCATTCCTGAGAATTTTGCTTCTCAGAGTTAACCATTGCCTGAACATCAGCCATCCGCTGAAAAGTAATAATCGTAATATTCTGAAAATGTCAACTACGTTAAGCATGCTCAGATAAACAGCCAGCTACAAGCTGAGGTTCAACAGAGCAAAACACACATCCAAGTAGCTGTAATCAGTAAATTGTAGGTATGTCAGATCAATTTATTGTTTTGTTTTAAGGATGTTATTGTCAAATTGCTAATATGCTAGATTCAAAATAATTAAAACAAGAGTTTGCCACTAACGCAGCTATATCCCCCGCCCCTGTTGCAGAATTTATGACATAATTAAATCTAAACAAACCCTAACCTTTTTTAACCGAGGTGGAACTTGTCATGGAAATTGTAAAAAAAAGAAGAGTTTGGAACCTAAGTCCATCTTGTTGCCATGGAAACGTAAAAAATAAAAATTTCTAAAAATTTTAAATAGCAAAAGGCACCAGTTCAGCATGTACCTGACAGACCTGCAAAGTTTCATGCAAAAATATTGAACGGTTTCTGAGTTATGCTCCGGAAACGAACCCTACACTCACAGAACCTAAGTCCATCTTGTTGCCATGGAAACATAAAAAATAAAAATTTCTAAAATTTCTAAATAGCAAAAGGCACCAGTTCAGCATGTACTTGACAGACCTGCAAAGTTTCATGAAAAGATATTGAACGGTTTCTGAGTTAAGCTCCGGAAACGAAACGTGACGGACGGACGTACTTGTTGGGCGGGGGATAATAACAGTTCAAAGCATGGGAAGGATCTAGTGTCAACGCAACATAGCTGGTACCAGAAGGTGTATGCCCCCAAAGCTGCCTAAGCAATGACTTCAGACAAAACATCACAAATAAATAAATTTTATTCGGTTTGAACGGTTTCTGAGTTATGCTCCGGAAACGAAACATGACGGACGGAGCCCGTTTCTATATCCCCCGCCAACTTTGTTGAAATCTTGAGCCAAACAATCTTGATTAAACAAAGTGTGGCTGTTAAGTTAAAGGTTTTTTATGTTAATTTGCAGTAAATCTTAACTCAGACACATCTGTAAAACAAGAAAAGAAATTGGTCTGGCCTAAAGATTTGATAAACATGGTAAAATAATATTTGCATCTATACATAAATAAAGTTTCGGTTAAACACGTCTCTGAAAATGATATACGTAATTCTCTATCTATTTCTAAGCCAACCTGCAGGTCCCTGGTCTGGTTGACATGGGTGACTGTGAGGGGATGAGGTGGCCTGGCACGGCGGACTCTGACAGGCTGCCACGCCTGTTCTCTTTCCTCATCGGAGTCTCTGTCATTGGATAAAACAAACAGGTTCCATAAGATTATTTAAATTTTTGCCATTTTTTTAAACGATAACATGTGCTATTATTTTCTTAATGAAATGTATAGCTTGCTCTTTCATACATTTATATGAAATATGTATGCAGTTTTGGAACAATTTGATAACAACTGTATCACATTGACATTTGAATTAAAGATTTGAGGCATTCATAATAGTAAAGCGTTACATAAACTCTGCCGTTAACCAAAAATCACCATAAATGGGTGTGTTCATTCAAATGGGCAAGAAATTTCTTGGCCACCTTGACTGAGTATCTAAGTATTTCATTTACTGTATACATAAATGCAAATCAAATAAGTAAATGCTTATGCCTGTATGTGTGACACGCTTTAGCATGCAGCTGTATTCTAATCAATTATGATGAAAAACGGGTTGTTAATTCTGGTTCCAAAAGTATGGAGTTTGCAATGATGTTTTACAAGCCAAGATGTTTTGAGTGACTTGACCCCTTTATTTAACCTATCATCTACAACTGCTTACCCGAGAATGTCATCGAAGTCATCATCATCATTGTCATCTATATCTTCATTCCTAACGCTGTCATCGTCATCACCAGAGTCCTTCTTCTGGTCCTGTTTCTCCTCTCTGTTGATACGAATCATGCCAATAATACAATAAGAGCTGCTATAGAATATGGTCACCAGTATTTTAATTGGGATATAGCTAAAAGGACACCTCAGCAAAACGACACCGATTGACAAAAACAGCTACTATTGTCTGGCAAAACGGCACCTTATTTCTTTATTACCTTGGTACTGAAATACATGATATTAAACGCACATGGTCACTTGCAAACACAAATAATCATGAAATGTTAAAACAAGTTTACATTAGAAACTATAGCCTCTACTCCAATTTACTCGCCGACTCTTATTGGGAGGCGCAACTAAACTTATTGTGAAAACATTACATGCTTTGAATTAAAATAAATGAAATTAAACTCACATGGCCACTTGCAAACACAAATAATTGTTAAATGTTAATTGGCTTAAAACAAGTTTACATTACAAATTAGTTTCTACTCAAATTAACTCAATGTCAAGCTGAAACTGAGTCTGGCGAAAATGTCAAGAAATTGGACTACAGGTATAATATATATTTAATATATATTTTAGCAATCAGGGAATAAATAGTAATTTTACAGATATTTCATATATATCTCCCCTTCCTGACAGCAGCTGACATGACAAGAATGTTTCTGCGGATAACAGACCATGTCCCCGCCCAATGAAAACATAAAGCATATACCGTAATCGACGTAATAAGTGCCCAAGGCACTCTCAAAATTAGAAATAGGGGGCTCTTATTAGAATATTATTTAGGTGAAAAAAAAACAGAGTTGAAAGATACATTTTATGGTTTATGCTGACAGCCTGAAATGTTTATGTACAACAGATATAGTTTTCTGAAATTGAATTGCCCATAATTAGTTGTGCATATAACACACGAGTGCGTATTGTACGCGAATTAATAAGTCTTGTGAACATTGATCAATCGGAAGGGGTGCTAATTGGGATTGTTCACTAGCCAATATATTAGCAAATATCGCCGTGGGCGTTTATTAGAGCGGGGCGCTTATTACGTCGAATACGGTAAATATATATTACACCATAAATCGTTCTTATCGTTATCAAAAATAAATGTGTGGTTTTTGCCCAACAATTATTCGCTTGAGAAATCGGTGACGTTTTGCTGAGGTGCCATTTTAGCCTACACCCTTTTAATACAAGGATCAAAGGGCTAAGGATACAGTTGGGGTAGCCTATCCTATCCTTAACACAACTAACCCAAAGAATCATAAATATGTATCATATATATACATAATTTTTCTTGCGATATGTCTAGTTTTTATGATACTATTGGGAGCTGAACAGTTTCAATAATCTCACCAAACCACATTACATATATACAAATCAATACATTCATATGTCCCATATGAACGTGTATATTTTTTGTGCCTGTACACTAGCTCGTCAAACAGTTAAAATATTTTTCTGTTGATAATAACATTCTCACTGCACTTTATCTTCAGTAATATATTATTAAATCTATGCAAAGAGGAACCAGTCATGCATCACACTTAAATAGTTTAAAATGTACACCTCATTTAATCATCTCGCCAGGTTGTGATGGGTCGACTGACGTGTTGACAGCTCGAATAACAACCATGCACTATCACGGAAAATATTCACTGAACTTACCCATATTCCTCCTTGATGGCGTCGAAATCCTGGCTTTTTTTACTTTTCCCAAATAATCCATCAATGAACGACATTGTTCTTCTGTTATCGTTGCTTATTTTATTGTTCTAGTCCATATCTCTCCTGTTGATGCTGTTGCCATATAGCCGACCAGTTCCGCACAGCTGCGCGTAGCGCATTTTCATTGGTTAAAATTACGGGCACCTGTTCGCATAACTGGTTTTATGCTTAGGCGGTGTTGCAGCGCGATTAAATGCAAGCGTGTTGGGTCTACAGACGGAGCACGATACATCATTGCTTCTTAATCGAAATCACAAACGTGAACGTTTTGGATATTTTCTTTCATTTACCCTGATAGTCTAACCGTGAATGAAACCCAATTTATTTTGACAAAAACAAAACAAACAAAAAAACAGTTGTGATGATACAATGATTAGATTTCAAATTTCGTAGTAGGTAAGCGTTTTTTATTAACTATCATGTGTACTAATATCAGTTCATTTTCATAGTTCCAATCACCGGTTTGTCTGACCCAGACGCAATTATTTACTGAGTAATAAAGACCACCGTCACGAAGCTGAATTATTGCCGAATGCGGCGTTAAAAAACGAACATATAAACAGGATTTAATCAAATATCTTAAGCGAATCTTACGTGTAATTCCCACCTGTTCCAGATCTTATTCAAAACATTGGAGGTCTCCGTTTTAAAGTACAAAACAGCTTAAAAAGGAACATGCGTATTATGAACATCACCACTGAGTTGGTAATCAATCAACACCGAGATGTAAGGCTTTTATAGCAGCGTTACTATGTGCTGACTATAAACATGTCTGTTATGATACCTTGTTCATCTACTCAAAATTCTTTTCATGGCCCAAACTGTTACTATACTCTGTTGTAGTTTTTAATGAATGGATGTTGTTCTTATATCTTGTATTTTATTAAAAATGAAGGCTTCATTTATGATTGGATAATATTTGCTAAAATATCACATATTTAAGGAGCACTTCACAAATGCAACAGCGACATTTATTACCCCTTTACTGGTAATATATTACCAGTTTGCATACACACAATCAGTTAGTTTTTATTCTGAAATTCAGTTATTTCTTTCATAGAATTTAGCACACCCAAACATTAATTTTTATAACCTCATGAAACATTGTCAATGGCGAAGATTATCTTTTACTGATACTGAGCGAGTTGTTGGGTCCAGCAAAATCGAAGCAAGAGGTTGGTACTATCGTATGGATATATGCCAATGTGCAGTTGACAAGTGCATGATTTTCACGTGACGTTGTGTGTTGTCTCGAGATTTTCATGGGGCGCCTGTTCTTAGAAAAGTGTTCATTCACCTCGCCGCACTGTCATAAGAAGGATTTACACCTCACAACAGAAGCAGAGCAAACCTTTATGGACATTGAACACAGGTAATATTTGTTATGGATTCACAGCCCTGCCCATTTGTTCACGGTCGGCAGCTCAATCGACGACAATAGAGTAAGTATAAGGTAGATATTCAGCGAGTGCGGTGATCCGTGGGATTTATTGGAAACCCCTATTGTCAGGAGTCAACACACGTGAAGCACCAGTTGTCATTATCTGAATAGGTCAGAATATTACAGAAGAGCGCCATTACAGCATGGAAAGGTGCACATAAGTTGGCCTTATCGTCGTTCTATTTTTCCATTTCTAATGGATATGTGTAAACTGGTTGTTTTTGTGTTTTAATACAAGAAATTACATTTACAACCACTCGGTAGGTAAAATAACCTCCCATTTGAAGATGACATGAACAAAAAGATGTAATACCTTTGTGAGTTTGTGAATAGACAGGTACTGGAATTACTTTCCCCCGTACCCTCAAATGTTATATATATTTACAGTTACCGCGTTTCTTCCAAATATATTCATTTTTTAGGGGAGTATACAGGCGGAAGTCTTACCCTGGTACTTTCAAAACAAAGCCTCTCCACTGAAGCTAAGAATCATTGGATGCCTGGCCTCGTCTGTTTGTCGCTTTGGTGAAACTTATGAGGGCGTGTTTGGTTATGACAAACCAAGGATCATAACCAGTAGAATATTGAGATTAGAACAATCTGCGTATCCTAGCAAGGATAAGGGACGCAACTCTATACACACGATACAGCACCACTCCCAAAAGGGGATGCAGCACATGCTACCCATATAGTGATGACTAATAATTTAATGACCACGATTTATGACACCCTAGTGTGTACGGGTGGGACAGCCTTCTTGTTATAGTTTTCGCTCGTCACACCGAAAGCCCGGGTTCGATTCTCCACGTGGGTACAATTTGTGAAGCCCATTTCTGATGTCCCCCTCCTTGGTATTGCTGGAATATTGCAAACAAACAGAACAAAACCACACTCACTCACTCACTACTCTGATTCGATACATGTTTCTGAAGAAAAGTATTTTCGAATTAGATTGCAACCAGTTCAGCTATTCACACACAGCCCTGTCCTGTTGTTAGAATCTAATACTCGACATATTCTGAAGTATCCTTCACAGGTAACCGCGCATGATTGGATCATTAATGATGAGGACACATGGACGACATCACCGACCACGCAGTATCGTCTTCACCGTCGCCGCCGGTATTTCGGCAGTAGTATGTTGTGTCTTTGTCTTCGCAGTACAGGTAGTTCTATATTTTAACACCTCTAGACTGTTTAGCTAAGACGTTATGACTGGCATATGTTGGTGGGATATTGCACTAAACGGATATGCAAATTCCACGTGTATTTGTATATCACGGCGATTCAGCTTAATGTGGGAGGGAAGCCCGAAGTGATGCAGGTCTCGGACGTTTACCACTTCGGTAAAACCCACGAGCACGGGTATGGTGCTGACAAACCTAGAAACATAATTCGAACCCACACTCATAGGTTTCTGGCGTGCCCAAGGGATGCAACGCTGCACAGCGAATCACGGCGCCTTAGACGACTTGGTCACCCGTGCCCCATGTGACGTCTGAATTCAATCAATCAATCAATAGACTGGCCTGGATATGACAGAATGCATTTTAATGTCATGTATCGTTAAACTCTTCAAAGTGAATGTTCATCCGAGGAGCAAAGTTGGTCTCGTCGTACAATGCGCCGCATTTTGATGCATACATGTGCAGAGTTGCGTCACTTAGGCGTCCCAGAAACCGATGAACGCAGATTCGCCCCTATTAGTTTTCTGTCAAGTTTGTCAGCACCACCGTGTTTGTGGGCTTTACCTAAGTGGTGAACGTCTGAACCCTGCATCACTTCCATGACATCACTGAACTACCTGTCCAATGCATCGTTTAACCCAACTCACTGTTATGGGGGAATAATTCAAGCCTGAACAACATAGAGGGCGAACGATTGGATCTTTGTCCGAAAATATTAGCTCGGGTGTTTTTTGTTCAGGTTTCTAGTATTGTAACATATAACATAACAATCATCCATTGTTCTTCCACTTTTCTGTTTCCCTGTCTCCAGACAAACGTGCATCCCCGACGTCACACTAACGCCCCAGGTAACTGACTATTCATACGTTCCCTCATGAATCGATACCAGATGAATATTTATACATACATATTTACTCTTGCTTTCGTATGAAAAATATGAAACTGACTCTTTTAGTAAACGCAACAGATGACAACCAATCGAAACGCTATGTCGTAGCTTGAAAACTGTTGGCAGTAGGTGCCGCTACAAATGTCAGAGCAGATTTAGGTCATTCAAAGAACTCGACACAGCGAGAGAAATGGTCTTGTGGGATCTTGCAAAATTCGTAACTGAGGATCTCAGAATTTCTGATAAGAAATGTCCTAAACTTGGTCAAGTATTACATCACAGTCAGCGGGAATGGTGACCAACGTCTATCCAGCGCAGTGTCCCCATTCTGACATCCGGGTATTGGGTGGACTTTGACCAACCGCTCATTGTACCCGCGAACTTGCGTCAGGAGTGTAATTTCAACAATCAATCATTAAAATGCAATCCCCGGAAAATCTCCTTTACCGATTAGCAGAGTAGTCAATGTAATATACTCAATTTCGATCAAACTGAAAATCTTTTCCAGCGATTGATCAGATAGTACATTGATATATTGCTCATATTGTCAAACACAGCCGAGCTCAGACAGCATGCGAAATCTTGCTGCAGTTTATCATAATGAGTGTTTACTGTTTTGTCAGACAAGCATTCCCTTCCATGTCCTTCGCCTTACGGAGACAACATAGAAGACAACATCAGACGCGTCTTAGAGAAACAGAGAGACGCCGAACCAGCAAGTCGGGTATATCTCAGCCATCTTGGGCTGCCCTGGCAGGGCGGGACGTTTGTTAACGTCTCCACAACAACTGGGTCGACCTTGGATTCAAGGCGTTCAAGGTCAAGAGTAACCCTCCCCACTGTGGTTCTAGCGGCATCAGCTAATCACTACCAGGAGCTTCAGGCTTTACTGCACAACATCCACACCTCCGTCAACCGAGATGGCAGGTTGAAAGTTGTGTTCTATGACCTTGGACTAGATCCCTTTCAGCTTAGCCAGGTAGGTAATAGAGGTTGTATTCGACAACACAACGGTTTTCTTGGAGTGAATGAGTATAATCTTACGCCTCTGTTACAATATTACAGCAATATCTCGGAAAGGCTTTAACAAACATGTCGCAGCACTCCGACATGTTCCTGTTATATGATGGTGGTCTGTAAATAATCGAGTCTGGACCAGACAATCCAGTAATTGACATTATGAGCATTGATCTACGCAATTGGGATACGGTGACATGCATCAACCAAGTAAGCGAGCCTAACCATTCGATCCCGTTAGTCGCCTCTTACGAAAAGCATAGTCGCCATTTATGGCAAGCATGGGTTAGTGAAGACCTATTATAAATTCAAACATGTGTTTCACATATATTTTACTCATGTGGCGAATGGAACCGGGGTCTTCGGGCCCTAAAACCGTTTACTTGAGACATAGATTTAACCATCTGCATCCAGAACTATTAACACGTTCCATTTGCAAGTACATACGCGAGTTTACTGCATTAATGGTCATATTCCAGATGCATCGTCACTGCGAGTGCGAGGTGCACCAATTCCCGTTTCACCAATTCCCGTCTCACGTCCGAGACTTGGGCGTCTTTTCCTGGAAACCAATCCTAGTTCAGGTAAACCCCATCATGTGGCCCAATAACTGGAGGGCGTGGCGATCACCCTTCAAAATGTAGGTTTTCTATGAATTGACTCTTCTTCAGAGTTGTTGGTACTCTGCCTTTTCATGCGATGGAATGATTATGATTATGATTCCAAAATGTAGTGAATGTTATCAATTATTTTCTTTCATCGTTGTATTCTTGCCACGTCCCATTACAACACAATGTTGCATGTTGCTGCCGTCATTAGAATCCTGTATTTAAGATATAATCAACACCTACTGATATACAGAGGACTTTCCAATTTCCCATATTTATATAAATAGAAAATAAGTTCAAGTTGATTGCCTTTCTTGTTTAAAGGACAATTCTTTTTCAAATACAGAAATTAGGATTGGCATGTTCTTTGCTAAATTGTCAGCCAAAATATGTTTTAACATATTTTTTAAACATTTTTTATGTACCTTTTAAAAAAACTTTCGTTAAAGATGCTTTTGTTGAGAAAGTATCCTCAGAGCAAGCCTGTTTACGTTTCTGTGAGTGTGATTGATTAAGTGAATTGTCGCGATGTAAATATTAAATAAAGATATGTTGATTATTATATATTATCAAGTATCATGCATTTTGTAGCTAGCTCTGCAACAATGGAACTTCATCATGTACATGGACGCCTCCATCCGCATCCTAACTTCAGATCTCCAGGAACTTTTTGACGTTGCCTGGAAACGTGGAATTCTCGTCAGTGACCGAGAACACGAATCTTTCAAGATGGTTGAACACACTGATCCAAGAACATTTGCCTTCTTTGGCGAGAAACCTTGTTACTTTGAAAACATATCAGAGAAACAAGCCGGCTTTTTGTTGATGAGGAGAAGTCCACTTCTAAAGTTAACCATTATTCGACCATGGGTTGAGTGCGCACTGTCACTGGAATGTATTGCTCCGCAGGGGTCAAAGATCAACTGGTTTTGTAGTTACTATCGCCACTTCTTGGGCGAATGTCATCGATTTGACCAGTCAGTGTTGAACATTGTCATATCTCGAACATTCCATCACACAGGGGACGTACCACTTATTCCTAGTAAATTCTTTAAAATTGACAGAAATCAAAGAATGAATTATTTCGATATGATGTAAATATTCCAAATTGGTTGTGTTATCTGAAGGTGTAATGAAACCTGTAATTTCTGAAAAAGGTGCCCCTTCATCCACCGGAGATAATTGCGCTCAGGTGCTATTCATCGTGAGAAATGGTTTGTAACGATAGAATCATTTCACCATATCTATACCCTTATCCCGGACCAAGGAGAGAGAGAGAGTTAATATTTAAAGTCACATCGGCAATTTTCCAGCCATATAGTAGAGAGAGAGAGAGAGATATATATATATATACCTACCTACCTACCTAAAATAATCCTGTGTTTACATGTGTTTGGTTTGGGTTATTTTTGTAACACCGCACTCAGCAATATTCCAGCTATATGACAGCAGTCTATAAATAATCGAGTCTGGACCAGAAAATCAAGTGATTGATATCATGCACATCAAACTACGCAATTAGGAAGACCGACCTGTTAGTTGCCTCTTACGACAAGCATAGTCGTCTTTTACCGCAAGCATGGGTTGTTGAAGTCCGAATCTTTATGGGTCGTGATGTGAGTCAGCCAGCCTGACCACCCGCAAGCATGTGTTGCTAAAGACCTTTTTCTAACCCGGATCTTCACGGGTCCACTGTTTGCAAGTATCAGGGAGTCTTATATAAAAAAGTACATATCCCTGCAAGACACCGGTACCATATTAGCTGTGACAGAGAAATGAATACTGAAACAAATATAGAAGTGATATTGTTTTAATGCTGTCACTCCACAATGATGTTCTGTTGAAGGGATTGCACACAGTACAGTTGCTTCTAGTTTCACTGATGAATGTTTATATACAATGCTGGTAAAACATGCACCTCCATACTTGTGCATACATCAAGAATGGAGGAAAGGACTGGTGACTACAGTTGTCTCCCTTACATTCCTACATTATGGGCCTTCAACTGAGTGATCACACAGATGTATCATCTGTTGAAAATACTTCTAATTACTTAACAATTTAAATGCAAGTGGATAAGACCCACTGAAAGAGGCCAGGCCATCTAATGTAGTGTTCTATCAATGACTGGCTGCCAACAATCTCATTAAAACCAGAGCATCAGTCCACAAAGACATAACCTATATTTAAGTAGCAGAGTTACATTTGTTTGTTGTTAAACACCAAACTTGGCAATATTCCAGCTATATGACGGGGGTCTGTAAATAATCAAGTCTGGGCCAGACAATCCAGTGATTGACATGAGCATCGATCTGTGCAAATGGGATACAATGACATGCATTCTCTTACGACAAGCATAGTCGCCTTTTCAGCAAGCATGGTTGCTGAAGACCTATTCTAAAGCAAATATTCACAGTGACCAGAGTTACAATCATCTTAGCACTAAGAACACACAATGGAGCAGGGTTCAGGTCTCCTCTGCCACAGAAGATGCATGTGATGGGGCAGCCTCCCACACCTTGTACAATAGGAGTGAGTGAGTGAGTATGGTTTTACGCCGCTTTTAGCAATATTCCAGCAATATCACAGCGGGGGACACCAGAAATGGGCTTCACACATTGTACCCATGTCGGGAATCAAACCCGGGTCTTCGGCGTGACGAGCTAACGCTTTAACCACTAGGCTACCCGACCGCCCCTTGTACAATAGGAAGAATCAAACAAAGTGTGATGAGCCAGCATCTTAACCCAAAGTGTCCCTCAGCATGCTCAAGGTTAAACATCTTGGACATGACACATGATGCTGTGTTTGACAGCAGGGTCAATCCTCCAGACAAAATTGGCACTGGGGTCCAACTGTACCCCTGAAATAACCCAATGCCACTCTCTCCATAAGCGATCTGTGAAGATCTGCGTTAGAATAGTCTTCAGCAACCCATGCTTGCTGCAAAAGGTGACTATGCTTGTCATAAGATGTGACTACCGGGATCAATGCTCATGATGTCAATCCATGGATTGTCTACATTAGACTTGATGATTAAACTGTGTTATATAGCTGGAATATTGCTGAGTGCTGCGTTAAACAACAAACAAAACACCCCATGAACAGTGGCCAAGACTTCTTCAATTGGCAGTGGTCAACATGGCATCTTGTAAACAGGGAGTGAGTCAATCAGCTACTGATCTGAAAGGACACCCCTAGTGAAGCAGGTCATGAGGACATTACCCCTTTGGTGTTACCAATAAGCAATGGTTTGGTGCTGACACACCAGAACCATAAACATGGCTAATATGAGATTTGAACCCAAGAATCCATGCTACAGAACTGTACCAGTACACATTGTTTCTCGAGTGTATGGTCACAAATTAAGGACACAATACTAGATGAAACTGAACGAAACATTGACATTTGTCACATTGAGAGGAAATGACATAAGATTAATAGGCAGTATTTTACAGCTCATGTTCTTATGACATACCAAATTATACATACATGTATGAACTTTGTATTGATTGTACCATAAAAATACTATGAATCGCTGCAATTACAGTGAACCATTACAGTCCTAATTATATTGTAAATGGAATTAATAACCCTAAATTGAAAAAAAAAATCCAAACGTGGAAATTGGAATATATATTACTTTGTATCTACATCTGTCAATACAACATATACATACACAGGCATTTCAGTATAACAAGACCAAGTTAACGTCATGACATAATAACAATATCACCCAGATGATGTATAGTTTGAATGATTGATACAGCCACCTACTTGTGACATCAAGGGAGTATAGATGGAGTAGAATAAATAAATGATTCATTGTTCATACAAACTATGCACACAAAAATAACACAAATATTTGTATGAATTCATTAGACAGATTTTGTGAAAGATTTTTTCTTGCATTGAAATGTACAGTGCAAAACATGTCAATTTTTTTTTAAAACGATTGAGATTCAAGAAATCTGATACATGTACAATAAATACAAAGAGCAATATTTGCATTGCAAGTTGCATGAAATCCATCCTTTTTAACTTAATGATGCAGTTCTCAGACGTTTACCACTTTGGTGAAACCCACCAGCACAGGTATGATGCCTAGAAATGTAGGATTTCAGTCAGGATATGGTTTTTTTGGTCACAGTTTAAAATAAACAATATTTTTCTAGGAAAAAGAGGAGCCGGATCAATTACTCTTTTTTCACAACACATTTTTTTATCAGGACGTCATTTCAAGCAATCATTTGTTTTAAATTTGGAGGGTGAAACCAGAGGACAAATTATTGTTTGTGAAAAGATCTAGTCTTAACGTGCGAGGTCAGTTTTACATGTGAGTATGCATCCTCGGTTATCCAGTGTAATCGATATTCAGTCCACACGACTTCAACTTTTGACAGCAATATTTTTATCTTTTCACAAAACTGATTCAAATATGGTAAGTGTAGATCTAAATAGCATGACATATCAGATTATCCGTGTCAAATGTTAAGCAGTGTATTATGATATATTCACTGGAACCATTCACCACCACACCTTCATTCTGATCAAGATACAAATGACAGTGCTGAAAATGCATCCAATAAAATCACACTCATGAACAAGAAATTCTGTGCAAGGTTCACGATTGGATGGATGGATGGTGGCAAATGGGTCCCAAGAATTTATGAAAATGAAATTAGACACACTAGGATCACACTAAGGATCATCTAGAATGGTCTCCATGAATTTGCAGAGCTTTCTTAAGTGTCAGACTACGGTAACTCCCATACTCAAATTGAACAATGGATATTTCAAAATGTGACATGGCACTTGGCACTATATTGAGGGAAAAAGGAACAACAGGCACATCTCCCCTCAACAGCAATAACTTCATAACATACTTTATCATCCTAAACTGGCCTCTGAGGATATATCAAGTGATCTATGATAGGAGAAAGAAATTACATCATAATGCTTTGCAGACTATTGTGACATCATTGCTTACCATTACATCACAATCAAATGACATCACTAATCTCTCTGCTACTGAAGCTGGTTAGCAGTACATTTTACACTTAAGATCCTGCTTATTACTATTTACAAACCAAAATAGAAGAATGATGATAAATAGAATCTCATCCTCGTGTCTTTTGATATCCAGTATATCAACAATCATCGATAAAGCCTCGGACTTGTAAACTTTTATCGGTTCATGTAGATATATTTGATATGAAGACATTTGGGTGAGATTCCCTCTGTGTGCACCTGGGCCTCACATGGTGTATACTTCACAACCAGCCTGTCACCAGATTAGTCTAACATCACACCAGATACAGGGTATACCACTAACATGGTCTTAACAGATGCCCAATAAATAGTGATCAGACAGAGAATGAGTTGGCTAGGGAAACTGTGTGTTGAGCGACTGTCAACCAGTAAGACATGCATGCATGATCTAGACTGCTGGGAGGTGACCATGGTGATGCTGGGTGTATGTTTTTTTAAGAAGCTGGAAACCTTTCTTTAGGCACGTTTCACTTAGGATCGAAAGAAAAATGCATAGTCAATCAATCAATTGGCATCTCTCTCTCTTCTTTCGATCCTAAGTGGAAAGTGCCTAAAGAAAGGTTTCCAGCTTCTTAAATGCATAGTGAGAGAAAGGATAAGTTTAAAAATTGTTTTTTACAAGACTTACAACATGGTTTAATTTTGAATGTAACTTTCACCTCAAACATGGGTAAAAGTCTATGAAAGTCAGAGATTCAGTTGAAATCTTCATTTTGAAAACCCTTGCATGTTAAGCTTAAATATCTAACATGACTGTAACAACTACATTATTGTAGGCTGTGTCCACAATATTTGTGTTATCTGGAATAAATCCATCAACACGTCAAGATTACTGTACACTCATCCTCGATTATCCAGGGTATTCCATTCTATGACAAATATCTTTGACACATTCACCATAATAGCTTTGTATCAGAAGTGCATTCACCATCTCCAGGATCAACTCAGCAAAGCATTTGTCTCGCCCATGGGCTTGAAATCAACAGCCAATGAAAACGCCTCTTCAGAACGAGGTCAGCATTGATCTAATTTCAAAATGAAGGCAGCATAGGAATGAACCCTCAATATATTTATTTAAATCAGAATACTGTCATTTGAGGTTTAACTGCATAAATTGTAGTCCAAGTGAACATCGCGAGGAGTAAATATTGATTAATGCTGAATCAGCAATTTTGCAACTATTCATGGTGCATCTTCCTGAGGCAAGAGCGTCCACTAGCCTTTTTATAAAAGTCTTGTGTCCACCCTTGCCATATCAAGCTCACTTTCCTGTGCTAAATATGATTGGACTATCTCACATATCGATTGTCCAACGTTTGACAAAATCAACATCCACGACTGGTACACCTTCGTATGAAAGTGATTTACCACTGCCTGTCTTTGTCTGTATCTTCTTTTAATCCCCCCAATGATTGCCTCTGGTTATGTGTCAGGGATGAAATCGTGAATGTTTTCGTTATCTGATCAACTGGGTCGTCACCTAACAGCGATCTGATTGGATATCGTGTTTCATTTCAAGGGGCACAACTAGTGATCTACACGAGGTGGCGCCAGGGTGGAGCCAAGCAAAGTGGCCATGGTGTGGCAAGGGTAGAAACTAGGCTTTGATATAGGCTAGTGGACACGCTTGCCTGGGAGTGAGTGAGTGAGTGTGGTTTTACGCCGCTTTTAGCAATATTCCAGCAATATCACGGCGGGGGACACCAGAAATGGGCTTCACATATTGTACCCATGTCTGGAATCAAACCCGGCTCTTCGGCGTGACGAGCGAACGCTTTACCCACTAGGCTACCCGACCGCTCCTCGCTTGCCTGGGAAGATTTTCATGGCGAAGAGATCATCACACATACAGTATTAGACTAGTGCTGGAAGGATTCTTCTGGAACCATCAGGTTACTTTGTCACAAAGACTATTATGACGATAATTGAGTATGAGGTAACATGGCTTCAGTGTTTAACACCAAATACATATCACAAAAACTGCACAACCATGCTACATGTATATTGCCATTTTTGGTGACAAGCTTTGCTAAAGCTATTTCACAAGGGCTACTTTTCTTTGGTAATGATAATATATCATTTGTAATTCTAACATAGCCATTAGGAATGTCAAAGCCATTGTCTTGTATGAGAATACATAACCTACCACAACATAACACTGTCCTTTATACAGCATAAAGGAGTTAATATTTCCTGGAGTGTGTTCAAGATGCCAAGAATGCTATAACGTTATTATATAATTATTTGTTGGATTACAAGGCTTTTTAAGGTCAAAGTCAGAAGCCGAAGAAGGTGGAATATCTTTTTTACCTTAAAAGCCAACATCTGCTGCTTATATTTTCAAAGAAGATCACAGAATATTTTACAAATATTACCTTTAGCGATGGAAAAAAAGGAAGAAGAAAGAAATGAATTAGCCATCTTCAGTTCTATCATCTGCTGGAAGCTTCGCTTTTGTCTTTTTCTTCCAGAAGACAAAGGGAGTTAATTTCATTAAAATCTAGATTTGTAATGCAAGGAATTCACTACGACTTGTTGACTGAATAATTTGGCAAACTATTACTGTCAAATTGTACATCAAAAGTTTTACAGGTAATCTTATAGTAATCTAAATAAAATAACGAATGATGTGTCGCAAAAGATCTTCCAATTTTGAAGAAAACAGGGTTGGCAGATCTGTGATCCAACAAATATAAAAATAATGGCCTAAGCCTGGAACATGTGTACTGTTTTTCTTTATGCAACATCAACAATCAACTCTAAGTAGGTGAAGGGGTGTGGGGGACACTTGCTTGTTGAAGCAGCTGTTGCCAGGAGTCATGAGCCGATGTGTTCATTTCATTTTCACTCGGTCTATAAACAATTTGAAAAATCAATCAAGTCGCTTGCATAAAGTTGCATTAATTAATTATGCTCAAAAGAGATTTGGTATATGTTACAGACTTTGCCTTCAAGGTCAGCCAGTGGTCAGCAAGAGTAGTCTCCCCTACACCTATCATAGAAATTCCTATTGCCATTATGGCCATTATGGAGTAGCTTAGCTTTATTTTTCCTCCCAACAAAAATCAGCCAACAAACTGAAATGTGAAAAAGAATCTACTCTCAAGTTCCCTTTAACTTGTATTAAACCATTATGATGACGTCCTGCTATTGTTGCTGCAGTTGATTCTGAGTCAGGATTCCACTGACCACAAGGAACGTATAGTTTAACAAGTAAAGATGACGCAATTACGTGTCATTATGCAGATTGACAGAAAAGTTACATATCAACCATAACATGGTTTAAGTCAACAAATCTCATGATGTCGCCATTACAGAACTTAGGGAGAAAGGACTTCCGTAGCTCGTAATATTCCAAGTCTTGTACCAATGGTTTAACTTTGATACATTATGTTTTAAACAAACACTGTAAAAATTGATCATTTGTTATCATTGTATGCATGAATTTCCCCCACAAAAAGACTGCCCTGTACAAAAACAAATGACATGAAATACAGAGTTATCTTTTCCTATTTTTTATTGTTAACAGTGGGGCTTGCCATACATCAGTGTGTAACGAGGCAAGCTCATTAGCAGGCTCATTTGACAAAAAAGACCTGAAAGAGTACAATTACACTGCGAATGTGAAATCTAGCAAAGACAGTTCTTGGGAAGCATCTTAACAGAAACTGTCATATATATATCAAAACATATCTATATGTGTGCATGTAATATATCTATACTTATACAAATACATACACATAAAGATGTTTTGAAACTTATTTATGCCACAAAAAACTTTTTAATCTTGTCAGTGACAATAAAGTTTACTTAGCACTCAGCCTGTTTTCTAAGTTCATGGTGGATTGTGAATTCAATTCATTATTGGGTACCTCAACCTGAACAACGGTCAATGGAAAACGACAATGAACAGAAATTCAAGAGAGATATTAAAACATTGTTCCCCTGAAAAAATAGCATCAGTAGGAGACATCATCACAGATAGTTACTTCAGTTCATTTCAGTCGCATTCAGTTATGCAGTTGACATAGGAACATGGACGAACACTGCACTAGATTCTCAATGTGACTACACAGGAACACTTCATGGAAGGAACTCATGTGACAGGTGAAATGTGGTACCATGATTACAGCTAAGACACCACACAGTATAACAGAAATATACAGTTGTAAGACGAAGGGGGAGGGGCGACAGCCACCTGGGACCTGAGAGAGGGGCGGGGTAGGGTGACTTCTATCCAAAAGGGACCATGCCAAAGTGTTTTTAATAGGACTTTCTACTGATCAAACAATTTATTTTTTTTGTTATTTTCACATCAAAGGCATTCAAATTTTCTATTGATGTTACAAATTCCACATTGTAAGATCAGTGGTTTTTCATGATTTTAGGAACTTTTGATAGGACATTCTCTTTATCATGACCAAATTTGAAAACTATCTTCAGGACATTTGGGATGACAATAAGCCAAAGTCCTGAAACACTGGTATGGTAACTTTAAGTACGAAATGCAAAGACAACACCAATTTGGTACTTTGGAAACTTTACACTTACAAAAATACCATACCAAAAGGCATTATAGTATAATGATTATACATTACATGATTTTGTCACATAAAAACAATATTTGACTAGATTAATTGCAGTGATTGTGATCTTGTAAAATTAATCATTATTGTTAAGTTGACATGATCCCTTGACTACATACAGTCTAGCTTATCACAGGGCAGCAGCAAACTTCAACAGTCAATATGTTCAACATCATTGTCACACCTTGTCAGTCTGCAGGACATCAAGAGACTTGCGAAACTGATCCAGATGAGATTGCAAGGAGAGACGAAACCCTTTGGAAGCAGGAAGAAGGGGAAAGTCTGGTTTTGAGGAATCCTTGGTTGAACCATCACCGGTGGCTGTAGATGGCTGAGTTATCTCCCCTTGGTCCTGAACACTGGTTTTGTCGTTTGTTTTAGATTCTGCACTAGCATTTGCTGGAGGAATGGAGTTGTCCCGGTCATTTCCTTCACTGGGTTTCTGATCCGAACATTCCCCACCATTGGTTTGGTTTGTTGGAGTGGGTGGGTTCTCTGAAGCTGATCCATGATGCAGCCATGTTTCTAATCTCCGGATCATTCTGTCAAACAGGAGTTGTTATGGATCTGAACATGTTGAGCAGAAATTCAGTTAGCAATAAACTGTATAGTTTGCAAGCATATAGTCTACAGACGCCACACACAGCAATATTCTAGCTATAAGACAGCAGCCTATATATATAAATAATCAAGTCTGGAGCAGACGATCAAGTGACAGATATTGTGAGCAGCGACCCATGCCATCTGTGTACAATGACAAACTATCAAAAAAGCCACCGAGCTTGATCACCCGATAAACTTTGTCCTGGGCACCTATTTCACTGGTTGACAGAACACCATCAGTGGTACTGGGGTCATACTTTACTGGTTGAGACAGACCTCCATCAGTGGTACTGGGGACCTACTTTACAGGTTGAGACAGACCTCCATCAGTAGTACTGGGGACCTACTTTACTGGTTGAGACAGACCTCCATCAGTGGTACTGGGGGCATACTTTACTGGTTGAGACAGACCTCCATCAGTGATACTGGGGACCTATTTCACTGGCTGAGACAGACCTCCATCAGTGGTACTGGGGGCATACTTTACTGGCTGAGACAGACCTCCATCAGTGGTACTGGGGGCATACTTTACTGGCTGAGACAGACCTCCATCAGTGGTACTGGGGGCATACTTTACTGGCTGAGACAGACCTCCATCAGTGATACTGGGGACCTACTTTACTGGTTGAGACAGACCTCCATCAGTGGTACTGGGGACCTACTTTACAGGTTGAGACAGACCTCCATCAGTGGTACTGGGGGCATACTTTACTGGTTGAGACAGACCTCCATCAGTGGTACTGGGGACCTACTTTACAGGTTGAGACAGACCTCCATCAGTGGTACTGGGGACCTATTTTACTAGTTGAGACAGACCTCCATCAGTGGTACTGGGGACACACTTTACTGGTAAGACACACAAACCAGCGGTTGACAGGGTACAGAGAAATCCTTGTTACTTACCGGAGTCCTTGTGATCGCAGATGGCTGTGGCACTCTAAGCGGAACAGCTCTGGTGGGTATCTCACCATACTTGTAAGAGACTGTTGTCAACAGAAAGACAGTATCATCATCAAACACTCCTCCCTGGCAGATCATCACTGCTAACTTGCAGCTCTTAATGCAAAGATGCCAACCTTAATTGAGGCTTTGGAGTTATCAGTGGGGTAGATAAGGGTAATTTGATGTGAAAAAGAGTAATGTCGACAATACCTAGCAGTTCCGGGTCTGAACCCACAAAAATCGACAAAACGACTTGAGAGTGTATTAACATAACAACCAATCAGAGACCTTTTATCACTGAGTAATGGATATTTTAACACTATGTATAATGAAAGTATGGCTCTCATTTGTCAGCATAATCTCACTGTAAATGCCTCATGTCATCAGTGCATTAACAATTTGCTCTCCATGATATTTTATGCATGGAAATAATTCGTGAAAAAATCATAATTTGGGGGAGGAAAAGTGTAATTAAAGTAATTAAGAAAACTTCTTCACACAAAACATGACAGCATGGCAGAGACAATTGTCTCGGGACACAGGTGTTCCTGGTACGGACCTGTATCAGTTTGAGGATGGCCATCTCATTGTACATGCGGCTGTTCTCCAGCCCCTGCTGTGTGCCGCGCTGTCTCTCATAGCCAGCTTCATTGTAGTACGGCTCTCCCACGAGGATCAAACCTGCAACACAATGGGCTGATGCATGGCACAAGTATTTCCATACAACCATTGCTCTAAAAACATGCTACACTATCCTATGTGTCAATTTAATCAAAACTGATAAGAGGAAAGCACTTATACAATGAAGGGGCCACCGGTTGATACTCTTTCCACCTGGATTCTGCTTCACCTAATAACAGATACGCCTGGCTATATATTTACACCTGGGAATAGATACTACTGACAATATTTACACCTGAAAATAGACAAACCTACATATATTCACAAGTGAGAATAGATACACCTTAGAATAGATATGCCTGGATATATTTACACCTAAGAATAGATACGCCTGGCTATATTTACACCTAAGAATAGATACGCCTGGCTATATTTACACCTGAGAATAGATACGCCTGGCTATATTTACACCTAAGAATAGATATGCCTGGATATATTTACACCTAAGAATAGATACGCCTGGCTATATTTACACCTAAGAATAGATACGCCTGGCTATATTTACACCTGAGAATAGATACGCCTGGCTATATTAACACCTAAGAATAGATATGCCTGGATATATTTACACCTGAGAATAGATACGCCTGGCTATATTTACACCTAAGAATAGATATGCCTGTATATATTTACACCTGAGAATAGATACGCCTGGCTATATTTACACCTAAGAATAGATACGCCTGGATATATTTACACCTGAGAATAGATACACCTGGCTATATGTACACCTAAGAATAGATATGCCTGGCTATATTTACACCTGAGAATAGATACGCCTGGCTATATTTACACCTGAGAATAGATACGCCTGGCTATATTTACACCTAAGAATAGATATGCCTGGATATATTTACACCTGAGAATAGATACGCCTGGCTATATTTACACCTAAGAATAGATACGCCTGGCTATATTTACACCTGAGAATAGATACACCTGGCTATATTTACACCTGAGAATAGATACGCCTGGCTATATTTACACCTGAGAATAGATACGCCTGGCTATATTTACACCTGAGAATAGATACGCCTGGCTATATTTACACCTAAGAATAGATACGCCTGGATATATTTACACCTGAGAAAAGATACACCTGGCTATATTTACACCTGGGAATAGATACGCCTGGATATATTTACACCTAAGAATAGATACGCCTGGATATATTTACACCTGAGAAAAGATACACCTGGCTATATTTACACCTGGGAATAGATACGCCTGGCTATATTTACACCTAAGAATAGATACGCCTGGATATATTTACACCTGAGAAAAGATACACCTGGCTATATTTACACCTGGGAATAGATACGCCTGGCTATATTTACACCTAAGAATAGATACGCCTGGCTATATTTACACCTGAGAAAAGATACACCTGGCTATATTTACACCTGGGAATAGAAACGCCTGGCTATATTTACACCTGAGAATAGATACGCCTGGCTATATTTACACCTGAGAATAGATTCGCCTGGCTATATTTACACCTGAGAATAGATAGACCTGGCTATATTTACACCTGGGAATAGAAAAGCCTGGCTATAGTTACACCTGAGAATAGATATGACTTGCTATATTTACATCTGAGAATAGATACGCCTGGCTATATTTACACGAGAGAATAGATATGACTTGCTATATTAACACCTGAGAATAGATACGCCTGGCTATATTTACACCTGAGAATAGATACGCCTGGCTATATTTACACCTGAGAATAGATACACCTGGCTATATTTACACCTGAGAATAGATACGCCTGGCTATATTTACACCTGAGAATAGATACACCTGGCTATATTTACACCTGGGAATAGATACGCCTGGCTATATTTACACCTGGGAATAGAACGCCTAGCTATATTTACACCTGAGAATAGATACGCCTGGCTATATTTACACCTGAGAATAGATATGCCTGGATATATTTACACCTAAGAATAGATACACCTCGATATATTTCCCCTCAGAACATACCTGACTGACAAACTTACCTTGTATGGAGACAAGGACCTGGAGGAGGTTTGAGCTGCTTGTCCACACCTCATTGCCCTAAAGGAAGGAAACTCTCTGACAAGGTTTCTAGGTTGCATATCACAAATTAATGCCATCACATGATATGTCAAACAAATGCATACATGTGTTTATCCAGCAGTAAACGGGCACCTGGTTGGAGTGCGTGAGTATGGTTTTACGCCACTTTTAGCAATATTCCAGCAATATCATGGCAGGGGACACCACAAATTGGCTTCACACATTGTACCAATGTCAGGATTTGAACCCGGGTCTTTGGCGTGACGACTGAATGCTTTAACCACTAGGCTACCTGACTGCCCTGTACCCGGTTGGATAAGATGTGAATGCATACCTTCTAGCACCAAACAAGTAGCTTTTGTTGTATACGCCTAAGGGAAATGACAAAGCAATAGGTATGCACACTGATCCATTGACCAGAGAGTTAAATTATATCTTCAGCCACATTTTCTAGTGGTCTGCATGTTATAAAACAACGTAGTTATCTCCCTTTGCATACCACAAGACAAGCTCCTCTCAGCAACAGCTGAGTTGCAGTGTGTTCTATATCATTGTTGCCACCAGTCACACCTCCCCACTGTGATAGGTGGCCACAACTATGCTTGGACTGACCGTTACGTCTTCAAACAAGTGATGACTGCCGTGATGCCAAATACCCTAGACAAATTATTTTCTTTGTTTCTCAATTTGAATTTCTTTTTCATTTCAAGTATCACATTATAGACAGAGTGAGACTGTAAGAGGGAAGTTGGGTGCCTTTCTGTTTGTCTGCAAATATGGGGTTAGAAGGCAAATTTCATGATTCTTGTGACGGTTAATATCCCTAGATTCTTTACATTTTGTTGTGTTTATTTGTTTGTTGTTCAACACCACACTCAGCAAAATTCCAGCTATATGACAACAGTCCATAAATAATCAAAACTGGACCAGACAATCCAGTGATTGATATCATGAGCATCTATCCACACAAATGGGATATGTAACGTGCATCAACTAAGTCAGTGAGTCTGAACACTGATCCCATCAGTCGCCTTTTACGACAAGCTTGGGTTGCTGAAGAGCTATTTTCACAGGTATTCTGTGATGTGTATGTATATATATTCTATGAGATTGTGAAGTTATTGTGCAACAAAGGAGGGCATTTAGAACTTGGTTACATGGTACAAGAGTGATGGAGTATTCTAGACAGCTGAGCCTATTGTGTGTTTATCAGTATCTTATTGTCAGTTGATCTGTTGATTGTAAATAGAAGTGGAATAAATGAACAGACTATTTTATCCTCTGTTCCCAGGATGACTTCTTCAAGGGTTACAATATAGCACTATAATCATTCCTTAGGGGTTGGATATGGAGCAATATACTAGTAAATGTGCATTATTATTAAAGTTGTTATTGATAATGAGTATTTCTGATTTAATGCAATGTTTTTATACCTACCTGACACTACACAGTGCTAGAGGTATAGCATCAGGTAAAGCAAAACTTATTATTACATGACGTGACCAACCTTGCCGGACCAGGTGCCGAGGAGGCTGACGCAGACTTTACCGTCCTCGTAAAGGTTTGGGTTGAGTCTGTCTGAGCAGTAGGAGTGGTAGTGGAAGATTGGTGGAGAGTTTGGGTAGTCATTGGGCAACTGGACATCAAAGAAAAACAGTCCATCTTCGTAAGGTGTTTGAGCTGGGCCAATTATCATCACAGAGTATAAATCCTGTAAAGAAAGCTTACATAATAAATAAACACGGACGAGGGTATTCTGTTTGACAAAGAAAAATGGGGTTATTTAGTGTAAGAGTGTGGGAGTACATGTGGATTAGTCTATCATACAGACCCTGAAACAAATATACCCAACAACGACCATGCGAGTCTAGATTACTGCAGTTTCAGGATTCTGGAAATGAAGAGAGTCTCTGGGCTCCTTTTTGTTATATTTTATTTAGATAACTTAACAACTTCCTTTCTGTAAAATATTTTCATTTCAGACGGACAGACAGACAGACAGACAGACAGACAGAAGTTTATTCAATATTTTAGGCACCTATAGTACAGTAGTACTTTTTTCATTTCAAAGACTAGTGAGTTGGGTTTAACGCTGCTTTTAACAGTATTCCAGTTACATCGCGGTGTGCCAGCTTAATGTGGGAGGAAAGACCGAAGTGATGCAGGTTTCAGACGTCGGTGAAACCCACTTCAATGAAACCCATGAGCACGGGTATGGTGGTGACAAACCTAGAAACATAATCAGGGCGAACCGGGATTCAAACCCAAATCATAGGTTTCTGGTGTGCCCAAGGGACGCAACTCTGTACAGCGAAACACGGCGCCTTAGACATCTGGGCCACCCGTGCCCATTTCAAAGACTAAATGTTAGTCCATATGTTGATGTTAAGTCTGTAATCTTCCTGCTATATCAATGACAGCAGTCTATAAATAGTTGAGGTTGTGATTCCCAGCATTGATCCTTACTGTCTGGGTTTAATGACACAATCAGCAAGATTACACATTTTGACATCCAAATTTCATATTGGTTGGCTTATAAGACAAATATGGGATACCGGAGACGCGCCCCAGAATCACGTGCACAGCTACTTAATCTTTACTCATCACTTACCAGTCTTTCTTCAAAACCCTTGACTACGATGCCGTCTGGAAGACTTGTCCTTAACAGTTTTAACTAGAAAACCAAAATATCAGTGTAAGACAAAGGAAAATATGAATAGTTAGAAATGAAAATAAAAGACATTGCCATTGTCATTATTATTGCCATTGTAAAAGTTATTGCCATTGTAACATACTACCTACATCTACAAAGAAAAACAACACACTGTGAAATATATCAAAAATATATCAGAAATATTCCCGCTGTATGACAGCAGTCTGTAAATAATCGAGTCCGGACAAGACAATCCAGTGATTGATATCATGAGCATCAATCCACACAATTGGGATATGATGCCATGCATCAACCATGTCGGCAAGCCTGATCCTGTTAGTCGCCTCTTATGACAAGCATAGTCGCTTATTATGGTGACAAGCATAGGCGCCTTATACAGCAAGCATGAGTTGCTGAAGACCTATTCTATCCCGAATCTTCATGGGTCAGAGAAAGAATTAGTGAAAACAAAGTGGCAAATAATCATAAATATGCATGCTGCCCAACCATACCTCATAATAATTTACCTGATACACATGGGGTTTCTTTAATCAGCCTGTAGCATGTACAGTGATGCTATATGCTCCATCTGGGGCATACGCAATGCTTACCTCTTTCCTAACGGCTGTCATGAAGCCTCGCTGGTCTGTTGCAGCATGCTCTTGAGATCGGAATTTTTGCGATGCCAAAACTTCACTTTCCATTTGAAATCCTAAAATAAATACAGAAAACTATGTTGTCACATTGAAAGTGATATTTTTTAAAAACAAACATTCCACAGAGTGGCATTCTAAAACAAACAAGCATATAGTCGACGAAGTCATCGAAAGCCCCCAAACATTTTAACACGTTTGGCAAGAAATATTTAACAGTTTATTTGTTATAGTCCCTAAGTGAACCCACCCTATATTAAAACTTAAATCCAACTTGCGTCTTATCTGCTTGCTAGGTGCCTATATAAAAACACCAAATTATTGCCAGCTTTTCTGGATTCAAGGACAGGTGAGGTAAAATTGGGATTAGCATTGCAGTCCAACATCAGTACCCCACTTGGACACTATACTGACTCCAAGTCGACCAGTCCGTGTTTTATCTCCTTACAGCTGAGGGCCAGGCAGGTTTACAACAAGTACACTCTTTTAACATGGCACGTCTTTTGGTAAGACAAGTCCGTTCTACTGACCATCTGCTCTCCAAACAGACGCTCTAGACCATGGAGACCATGGAGACCACGGAGACCACGGAGACCACGGAGACCACGGAGACCATGGAGGCGGTCAATTCAAGAACAGAAACAGGCCTTTTTCATGACATTCGACAGTGACACATTCTGGACCTTCATGAGTGGACCTACATTAATTCTACATCCTGATACGTAATGCTGCTGCTACTTATTTGACCCATTGTATTAACTGTTTTGTAAACTGCAATCTCTGCAAAACTGCAAGACCAGCAATGGAGGCATGTGAAATTATTCTAACCCTGGTCCCCAAGGTATTCACTCATTAGAAACAAATGGCAATGGAGGCAAAGTCTGTTTGGGAATCATTATTCCTAGTCTACTTGGTTTCTCCTCATATCTAGTTACACAAACCACAAGTCTGAACTGAGCATTGTTGAGCAGTGGACTAGATAAACTAACCCATGGTATAATAAAATATATTACCACCCTATATTTGTTACCTTTACTGGCTTTAGACAGAATCGACATTGCTCAACACAGACGAGATACTTCCCCAAGATCTATTACCCCAATTTATTTGCTACCTTACCCCCTTTTATTTGCTACCTTTACTAGGGGTGAAACGATACAGCAAGGTCACAATACGATATGTATCATGATACACGGTGCGATACGCATATTTATGTTAAATCGCATGAAAACTTCTTGACAATAAATATTTCGAAGCAGGCTAGCTGTAGACACATGTTCGCTGTGGCTATTTTTTGTAGTGAACTTGAAATGCTAATTACAACACATATTTCGATACCTGACTAAGAAAAACGCAGATGTATCGATTCACCCCTATCTTTACTGGCTTAGTCGAAGTCTACGCTGTGGAACACAGACATGGTACATCCTTAAAATGTTTTACCACCCTATATTTGTTGCCTTTACTGGCTTTAGTCAGAATCGACATTGCTCAACACAGACAAGGTACTTCCCCAAGATCTATTACCCCATTTTTTTGCTACCTTTAGTCGGAGCTGATGAGTTGGCCTCTTCTGACTTCTCCACCTCCTCTGCCAGTGTAAAGCCAGTCTCCTTCAGTTTCACACAAGATGGCGTCTTGCAGCTCGGCTCCTCCGTAACATCCGTCTGTGAGTCACTGTCCCTCACCTTATCACAACACGGCTCCGCCTCCCCCATATCCTCCTCCTTAGAATTATCTTCACCTGTACTGGCGTCCACTTTACAGGGATGGCTTGATGGTGTGATAATTTTGCCATCAACATCTGGACTATCCACATCTCCTTGTGATAGCTGAGAGGCAGTCTCAATAGCTGCTGGATCTGTCTGTGTTGCAATTGGGTCAGTCTGTGTCGACTCACATTTCTTCCACCTCAAGTTCACCTCCTCCTGTATTTTCGCCATCAAGATGTGGAGTCTACGACATATCTTTAAGCACAACTCTTTAGCGTTTTGTGTTGAAACTGGGTCTGGATTGCTGTCCTTCTTTGCGTCATTGTCTCCAGCTGCGCTTACTGATGCACCATTCTGTGCAGCTTCGGTACCAGGTCTTGCAGACACATCTACTGCTGCATTATCCCCTTGAGCAGATGCCCTATCACATATGGGCTCGGAGTTCAATGATGCTGAAACCTCTGTCCCCGAATCATTGGAAGTATTTGAGTCCTCATCACCCTTCTTTGAGCATTCTTTATTTTGTAAATTTTTCACCAGTTCCTCCTCACTGACACATATATTCCTCTCTATTTCCCCAGGAAGACTCCGTGAGTCCTCGGCAGTAGAGTGGTCAAGATCCTCCTCATCACCTTGTCCTTCATCCTTGCTGTGGTCCGACAGACCGTGATGCCAGGACTGGAACATCTGTTCCAAGTGCTTGGCCAGTTTCCGCGACTTCTCACACTTTATTTCCAGTCGCACTGCTGAAATGAGATCAGTGATCTCTTCCTCCTCAAAGAAGTTGGATTTCAGTATTTTGTCCAAATCTTTGCAGATTTTGTAAATGCGAAGTATGTCATGGTAACAGGTGCTGACATTGGGAAGATTCTGGTCAAGCCCTTGGAAAAGAGACTCGAGTTTTGACAGAGCTGTCTGTGCTCGCACCAGTAGTGTGTCCAGCTCTGTCTTCTTGTGGGTGCACAGCATGAAGAAGGACTTGTTTGCACCTTCACTGAAACCACAGAGATAGGTTAATTAAGCTCATGATACAAGATTTCAACATGTTAGTGAGTAGGCCATCAACCATTTTATCTCCATACATTATTACCAGTACAAAACAAATAAATGAAAACCTGAAAATATCAAAAACTATAATCCAAACAGAAATACCAAACAGTAAACAGAAAGGAGTCTTCATTGTGGAATCCACAAACATATCAGCAGCGAGCGAATCGCGGCGCCTTAGACGACTGGGCCACTCGTGCCCCCTCTCTGCAACTGAGAAGGAGTAAGGTACCAATTCTTTATTCAGTACCTGTGTAGGCCTACGGCCCATGGTAGGTTAATCCCCCCTTTGTTTGTCTGTTGTTCAACATCGCACTCAGTTTAATGACGACATCCTGTACATAATCAAGTCTGGACCAGACAATCCAGTCTGGGTATTTCAACACACCATCCACCAAGTCAACAAACCTGACCACACGAACCATTTACTTGCCTTTTACAACTAGCATAGCTTGCTTGGGACCAATTCTAACCCCAAAACTACAAGCATGTGTATAGTGCTGACAGACCAAGATCCATAACTGGATCAACTCTGCTACCAAGAGTGCCTGAAGCCACTGACCTGTACATGGTATCATCTGCATCCATCAATTCCTCTTCATTCTCGGTCTCCCACGAAGTGTCCGTGCCAGATTCCGACCCTGATGAGCTTGACGTCTCCCACTCTGAGCTTCCATAGTCACTTGGCTGGGGACACACACAGAAGTATTCAGTTATTCAGGAAGGATAGCAACTCCATATTAGGTGAGTTGGGCTTAACGCCGCTCTGAACTGTATTTTTAGTTGTTGCACCCAACTCAATCACTCAGTAACACAAGTTACGTTGTACATTAGGGCTGGGACCTTGCTCACGATCCGATACGTATCATGATACTTGCATGTGCTCTTATCTGTGGTCCCAAAGCCATGTCTTGTCATAGACAGGATGGCTAAATACCTGACACACTGATGATTTACAGTTGGCAGTGTTAAGTATGGCACAATGGATGAAAATACTTATGTTTTCACTACTTATTTCCCCTACTTATTAGTGTTTAGTGTAACACTTATCAAGGCAAACACTGAAGGAAAGAATCGACATTTTTTACTTAGTGTACGACTGTGATCAATACTTGTACATGAGAAGTAAAAAATCACAATCAAACAACACATCACTGTATCGTCCCACCACTAGTGTTCAGTGTGTCTACATATCTACCACTCTGCTCGGTCTGACATTGAATTTGAATTATCACTGTCTTGAATAGTATTTCCGTTACATCAGCTAGATGTGGGAGGAAAGTCCAAAGTGATGCAGATCCTAGACGTTTGCCACGATCATAGGTTTCTGGCATCCCCAAAGGACGTAACTCAACAGCAAGGGACAGCAAATCTAGGCACCCGAGATGACTGGGTCACCTTTGACCCTTCGTTAAGTAGGAAAACAGTGGGCTTGGTTGCTGAAATTTAGGGCCAGTTGTCCACTTAGACTTAGAAATATTGTGTATGTTTGTTGTTTAGCACTACACTTGGGCAATATTCCTGCTATATGACAGCAGCATGTAAACAATCAAATGGGGCTGGGCAATCCAGTGTGTGATATCATGAGCATCGATCCACGCAATTGGGATCGATGACATGCTTCAACCAAGTCAGCGAGCCTGACCACCTGATCTCATTAGTTGCCTCTAACGACAAGTATATTCGTCTTTTACGGCAACATGGGTTGTTGAAGACCTATTCTACCCCGAATCTTCACGGGTGTCAGGGTACGATCATCCAAGTCACGGAGTCTGACCACTCGATCCATTAAGTCACTCCTTTCAAACAATACTGGTTGCTGGAGTCAAATTCTAACCCAGAATCCCCATGGGGAATAGAGAAATGGAGGATCATCCATTTTTCGGGATTTAATTACCTCCTGGCAACCAGAATCACTTCAGATATATTGTATGAATACCATCAAAGTATAACAACGAACAATTTAGGAATATTGCCAGCTAACTGTAGTAAAACAGCATGACCAGGCTAGATGACTCATGTCATCACCCCGTCTTATATCCTTGCTATCTACTCACATCATCATTGACTATATAGAGCTCCTGCGGGTAGCATGACGACACGGATCCATCCGGCCACTTGACAGAGATGCCATTCCCTGGGTCCAGTCGGTGCACCTGTCCCACAGCATGGAGTTTCTGTTCTCGGTCCTGGACAACATATGGCAGTGTCAGACAACCAGAGTGAGGGAGTTTGAATATTTCTTTGAATGACATTTCAGTTGTAATATCACAGTGTTATCAAAATGTTGGAAAGTCCAAAGTGATGCATGGCATCGGCAATTATGAATTCAGTAAAACATGTGAGCATGTGCTTGCTAAAGGGAAGTAACTCCACTCATCACTTAGTGTCACCTCAGACCTCATGAAAACGTTGGAGTCGACGCTGTGATATTGCTGGAATATTGGTGAAAGCGGCGTAAAACCATACTCACATTCAAGAAGACCCATGTCCCCTACGTACCCATGAAGAACAACATTTAATGGAAGTACTTTGCAGCAAGGTTTGCTGGATTATGCCATGGTGCTCTGTAGCTGATTTGTTTGTTTGTAAAATCAAACTAAAAATAGTACCATGGCACTGTTGCTGACCAGGTACATTCCAAGTAAACCTAATGTTGTATGGAGTGAAATCTTAAGCCGTAAAGTAAGGAAATGTGGTCTGGCAGAATTTGGCGTACCTGTTTTTGTAGTACCACATAAGGGTAATAGTTATTACACTGGGAGCCACATGGAACTGACAATTTGCTCTGAATGAAAGCCACACAGTTCATGGACAGATGTTCCCAACAACAAACTGACAAATGCACATTTAAGTCTTCCTACCTCGAATCCTCCAACACGGATGACACTGTGTCCTGGTCGAAACTTGTAGTCAGGGTGATCCTTAATGTCATACACACTGACCTCCTTCTGCTCGCCATACTCCATCGGTCTGCAACAACAGTAAATACTTAGCTTACAACGAAGTAAGTTGAGTAGAGTTTGGTCATTTGGGGCAATATTCAGGCAAAATATTGTCACGGACATCAAGCATCATCTTCACACATTGTATTTAAAGTGAGTGAGTGAGTTGGGGTTTACGCCGCTTTTAACAGTATTCCAGTTATATCACGGCGTGTCAGCTCAATGTGAGAGGAAAGCCCGAAGTGATGCAGGTATCAGACGTTTACCACTCGGTGAAAACCCACGAGCACGGGTATGGTGCTGACAAACCTAGAAACATAATCGGGGCGAACCTGGATTCGAACCCACAATCATAGGTTTCTGGCGTACCCAAGGGACGCAATTCTCGACAGCGAATCGCGGCGCCTTAGACGACTGGGCCACCCGTGCCCCCCATTATATTTAAATGGGGAATACAGGTCTTCCGTGTGACAAGTCAATGCTTTAATTAATCACGAGGAAACCCAACTGCCTGGTTTAACTATTGAGTTAGGCTTAATGCCTTGCATAACATTATCTTTAATGTATCAAGGAATAAATACATTGAAAGTGATTCGGGGGCATTTGATTGCTTACAAAGCAATCTTTTTTGTGTTTATGTTTCCATAAACTGAATCAAAGTTAGACTATGTCTGCTAATGGACTGCTCTTTCCTAATTGGCTGATGATAGAATGGACAGGGGCTTGTGTTGTATTACTGCACTGGATGTCCATGATTTTGTATCGCTATTTACAGTTATTTTTGTGTTAAGCATTTAAATAAGCAGTCTGTGAAGTCATTACTGTTGACATATCTATTTGTAGGAATTGACTTCAACATGTTCATGGAGTTATAAAGGTGAAAGCCAGTGTGCACACTTTGCGTAAATCCACTATTCTATGTGAGTTAATATGGCATAAAGGCAACAAGTACCAAGTGGAAAATAATTAAAGACGTCAACGGCCTTGGATATGTTTGTCTAAGAGTTGTAATCATGACATCTAATTTTCCGATAATTACATCATCATAGTTAGCAACTTCAGTAGGAAGTGAACGGCTTATGGAAACCAACAATACAAATAACATAGTAAACATGGTAACTCATGTACGTCAATAGAGGCAGCTCCTTCCCCTACTGTAGCAGACATCGACCGATCTGGAGGGGTATATGGTGTGATGTACCCTGTGTAAGAACCTATGTACCCCAAGCAGTCAGGCCATGTGCCCCAAGCGATTGGATGATAATTCATTCGTACAGACCCCGAATATATGTCCACAGTTTCACCAAGTAAACTTGTAGCAGACAACGCAAAAGAACGGAGTTACTTCACTTTAACCAATGCATTCGGATGAACATCGGTTTATTCCAAAGTAACGATACTTATTCAAGATATGCAAATTACCTATGATGTGTGCCAAATGATTTTTCAGCAAGCTACACAAAACCTAACTGCCCACTCCTTAACTAATCATGAGTTGGTATTTTAATGTAAGGTGAGAAAAACATTGATACACCTAAAAATAACAGTAATAGGGTTGAAAAGGCATCAAATACATCCAAGCCTACTCCCTACCTGTTTGATTTGCCGACTTCATATGGTTTCATCCACTGGGTGAGACAGGTTCGTTCACGATGGTCACAAGACACCACCAAACCATACTGATTTCCTCCAGTTACATCTGCAAATGCAAAGACAACTTATGAAACTGAAAACCAACATCGCATCATAAGGACCATAATGTTACAGCAAGTCCACAATCAGTCTTTCGAGAATTCTGATGTGAATAAACTGTAGAAAAAGAAATACATCTCTCTCCAATGTTATCAATGTTAGATCACATCTGAACCACGTAATGACAAGATGATGAATTTGTTTTAAACACAGCTTTGAACAGTATTTCAGTAATATCACAGAGTGTCAGCTTGATGTGGAGGACAGACTGAAAGAATGCAGGTAGTAGACATCTACAACTTAGGTGGGGCCCATGAGTTATGATGGTCTAATGTTGACAAATCAAACAGGATTCAAACCAAATATTGTATGTTCCTGGTATGCCTAAGGGACACAACTCTGCACAGCTGCGGCCTTAAAGGGGAAGTGTACACGCAAAAATCACTTTCTTTCTTTTTCTAAACAAAACGCAGTTTTAGAATTAATTAGTATCTGTGTTTGAAAATATACACTCATTTTTTTCACAGTGAACGTAGGAAGCTCTCAATAGTGTGAAAATGATATGCCGTTATGAGGCCTTCGTTTTTCGAGCTAAACAGGCCTGAGTTATCCCCCTTAGATTATGACGTAATTGGTGCCAATTCAACTGGGTCCCTGTCTATTCTCAACGCAAAAGATATCAAGTACCAGTTTGCGGTAAAACAACATGGCCTACGACACACTCCGGCGCAGTGGTGACTCAGCATAACACTATGCTGGCTGGCATCTGAGACGCTACAATCACACACCTGTACCTACACCACGTGAAGCGGCTCTAACAAAGCATGATGACGTCATAATGTTTATCAATTGGCACCAATGACGTCATATTGCAAGGGGCATAAGCCATGGTGTTTTTGTTGTGGAAATAGAACACTTGGTAAATGTGAAAAATATAAATCGTTTTAATGCGAAAAATATGTTAATTAATTGTGATATTTTTATATTTTTGTCTATGACACTTCTAGGTTAACACTTTTAATGTGGAAAAAGTACAAGAAAAATAGGTTCATTTCCGTGTGAACTTGCCCTTTACATGAATGGGCCACCCATTCCACCCCTGACATGACCAGAAGGCGGCATGAGGGAGGAGTTTCATGCCATAGTAGAAAGTACTTCACCTTAGTCATGGCAGCAAAACAAAGTCAAGTCATCAGCCCAAATAGTGTAAGAATGGGAACCTAGGATACAACCACACGTTAGGTCAGTAGAGTCAGTCAGTCAGTTTTCGCTCTCAGTTCTCATCCTCAACCTTGCCCTTCTGAATTAAATTTTCTTTAAATTGGCAGGTTCATTGGGGACCTACTACTCCCTGCAATCCCAGTGACTGTGATGCATGGAATGTTTACCTTTAGCATCCACCACATAATCTCCGGGGAAGTACTCAAGTTCGTCCAGATGGTGGATGGGGTAGAGTTCCGGGGAAGGGATGTCCTCTTCCTCTGTACCGTCCTATAACATGGACACACAGACATACAGCACACAACAATACAACAAACTCCCAGTCCCTCAAACATAGCAATCTATATCATGATTCAGTGTTCGTCACTCAGCATTAAAGAATCACTGCTCTTTGTTACAACCGTAATGTTAAAAAACCCATACCAAAGACATATCACAAACTGACTTAGCTTTACTTGCTAATAAACTGTACATTACACAATACACTACTATCATATCCCAGACAAACTACTGTGGTGCATATAATGGCCGGAACACTATTTCATCCCTCAAAAGTTCGAGGCCTAACTAAAGCCACTTGTTCTACAACATGTATTACCGTATATCGCTGTGTGCACAAGGCGAGTTTTTCGTACCTAGAATTAGGAGGCTTTCAAGGTTAAAGAGTTTTTATGGTTTTTTCCCCCAAACACAAAGACATTACTGTGAGCACGTAACACCAGAAATACCATGTCAACAAATCTATACTGAGGTACAGAAACTAATCATGTAATAATCCTGTAATAATCCTGTAATTGATCACGCACCTGCCACACAACACTGGCCATGGTGTATGTATAGCATATCTCCACAGCAACTTTATCCCCAATGTTGACAACCCTCTGGGGTAACAATAATTTCTGTTTGGCACGGCGTCCTCGGACTTTCTTCAGTGACTTAGTAGCAAGATGAGGTCCTTTCCTGGAAGTTTTCTTCTTCTTGGCCCCTGAGGCTGAGTTGGAGTGTCCTGACGCTTGGGATCCAGCATCAGAGCCGTCATCATCTACAACATCTTCATAATCTTCATCATTCTCTGTAACTTCACCGTTGGTAACTGGCTCAACAGCCTCCTGTTCCGCTGCTGGGTCAGCTTCCTCTGCCTTGTCCACGCTGTCCTCGCTCTTCTCGGCATCACCTGACTTGGCCTTGAACACTTTCTCTGTGCAACACTCGTCGACCTCCTTGGGCGACATTTTGGAGATTACAGGAGGCACGAACATTCGTTTTGGTGGACTCGTTTCCAGTGTGTCTGTGTCTTTAATGGTGTAGTATGCCTTATCACCAATCTGAACACTACAATGAGCAAACCAGTCCAGAGGACGGAGCCTGCAAACGAGTCACAAACAGTTTGACATGGTTCAAGATAGTGAATTTTGTGTTATGCTGTTTTTTTGTGTTGTTTAAAGCTGCACTCAGCAATTCCAGCTATATGACGGTGGTCTATATAAAGTCTGACCAGACAATCCAGTGATTGACATCATGAGCATTGATCTACGCAATTGGGATAAGATGACATGCATGAACCAAGTAAGCAAACCTGACCCCCCGATCCTGTTAGTCACCTCTTACGACAAACATAGTCGCCCCTTACAGCAAGCATGGGTTGCTGAAGACCTATTCTCAATTTCAACATGGATAAATCAGACACAGTATACAAACTCCGAACCAGCCAGTCCTTGTTTTATACCCTTAATGCAGAGCATGAGGCAAGGTAACAACAAATAACATCTTTTCCTCTCTGGGCAGATGCTCGATCCACTAGGCCATGGATATGGCCTTAGCACATATGAGTGAATGAGGTTTTCTTAATACTTAAGTCAGCAATATTTCAGCTATATTAGGTTAAAAGCGGCAACAGCACTGCAGCCCAATTCATTTATGGCTGCTGGAGGAATAATGTGTACAAGCCTGTGAAGTAGTGAGGAGGCTCATGCTGGGCTAACTCACATCAATATCAATTAAATTTATTTCTGGTTTTACACTTACCGTTTCAAGTCCTCTCCTTGGACAATTCGCTCTGGTGGTGACAGCTTGGCAAGAGGGTTGGCAACCTTGGAGAACCCTCTACACAACCAGTGTACTTCTACACTCTTAGTCACAACCTGGCACAAAAATAGGGATCAATGAAATGTCAAAATGTGCAACCGTTTACATTTTTTAATGATTAGGCATCAGCCATTATGCATAAATTCAATCATTACCATCTAAACAATTCAGGTCTAGTTTTTTTCCTTCTGCTTTTTGATTCACAACATACTACAGAAGACTAAGGACCTGAGAGAGCTAGAATGAGTGAGTGAGTTGGGTTTTACCGCCACTTGGAACAGTATTTCAGTTATATTATGGCATGTTAGCATAATGTGGGAGGAAAGCCTAAAGTGATGCAGGTCTCAGATTTTGGTAAAACAGTGGTATGGTGCTAACAAACCTAGAAACATAATCAGGACGAACCAGGATTCGAACCCATGACCATAGGTTGCTGACCTGTCCAAGTGATGCATCTTGCGGAGCCTTAGACAGCTGAGAGAGCTTGTATAAACGTGAGTATTACGCACTCAGTTACAGTGCAATCCTGTTTGGTTAAGTGCATTGCATACAAAGTACCTCTTGTAAAACTACAAATACACAATGAAAAAGCTATCCGTACCGATTCCACCACAACATTTATTGTCATCCTGGGTTTGCTGTCAATCATGGAGTCATTGTACATGGGCGTTTCCTGCAACCACTTGACGTCGCACAGGTCGTGCATCGTTGCATGCAGCTCTCGCCCAGGGTATGTGTTACAATTACAGAACTCTGTGTGCTGGAAAGTCAACATTAAGAATTTTTTAAAGGACTATCTTAAAGGAAAGACATATGGAAGTGCATTTATTTAACCCAACCACAAACCACATGCTTTTATAACAGTAGAACAAAACATAACTGTATCTATGTACTGCTGATGTTGCCCAAGTAGCTACCCATGAAAGAAAACATTTATTTGATATCATGTTTTTCAAAAGCACAAGATATAGATAATGGAGAAAGAATCTTATGAAAAAAAGATGAAATATACTTGAAATCACAGTTCTAATAAGATGAAGACATACCCGTCCTCGTTTCTCCAAAGCATCCTCAAAGACACAAATATCACTATCACTGATGACACATCTAGAATGAAAGAAGTGTGGGAGACTTGTAAGAACAATAATCAGCTTTATACATTGTTCCAATATGCTCTAACACGAAGAATGGAGTGAGAAGGCTTGGATCAAAAAAAATTTCAACAATATTCCAGGAACAACACCATCACACCAACAATGAGCTTCACATATTCGTACCCATGTCGGGAACCAAACCCAGGAACCAAACCCAGGTCTTTGGTTGGGGGAGCAAATGATCGGTACCACTTGGCCACTCCACACAGAGAGTGAGTGAGTATGGTTTTATGCCGGTTTTAGCAATATTCCAGCAATATCATGGCTGGGGCCACCAGAAATTAACTTCAAACATGATACCCATGTGGGGAATCGAACCCGGGCCTTCGGCATGACGGACAAACGCTTTAACCACTAGGCTAATCCCCCACTCCACACAAAAATTGATAATAGAGAACAAGAAAGTTAACATATACTATTCCACTTGTGATAGGGATATTTCTTATCATGCTTATCTTGCCATGATTTTCATGTCAAGTGAATATATAAACATGATAAATAGAATGACAAATCTCATTATCTCTCTTAAAAACTTAAGTAGTATATTTATTTCGTGTTCAAACAAAAGATGACACGTTTCAGTAATTAACTTAATGTTGATCCTTAAATTAAAATTAAAATCCCTTTGCCAAATAAGTAAAAACTCCCCGTAAATTTTCATAATACTGTTATCCATGTTATGAAGATCCTGGCACGAACACAAATGAACGATGTATTTGCAGATGTATTTGGTTGATCACACAAGATAGCAGGAGTCACAAACCTTGCTCCATCAGGGAATAAGAGAGTTACATCTTCATTTACAGTCTCGATTCTACCAACCCAGGAGTCAAGTGTCACCTCTCCAGGGTCAGTGTCAAATTCCTAGAAAACAATATAAATCTTCACATACATGTTCCAGCATAGCCTGGTCTGCAGACTGACACCATAGTAAGTCATAATACCCACTCAAAGGTAAGAGCCACCCCAAAACTTTGGACCAATGAATCCCATAGCCTCTATGGGTGCATACACGTACATCATGTTCTAACTCTAAGTAAATGTTCATAAGAACCAAAAGCAAAATAATTTTTAATATCACTTTTTATTTCAAATGTTCATCACAGTTACAAATCTTAAATTTTCACCACTCCAGGATAATGACTTGATATAGTAATGTAGAACAGTATCAATTTCCAGAGTATCTGATATCCAGATGACAACAACAACTAAACAAATGATTTGAAATGACACACAATGAAGCATATCCTGTATCACATTTAATCTCAACACTTCATATTGTGGTGCATCTGTACATTTATGACTCCTTTCAGCCTTACTCTTATCATGCTTATCCAGAATCATATAATATGTATGGTTACATGTCACACCTAAATCATCACTGCATATTTCAAAGAATAATAATTCTATTTCTTCACAACAAAACCCTCCATAAGAATAATTTGCTTACTGTGATCGGATCCAGACTCTTGCTGTCAATGTTGTAGATATATTTATCCGTGCCCAGTATATGCAGATGGCATGTGACATTCATGTCCTTCACGTAGCCCCTCTGACTGTCCTCATTGAGGATGAGACGGCGCACAACATCTCCCGGCATCAGTGATCGATCAACAAGGATCACCTGACAAGCAACATCCATAACATGATATTTCAGGCTATTAGCTATCCCAACATACAAAAGATATTAGTAAGAGTGAGACTGAGAGAGTGAGTGAGTTGGGTTTAACACAATTTTGAACAGTATTCCAGTTATGTCATGGCAGGTCAGCCAGATGTGGGAGGAAAACTTGAAGCGATGCAAAACCAATGAACACGGGCATGGACCTGACAAATCTAGAAACTTAGTAAGAGTGAACTAAGAACATTAATAAGAAATAAACTATGGAATTAGTATATGCTATTGTTCTTGTGACATCTGATAATAATATTGCAACAAATCATCAAATTTAAATGACTTTAAATAGACCACAATGCAATAGCAAATACAGATCAATATAAGGAATGACAACCTGATCTGACTTGTAATCATTGCAAGGTGATATATCACAAATAGTAATGATAATATAGTACCATATAATGACACGGTAGAGAGTTCAAGTCCTCACAGTCCTTGCTTTATCATAACTTCATAATAAAAACCTGCAGTCAGATATTGCGAAATACTGAGAGTATACATGTACTGTGATATATGGAATTATAGTTCACAAGATGCAATCTATACTCTGAATATACATCCCTTTCCAAATACCGGAATTCAAGTCAGAGTTATTAAAAGAATCAAAAGAATCAACAATGTCTCTCACTAGCTGATACTCTCTGAACAAGTGTCATTTGCCCCATTAAAACTTGATTCCTTGGGCATTCAATTATTATTTTGTATATATACACTTTGAATAACAATTAGAGCTCTAGTACTGAAATTTAAACTTTAGATAGTAACAGGGATCAAGGGCTAAGAAAGCAAAGATGAACACTATAATGTTCTCAATAATAAAAACAAATATAACCCTCAGTGGGGATTCCGAGATAATATATTGTTGAGTACCCTAATTTCGAATGACACCTGTTTCTGAACAGCCAATACTGATCAGCTGATAGTGATTTTTTGCGTTATAACAAGAGGTGTGACATCGCACACATCCAGCCCGTCAACTTTGGGTTCATGTGAAGTACTGTACACCTAACAGAACAGTCCATCATCATTCAGACTTTTGGTGACTATCATGATGAAAAGTGGAAGTAAAAAAGTGTGAACATTTCTGTAAGACACTCTGAAATATGTTACAATTCAAGAAACATTCATATTTTCTGAATAGGTTTCAAACTTAAATTACTTTTAGAGTCATAATGCCGACATGCAAGAATTATGCTGATAACTGTGCACCATACACAGCCATTCATTCATAGAAACCCTGCTAAAGTACCAACCAATCTGGGCTTCGAAAATAGGTGACATCACTTGAGTGCAGTGCTGCAGAAGTTTACGGACGAGGCAATGGAGGTCATGTGTTTTATCAGTGACTCTTTTTATGTCGGGATATTGCTGAATGCTATTGTTGAAGACATCACCTACCAGTATACACATCAATTTGATTCTTTTACTTTCATCCCTCGCAATATCAGCAATGTTGTCAAGATTAGTGAAGTGTGAGTCAATTAGCTAATTTGGGGAGATGACAGGTTGCTACAACCAGCATGCTGCACTCTTAACACTTTTCTAAACACACTTAAACCATAAATGTCTCCATGTGCCATATGTGAAGGCTGCAAATTGTTAATCAATACCATTCCTTTCAGGGTTGAATGAATGAATAATTTGGATGGCTTCCAAGTTCAATTAAAAGTCCAATTGTTGCATGGAACATTTATTAAGATTGGATTTCAAAACAGTTATACGACCTTTATAATTGTTACGGTATGTTTATATACTGGAATTATCATACTAAACACCAGAACTGTCAACAGACTTGACTGTTCCTCTCACACGTCTTAAACAGCGGGCACCTTGTCTTCCTGTACAACTGTCTCCTTTCCGTCTGGGTGCCACGCCACCCGAACTGTCCCATTCTTGATCTGACCAGGTAGATCATCACTTTCTTCATCGCTGCTCAGGAATTCGGAGTTTTCTAGCACTAACCCATAGATGTAACCTTTCTCTGGGGTAACCAAGCAGACCTCATCTTCCTCGAAAATGGTGCAGGCAGCCATATTTATCGCCGAAATGTCTTCTGGGAAAATTGAGTTACAGCCCTACACATCAAAAACAGGAATAGGAATGTATTAATTATCAAGTATATATATACAAGAAACCAGATACTTGGATGTATGATAGGCGAGTCTATGTGTATAAGACAAGTAATTTAAGCAAGTTTAATCGTGTACGGTTCTAGGGATATGAATGCAAACCGAAATGCATTACGTCTCTCATTAGGTTTCCTTTATGCTCATGCATACTTATACATCGATGGGTTATGCAAAATACGCATGTAACGTAAATCCGAATAAGGATAAAAGCACATTTATACACGGTTATTTACCTAGTTATTTATTTTGCAACGAGAAAATGGTAGAAAGTGGTTATATCATGCCCAAACGTATAAGCCATGCCCATACTAAGTATGAATAGCGCCCACACTAGGTATGAATAGCACCAACCTCATAAATCGATTTGTTCTTATGATGTACAGTACTTTATGACAACCATCATCAAAGTATCAGTGAACGAGTATACAGTGCGTGTGTGTGTGTGTGTGTGTGTGTGTGTGTGTGTGTGTGTGCGCGCGCGCACAAAGTACGTGGATCTACACTACCAGCTGTCGGACTTTCGGTTTTTTCTGGAAGCCTAGGGGCTGAGTGCGTTAGAGCGCTGACTTTGTGTGCTGGCGATTAGGTGCATCACTCTGGCATTGTGTGTTCGAATCCCGGATGGGACTCAAACACAAAAGAGTACTAGAATGTGCACTTTACTAAGAAAGTGTTATCCCAAATATAACATTTGTTACATTTTACAACTTTCTAAAAGGCATTGTGTGTTCATCTAGAGTCGCTATCGACATCAACCTCAACATATATAGCATGCAGTATACTCCTCACAACGGAATGGAGAGATACGTGTACGTTTCAGTAAGGTAACGAATAGAGATTACCAATAAGTGACTCCCTTAGACTAACTTTGAGTTACGGATATGAAAGTATTGTGAGAAATTGTGACATAAATATTCTTTAAATTTATAATAGAAAGAAGCTAAGAGAACCTCTTGATTTTCCTGAAACCGAGGAAATCTAGACTTGACCAAATACTGTAGACCTACAATGGAGTTTTAGGGTGTCTCGTTTTCATCGTCTGTATCAGCGACTATGTCTCTCCCCCCCCCCCCCCCCCCCATAAACACTAAACATATAAATCACGCAACTAGCTGCAGACACCATAAGTCCATGAGAGGAACGTGTATGTCGAAATAATCTCATCTAGAACGTGGCCTATCTTTCCGAGGCAAGGTTAACTGACTATGAAAGTCTATAACGAAGAGAATTTATGGATGTCAACTTCTTTATTATGAGAAACACAGCCTTTCGGAGTTATTACGTTCTCCTATATCAAGTCCAGAGTGTACAGTCAGTTAAATCCCTTACCTCGGGAAGATTAACGTGACCTTAATAAACTGTTATTCAACAGAACATGCAAGATATATACTATCGTATACATACAAGTGGTTTATATATATGATACACTGGTCACTGTGTTAGCACACCTCGCGTGTTCTGTGTGTCGTGTGGTTGTGCAATCTTAACGTAAACCAGCTGTGACAAACATCGAGAAATCTCCCCAACTGCGTTTCAAATTTGTCGGAAGTACACGACTGTCTCGGATAAACAGATGTTTATGTTAACAAAATGTTACTCATGATAAAATGTCCATTTTAGGGTACGTTTTTTTATGATAGACCGGTTCTCCACGTTTACGCAATTATAAAACTAATAAAGATACGCACACCTGTTCTACAGTCTGTAGGTGAAGTTGACCACTGATGCATAGGCTACGAGATACGCCCTCGTAGGGGCAGACACCATTTTCTGTCTCTGGTTGGGGACAATGTTAGTTGTTAATTTGTTGGTGATGTTTGCTATTTAATTATTGTTTGCTTTTGTGTGTCTATTTTGGTTTGTGTTGCATCACACGATCATCATCCGCTTTGCACGTGTTATGTCCGACATGCACAGATGACCGACTCGCCATATACAAGTGTTATATTGCTGACCACATGTCGTGGATAATACTGTATACATTTTATTTTATTGATATAACTTACTAATATAGATACATGCTGATCTTATAATATTGCTGACGATGGAGTAAATATAATAGATTCTATATAGTCCGACATCTGTCTCATCTAAGTTTTGGTTGCACGTCCCCTTATAGTGTCATAAACCGAACTCGGCGTATTCCTAATTTCGAGAATGCGTGTTTTGTGGTCCATGAGCAAATCCAATCTGTCACAAAGTTTAAAACATGCGACATACTTAAAACATTTAGTCCATGAAAAATTAAATGACAGTAACCTACAGTGTTGGACCAGTGCAAGGGATACGTCTTCAAAAGGCACAATGTATAGTATCATAAAAAATGATTGCCTAAATTTTGAATATTATTTAAACGTACTGTAGGAAAGCGCTTAGCGAGTCTTACTTAAGTTTAGAACTTGTAATCATAATCTACATATTGAAAGTGGGAGATGGAGAAATGTAACTTTATCCGATAGGAAATGCTAACTTTGCAAATTACCTGACATAGGTGATGAATTCTATTATTTGTTTATCTTTAGAAAACGAAATTGAGATACGATGATATTCATCAACCAAATCAGAAAGCCTGATCCCGTTAGTCGCCTCTTACGACAGGCATGGATTGCTGAAGACCAATTCTAAACCAGATCTCCATGGGTCAATGTTTACATATAACAAGAGGATCAAAATCCTCTCTCAGTCAATTTTACTGCCTACAACATACTACTAAAATTACAGTTAGTGTAATCTAACTGCTAATGTGGAAAATACAATCAACGGCATTGCGCGGCCAGATTATTGCTGACGTGATTTAAATGCTTTAACATCCTTGCACTGAGAATGTGTCAAGTAATTTAGCCGAACGTGAGACTGAAGTTAATAGAGTCTGACCTTAATGCAGGCTACGTATATCATAGATACAAAGGTATAGGTGTTATGCTGCGTCTTATGGCCTAAATATAGGTGAAATATTGCTGACTAAGGTCTACGTGTACAGATATTATTGCTGAATGCATGTCGTATATATATATATATACACTGTACCGATGGTGTTTCCCGAAAGTTGTTTTAGACTTACTAAAGAGTTTATTCAGTGTTATATACATTGTAGTATAAACAGTAGTATTCCCACCTACACATGCGCTAAAGCTCAACCCGAGAACATTCTTCATTGACGTCTAGTTTACCATGACGTTTGGCGTCTTGGCCGACATGTCTGTGTCCTCTAATACTGGTAGATTCATTAGGAACATGTGGATTCGTCCTTTGATAACCAAAATATCAAAATAACATGTGAAAATGGGTTTTGATACAAAACACATTTCGGTGTAAGTAGCGTTATATAGCTGCAGTCGTGGCTTATTACAATTTACACCATTTGTTAGAAAAGTATGACAAAACTGGAATCGGGTTATTCAGCGAAACGATCTTATTCGTTGAGAAACAGTATATGTCATCTCATATTTTCAAGGCAAAAACCTATGTTGACATATGAACAAACTCAGTTTGACAAGCATGATTTCACGCGAAATAGTTGCACTATAGGTATATCAGACTAGCGGCCATCTTACCTTGTTGTCGGTGTAAGTAAGAATGGGCCATGGCCAACAGTTTGTGCGGCAACAGATCGGCCACATTATAGTCATATGGGATCAATAGATGTAGTAGTGTTCATTAAACGTCTAATTCAGGAGCACGCATTCAGTATATACAGAAATCAATGAAAGCAAGCGAATGGGGTAATTACACATTCTCTTTATTGGAAAGGCACCGGAAGTGACCAAACTGTACAATGTAATTCAAAGTATTTAATTTGATTACCACTTTGTGATTCAAAATGCATACATGTAGTTTAAACATAGTTATTATCGTAAGTGAAATGGATTGGGGACAAGTCGTTACAACTTATAAAACATCTCTTCATGTTCATATACACTACACATTTACAACCACCGTTGTGTCGAACTTAGGGTTGTCTCGAAGCAAATACTTGGTCCCTGCGTATTCCTTCTTTATTCATCATTTCCCGGTTGTGTCGAACATCGGATAACTCGAAGTAATACGTAGGTCCCTTTAACTTCGACACAACGATGTTTGACTGATGAAACGTACAGAGAAACTGAGACTGAAAAAGATGGTGATGGTGAATAGGAAGCTGTGTACAACGAGGTTCAAGGTCACACAAATCGTTTAGTCGTATCTATATAGGGTTGTACAGGTTTAAATATCAGCTCATTGTTCTTTGTGGTCAGATCTGAAATGCCCTATGGGAGCTTAGGTAAAGTAATCCCAACTCTACGATCAACACTGCCGTGAATATACATGTGAACAACTTTGCTGATTAAAAAATATTAAACATTAAAGTAAGTAGTGGTACAAATTATCAAAAGAATGACATAACGGGTCTGTTTTAAGATTTACTCTTTATACATAATAATTAAGTCTGCTATAGGTGAATGCGTAATTGAGTGTGAATCATATTTACTCCTCTAAGTGGCATATTATTCCACATTATTACCCATATGGGCTAAACTATGCAGTGTAATATCAATGCACGGAACTTAAAACATTAATTTCACTCGTGACATATTTTCCGTAATCATTCGTACCTCGTGGGTTATTCTAGAAATATCGTTGCTGATGGCAAAACATATTAATTAGAGTTCTTTATTCTCGTTTTGGCATTTTAAATAATAGTGATTTCTTTCCCCTACACATCGAGGGACAAGTTCCTTTAAATATGGAGGGGCTTGTTATTGTAAATATTGTCAAATAGGCAAAGAAATCCCGGTAGGATCTATAGGAATACCTGTTGGAAGTTGTATATGTATAGCTGATGACAGGATGGATGAAGGAACTCGTTGTTTTTTATAGTCTCTGCTTAGAGGATACAAAATTTTATGAATCAACTTCACTCGTGTTTTGAATGTTAATTTTGCCGAATTAATTGACTATGTAAAGGTTTTTTCTTTTATTTACTCAAGTAAGTATCACCCAAAAAGTATTAATTGGCAGTTTGTGTTATTATGAGTATTAATATCTTCTATGAAGGAAACCTTTGCATAAGATCCAAAAGATCAACGAAACGAACTGTACCAGTCACAATCTTCGTTTCGGTGAATAATCCAATCCGCTTTTCGCATTCACCCAGCAAGATGGCGTCAAGGGTTTTCAGGTTACCAGTTTCCATTGCTTTAAGGCATTATAAATCACCCCTTGCGGTGAAAAACAACACCATGACGATTACAAAGAGACACTTCTGCTATTCTGACACAGGTGCAATCATTCCCAAACCTGAAACCATACGATTTGGTGTGAGCAGGGTGCTTGGAACCAGCATCCCATTTCTGCTTCTCGGGTCGTACATTAGCATGGAATTTGCAGCATTGCTCGAAGAACACGATTTGTTTGTGCCTGATGACGACGATGATGACTGATAACTAAGTCTATTTTTCTCGTAAGTACATGACAATTTGCATTGTTTACGTTCCATATCGCAAAAAGCTATTGCCAAGAATCGACGAGGTTGATTACATGATGCCTACAGCTAATGGCTATATTTGGAATGGGTCATTGGTGGAAGTAAGAGGCGCATTTATTCGGTTCTCGTTCTCTAGTTGCCCATTTCATATCATCATATTCCAGGAAGGTGTTATAATCGGTTGTAAAATGATTGGCAAAAGCCTGTGGGCGCTATTTGTTAGCTGATTCTTAGAACATAAAGAACACCACAGTGTCAGTACTGACACACAGTTTACCATGTTTGCTATAGGAAATGTAATACTGGCCTACCTTTAGAATACAGTACCACAAACATTTCAAACACTTCACAATATCCTATGATGTAATTTGTGAAATTGTGTTGCCAAATACACCAGCGAAACAATGCCCTGTGATGTCAGGGGTCATCAACTGTGCATAAGCTCTGTGGTCTATCATCTTGACACGCGATGCAGTTTATTAGGGATTTATTTATTGATGTTGCACATATCTAAACCTCGCAAGTATAAACACTATATATCTACTGAGGGACTTCTTTTGCAATAAAACTTTTTGATATGTATTGACAAGGATGGATAGGGCGCTTTACGAAAAGGGGGTTGTACCTCCTAATGCATTTTCAAGCATTTGAGTTGAAGACGTGAAGCGTGCAAATAAATGAACTTGTCAGGGTATTCTTGTTTATTTTTTCTGTTTTCACATTTTCAGGTGCATTTATTCTTCTCACAAAAACATCAAGTAAGCCACTGGTCCTTATAATGATAACATATAGCAAAGCCCTTTATAGGGCCAATTTCTTACGCTGTTAGCAGGATGAAGTAGTTTCATGTCAAATTGTTTTCGCTACAGGTAGCTGTCATGGAATTTCCACCCAAGCCACTTTCACTCACTTCATCAGTCATGATTCAAAAGCCGACTCAGCCTCGTGTCATCTGTAGCCATTCTCATACCTTCCTAGTTCCTTACTATGAGTCACGTTTTCCTTACAGTGTTCCCTCTCACACTTTTCTGTGCCCCCCAACAAATTATTAAAACCCTGTCATTCATGCATACTATACTCATGAATATAATGTCTGACGCTTAGAGCCGTTTATGCCATATCGGCTCATTCCTCACCACTCAGTATCTTGTAGATTATGGAATAGGACAAGTGTGCCAAATTACATTGGGGTCAATTGTAAGTGTCTGTAGACTAATATTACAAGACACCATGCCTAGCCTTAACCTTCATAATTCCCTGTCACCTATTGGACCCTTTCCATTCAGTTCCATAACGTCCTAGGTATGGCTAGGTAAATTTGCTCAAAGTTTAACAGTTTGGACGTAGCTCAGTCATTCAACTGTCGGGCTAATAATCCGAACGTTGCGAGTTATCATACAACAGATTCTCACAAAAACTGGTTGCTTGTCTTTGAGACATGTGACCTACGTCAGAGAACATCCTCACAAGAAGTTGTGGTACTGTATTCTAATGGTGCTCTGAAATGCCCCAAAATATCCATTTAATAAATCTGTATCAACCTTTAATAAATCTGAACAATTTGCATGCTTAACATATCCTGGAATTTGTACACCAGATGCACAAATTAGATTTAGACAAGACAAGATTTATTCAGTAATTAGTCCTCCAGCCCATAATACAATAATATATACATGTTGTATAACCTGAATGCTATGTATGTAGCCATGATTATGACACAAGTCATTAGATTTATACATGATATGGTCTGAAATGTTCGGGATGGTCATTTGCTACCTTTTGTGTGAAGATTACCTTTTTGCGTAAACATGATAAATATCAGATGATATTTTTTTATATAATAACCTATATTTGACAATCTTAACACTTGCTGAAGAGATAGCATTTTTGTTACAGTACTTATCATGCTTATGTCACACAGAATTGAGATAGGCATCTTTACATCTAGTGAATCTGTCTATTGCCAGCATTTCTCATTGGTTGTATTTATCAAAGTACCTTTTGCAAAAAGTAAAATTCATTTTGAATGTGGTGATCTGACATATTTCTATAACCTGTTTTTTTTTATTTCCAGATTACTGAATGGATAGATGTGAGAATTTTACTTAAACACCTCTTCCATGACTTTCCTCCAAGAGTGCACCTGCCTTTCACCTGGGTCATTTTATGCTCTCCATCAAGAGGCCAGAACAACATACTGAAGTATCACAGAGATCGTGATTTTGCCCATCACTGAGCACACAAATCCTTTCGAGCTAACAGCCTAGTGCTGTAGATTTCGACAATGCTGGTGTGAATGTTGTCAGCCTGTGTGTTTAGTTGACTTGTCAATAGAGTGACACTGGCCCTTGCATAAATGAACTGTTTTTCTACACTTTTAATGGAGGAAAGAATGCTTCTCTATTCCATAGCCATATCATGTGATAACTACTGTAGATTTACTGTTGTATTTATTAAATGTTAAACATATGTCTTTGGTTTCTTTTTTATAGGCCTCAATCATCAGATCATATACATGTAGGTAGAATATTGCTTAGTGTAAACGGGTGAGGTGAAATGGGGTTTAACGTCGCGTCCAAGATTATTGCACTTATGTAGCGACGTGCATGCATGTGTGTGTGTGGCTGCTTGTATTAGTCCGGACTGATGCCAATTTATAGTGCTAGCACACTGAGATACCATGCTGCAGTTTAACGTGAATACTCCACTCAGAAACAGTATACTGACTCCGAGCCGACCAGTCCTTGTTTTAGCCCCTTAATGTCAAGCGCCAGACAGGGTAACAAGAAGTCCAATTTTTTAACCTCTTTTGATATGACGCGGCCGGGGATTGAACCCGGGCCTTCCGCTCTCTGGGCAGACGCCCTAGCACTAGACCACAGAGGCGGTCTCCTTAGTGTAAACAACAAACATCATATGAAGACATTGCCACAATTAACTGAAGGTGACATAATCCATCCACAATTACTGTTCCAACAATATACAATCTATGCAGATATCTCCACTGAAACACCATGAAACACATCTTTTATACAATTTCTCAGAAAAACAAAAAAGAATCATATAATAATAGGAATAACCAACTTGCAACTTAGAATTATGGATTGTCTGTCGTTGGTGAATTAATGTTACAACTAGAAATATTTTAGGAAGTCTTGTTAATATTAAAATCTCCTAGTCTATCCTTTTTGTGTTTTTCCTTATACAGTCTTGATAATACATTTCAAACTTAAAGCACTTGAAGACATCAGACAGAAAGTTTATTTTTACAACAGTAGTGAGTCAGTGAGTATGGTTTTACACCGTTTTTAGCAATATTCCAGCAATATCACGGCAGGGAGTCCAACAGTACCATTCTATATACAGTTTCCATGTATTTTACAAAGCATCATGAAAAATTGACAAATAGTCAATATCTGTCTATATGTCTGTATCTTAAAATCAATTGTTCCGTGTGAAAGTTTAGCAATGACTGCATAACTTAACAGAAAGAATTTATATCTACTAAATAAGATACAGGTAATGAGAGTGGTTTTATGCCGCTTTTTATTCCAGTAATGTCACTGGTGGACACTAGAAATGGGCTTCACACATTGCACCCATGTGGGAAAATAAGCCCAGGTCTTGGTGTGATGAGCAAACGCTTAAACCGCTAGGCTATCCCACTGCCCTTATTCAAGTAATGATAGAACTTTGTATGCTTTATATATTTTAATCATAACTGACTCATCTATTATAGAATGCCATTCTTGAAACAGTATGTCACATTATCGTTATTTAAACCTGAATAAAAATAAATCTATCACCTACATCTTGCAGAAACCATATGTGTGAACATGTGCAAATAACATTCTAGATACATTCTCCCGTACTTATTTGCCTCGGGTACCATAATACTGACACACCAGACCCCATTCTCCCCTACACTCATATCTTTGCCCTACACTTGTCAGACTACACTAATTCTACCTTGGTGTTTTCCTGTGTTGGAATATACTTGTATTACAAGATATTCCCAGACCTCATTATTTTACGTTGTGAATGACTGAAGATGACCTGGCCTCTTCAAAACAAATGACATTAAAAGATGGTACTTGTTGTTACCCAGCCTGGATCTTGGCATAGAGAGGCTAGAACAAGGTATACTGTATACTGTGTCTTAGTGGAGTATTCATGTTAAACTGTGGCATGGTATCTCAGTGTGCTAGCACAATAAATTAGCATTAAGCCAGACTAGTACAAGCAGCCACACACACACCTGCATGAGGTTAAACCCCATCTCACCTCACCTCACCTCACCTCACCTCACCTCACCTCACTAAAGATGAATAGCCTTTTCTGGTATTTACAAGGTTTACAATTTACTAGGTTTTTGTTATGCTGTCATACACAGCAAACCTGTGTTGAGTGATCTTTCACAATTTGACCTGCTTCAGTCCAGTGACTTGCTGGCATCAACTGTTTGGTACCCTACTCCTTAGCATTGATATGGGCATATCATAGAGTAGTCAACATTGTTCTACTCTAGAAGGTCACCAAAGAGTATTGATGAAGGGTTGCATGCTGTTTATGGGGAGGGATCCCATTATATGTTACAATTTATACTTGGTTGAAGGAATTTCGTGTGGTACAGAGTTTGAAAGATGAACATGTTCTTGTTTATCCACCACCTGCTCTACAAAAGAAAATATTGATACAAGGTGGTACTGAACAATAGGCACATAACACTCCAAGTGTTAGAGGTGACCACAGGTTTCTGGTAGCAGTATATGGATCAATAGAAACAATCCTTCATGAGGAGGGGTGGTCAGGTAGCCTAGTGGTTAAAGGGTCCGCTGGTCATGCTGAAGACCCAGGTTTGATTCCCGACATGGGTACAAAGTGTGAAGCCCATTTGCATCACTTGCAATGTGTGTCCCCCGCTTTGATATTGCTGGAATATTGCTAAAAGATGCGTAAACCATACTCACTCACATCTAGAGTTCTATGGGATGAAGTTAAGGCTACGCAGGTGCCCACACCTAATGGCCCTGTTAACCATATATGATCAACCCAGACGAATCACTTCAGACTAGTTGCAGATGTTCCATCACCATGAACCAGTCCCCCGCCCCCCCCCCCCCCCCTCCCCCACACACACACCTTGACTAGACTAACATCTAGTCTCTGAAATGAACATATCGTACAGACTTGCCAAACATTATTATAGACTTGCATGGGCTGTATTTGGTATATATTTGTATCAGAGTCTTGACATACTCACTTACCATGATCCTGAAAGCAAACAAGTAAATCCATAACACTTCGAGTCTCTCCAAAACCAAGGCGTAGGGCGGTTGTCAGGGTTCATCATTGTGGTGTTTGGCCCTTTAGTTGCCTTGCACCAGGGTTGTTATATCAGTGTAGGAGACACACGCCCACATCAGTACGCTGCCACAGCATGCAGTTGACGGCAAAATATTTACGGCAACATCGGTACACCCTGGCTCTCCCATCAACATACATATTTCAACTCGCCTCATGCTTAACATATCATTTATGTGCTAATGCCTTTCGTATACGCAATCAATATAACCTATGTGGGTGGTTTTTTTTCGGATTATATACTCAACAACAAAAGTTCCTGTGACACCACTATTTTAGTGCATTTTTCAAACAAGTAAAGTTTGGTTTTCAATATTGTAGTACATGTATGGAATCAAGTCACAAAAACGCAAATGCTACAGAAAAGCATGCATTGCATGCAAAAGTTGACTTTTATGCAAGCCCCATGCATTTCACTAACCAAGAATGGGTATAAAAACGTGTGTTAACGGGATTCCATATCCATTGTTGAGTATCGTGCTGACAACAACCACTCAGAAAAACAACAAAATTATGCAATTATACAACATTACGAAATGCCATGCCTATTCGAAAATGAGCGTCTGCGAGCCATTAACGAATGCAGTCAGAGACCATCTGAGTGGCAGGCCATGGGTAACCAATAATCAATAAGACAACTGGATTCGAACAACACACCTACGAAATCGATTCCAGCCAGCAACAGTGACTGCAAGAAGCATCCCTGGCCTTCGACGAATATCTTCACAAACCGTACGTCGTCGCCTCAGATGTGCAGGGATTGTCGCCAGAAGACCCGACAGACGTCCCGTTTTGACAGGACAGTGTCTACGCTGGACGGCCATGCAGTGGGGACAAGTTCTATTCACTGACGAGTCTCGTTTTCACCTCAGCCACAGTGATGGACGGATTCGGGTGTACCGACGTCGAGGTGAACGTTACGTCAATCATTGTGTCATGGAAGAAGATCGGTTCGGGGGAGGCAGCGTTATGGTATGGGTGGGATTACAGCAAGACAGAAGACCCGTTTGATAGTGGTAGAGGGAAATCTCAATGGACAGCGCTACCGCGACGAGATCATCGGCCCTGCCGTTTTTGCGTCGTCATGGACCAGGCATTTCCTTTCAACATGACAACGCCCGGCCTCATATTGCTCGACTTGTTCAGCATTCTCTTCAACAAAACATCGTGAATGCCAACCGCTGGCGGACTCGCTCCCCTGATCTCTCACCAATCGAGCACATGTGGGATGAGATGGATCGGCGCCTTCGACGTCAACCACGTGTTCCACGGACACTCCAGGAACTTCGAAACATGCTCCAGCAGATATGGACAGATATCCCACAGGACTTTGTGCGACGGCTGGTCCATTCCATGAGACGAAGATGTGTTGCTTGCATCGCAACCAGAGGTGGACACACACGCTATTGATTTGTAAATTGACATTTTGGCATGTTCATGTTTTCTTTATGAAATCACGCATTTTCTGAAGTCAGAATGGCAAATTAAACCATTTGAACACTTACAGGAGTCTTTTATCTGTTGCAAACCGAAAATATAACTTTGCATTAAATCTTATTCAATGTCACAGGAACTTTTGTTGTTCATTATAGCTTGGAAAAAAACAAACGAATACGCGGTAACCTGAAAGAACAGGTGGTTGAAACCTCTACGGGATTACAAACGGATTACGTATAGATCCGATGAAGAAAACACCTTATCAGTGGACTAATTAAACTGTTTACTCCTCCAAAGTAAACACGATGACACAAGATTCACAGCCGGTGACTGTGTCGCCAGGACCTGAGACGGCTTGACACTCCTTGCCCCATCTTCAATCTTCTGAACATTTTGTAGGTGTGTACTTACATGTATCTATTATATATACATTGTGACATACCTGAATTATTTGACTTTTAAAGTAAGAAGTTTTAAACATTGTCTATTGTTTACCTATGAATATAACGTAATGTTTTTGACATGTGCAATGTCCACCTCTCTACCTCAAGGGCTCGCACCTGACCTGTGAAGATCCGGGATAGAATAGGTCTTCAGCAACCCATGCTTGCTGTAAAAGGCATCTGTGCTTGTCGTAAGAGGCGACTAACGGGATCGGGTGGTCAGGCTCGCTGACTTGGTTGATGCATGTCATCGATCCCAATTGCGAAGATCGATGCTCATGATATTAATCACTGGATTGTCTGGTCCAGACTCAATTATTTACACAGACCGCCGTCATATTGCTGGAATATTGCTAAGTGCAGCGTCAAACAACAAACCAAAACCAAGGCCTACGTAGGTTTACCGAAATGCGATACCTGGAGATACAGAGGATGGTGAAATGTATGACAAGATATATTTCTAGGCGTACGCCAGCTATGCATACATATGATATTATTACATATCTGCCATTGTCAAGAGTAAATGGAGGATATAAAATAGGCCTCAGATATGCATTAAAACGAGACATTCGTGATTGTATAAACCACTTATAGAATTGTCTTTAAGAAGAAGAAGAGATATATTTCTGGTCCGAGATGTTTGAATTGTGTGAAGAATGTACCACTAGTGGATGTCAAATTGTAGTTTCTAAGTTATCTCCCTTTACCGGGAAGGCTTCCATTTTGTCAACCATGTGGAGCGAAGAAGCAGATGTAAGCGAATAATATTGTGATCATTCATTGTAATATTCTGATGATATGTTCAGAAATATTTTTTTCAGATTATCGAACTGTTATTACCTATTGTAGGTAAGAACCGTTGCTTAAAATCCGCGCAAACCGTAACGTCCGATACCCTGTCATCTCAACTGTCCAACATATTGTTCATTTTCCCATCTTTCGGAACACACTTCAGTTAGTTGTCTCGTCTTTTTAAGCATATTTCACAGACGAATCGCGTCTTTGACATATTCAATTTTTTGGTGTGGTCAAGTGTGATTTTTATATGGCTAAATATGCTAAAGGGAACTGATTCACGCATTTGTGTTGACTACGATTGTTTCAGTATTATAATAATAACGTCAGACCACCTTTCCTGTTAATGTTTTACTTAACAATAAATAATGATCAATCACATTTTCACAACATAGCATTGTGCAGAGTTACATTCCGTAGTTATGCCAGGATCTACTGACCCGTATCCGATCATTGATTCCAATCTTAGACTCGCCTCGCCATGCCGCGAGCCGTGATGGGGTCCTTACAGCCAAGTGGTTAAAGCGTTCGCTCGTCACGCCGAAGACCAGAGCTCTATTCCCGACATGGGTACAATGTGTGAAGCCCATTTCTGGTGTCCCCTGCCGTGATATTGTTATAATATTGCTAAAAGCGGCGTAAAACCAAACTCACTCACTCACTCAAAGCAATTGGGCTTCATTTTATTACCGCCTCGGTTCAAAATTTTGATTTGTACAAATGAAAACCCACAAAAAAGACCAATTCTTTCGCTTGTATTCCCTTTTGGACATAGATGCCAGGGCGCTCAGAAACAACAGCAGAGCTACAGATAAGCAGCGTATTTGCGTAAGATACCCCCCAAAAAATTTCAAAACTCAATTACTTCAACTAACTTGCGTACAGAAATGTATGCATTAAATGAAAAACTCAAATGTATAAAAACACCAAGTGTAAATACCCAATGAAGATTTTTCAGCATGTGTACAAAGGAGATAATTTACGAAACACAATTACGAACTAATTTACTCTCCGAATCAAGCCTACATATTTAGAACAGTTGTCATTGTTATATACATCTAAAACATTTTTTCATTTTCTTTAAATCTTAAAATGTTCACTCTTTTGTGGAAAAACCTAATAGAGTTATGAATAGATGAGTGAAAAAATATTGGTTACTCAATGAAAAATGTAATATCCCAATTAAAATAGAAACCCTAGAGTAAAAACTATTGCTCAAAAAGTTATCTGGAGCTCAGCAACAGGATGTAGGAAGTTTCCACAACGATTTAACGGCGCTGCTATACTTCTGATTTGGGGAACTTTTCGTTTTCAAAATGCAGAAATCAGATCTGCTGAAATCAGATATGCTGGTGAAACCTTTATGCTTTTCTCACTTGTACAAAGAATTTAAAAGCCTTGATGCTCATTAGAAAGTTCACCTGACACGACCTATGACGGTGCCCTCAGTTTTCAGTGGTATCGTATTGAAGTATCAGACATGATTTTAATGAAATCAATGTTCAATGAAAGTTTTAACCCTAAAGACCTAAATCAAAAGCTGCTTCTGCACTCCCCCGAAGGGGACATGAGCCAATTTAACTGGCCCAATGATCTGAGGAAATGTATATATATGGCTTAAAATGTCTTAAGTCAGCTAGGATGGAGGTATTTAATGTTAGTTTTCTTACAAAGTCAGAAATACTTAGCCAAATTGTTGGACACATCCTTTTAAATGATTGTATCCTTCAGATAAGTCGAATATGAATGCTTTGCTAACTGACCTAGGTTTTTGATAATCATGTTTAACTTTCAGTGCAAATTAATGAGAATAAACATGCTGTGGGGGGGATTACATTTTTTAAAAGAGGTCATCGATGTTGGAACCCAAGACTAAAGTCCTACGGTCTTGGTGTGTCACTGTAAACATTGTTCATCTTATATGACTGCTTCATTAATAAATGGTGAAGAGACCAATACCTTCTTCTTCTTTCAGTATTTTACTGCCATTAATCGTTAATGTGTGGACTTATGACTGTTGTCAACCTCCCTTGTTTTTATCTGTGTATAACTTATTTTCCCGGCATTTCAGGAAGGCCACGCCGAGGGTGTGATCGACAGTGCAGTAAGTTGTGGACAACCACAGCTCTGTCTCACAACCATTATATCATACTAGTGCCAATAATTGTCACCAACATGAACATGCTCAACTTCCCTTGATGTTACTGAAACTGCCTCTTACCTCTCCCATGTCTGGGTTACCTCCCTTCCTTCAATCCCGAAGTTCTTATGGAGCAGTCTTCAACACTTTGACCATATAAATAACTTAGTATTTTGCGTTTTGGAAAGTAAATGTTGATTGTGAATAGCCTCAGATCAGATTTTTGTTTTCTTAGTTATGTTCAACGATGTACATTCCTATCTCGTATACCTGCTATCCTTACATACAATTTTATGAATGTCGTCAGTAAGGGAACTTCCCAGAGTATACATTTTACTATAACTTTCTTAAAAATATCAGAGATACTTTTGATGGTCAATGTTCATACATCAAATCCAGTGATTGCAAAATTAATATTTGTACTGAAAAATGATAATTTTAAAGAAATATTACTTGACTTTGAAAGGCAGTGGCAGAAAGTGAAATGAATTACTATTTTAGACAAATGTTAGAAGTACCAATTACTGTGTTAACTTGGCTATTTGTCTGGATTTACCAAAGCCCATTTCATTTTAACCCTGTAAAGAATCAGTGCTGATAGGACCAAAGTAACATGTGCTTGTTGTCTTCAATTATTGGCATAATTATGACTTACTTGCTTGGCATTATGGGATTTCCTATTTGAGTGCATTTGGTATTGCTAGTATTCCTCATTGCCTCATGAAACATTGACCATGTGTTATAGAAAACATAGTGCTGTTTGCTGTGTGTATAGCATACAGAGTTTGTTGACCGATTTCCTGTTGCAGTTCATGGTTCTGTTGATAAAAAGTTGTGTTATCTTATCATGTTCACTGTTAAGAGTTAAAGCAAATGATTTTTTTTTAACTTCGAGTGTGCATTTCCCCCAAAATTAGAATTAAATTTGAAGAATTGGATTCACTTACCTGACAACTCTTTATTCATTATCAGAAGCACTAGTCCATGAACTTAATGCACAAACACTTAGAAAGTTGTTTTTGCCTGCATTCATCTTTTAAAAGTTTGTTTCATGACATTGCTTCTATTCATTAAAGGTTTTGAAGTTTGACATTTGTCATGGATGAGTTTCTTTACTAGTTGAACAGTACTTTTATTATATGTATATCATATGTTAAATCTAATGAGGGTGTGCCCATTAACATTCAGGGGTTTAACTTAACACAATTAAGAAAAGGTTGTGTAATCTAAAAAAATATGTGTTTCTCCTCATAAAATAGATTTCTTATTAGAAACACTAACAGTCCACAGTTGCCACATGAATGGTTTTCATATCAATTTCACTTAATGTTTGTCATAAAAGTGTAACAGAAACTTCCAAGATAAACAAAGAAATAAGTTGATTGAGTAATTGTAACCATGGTAACCACAATGCCCTGGGGGAAGGCGTATATCTACAGTTCATGCATGGTACACAGTTTGTTTGTCTTAGTAACATTCCTGGGTTAAGATCAACCCCTGAAAATAATTCTGTGTGTGAGAGGAATGAGAAATTGTTTATATGCCCAACATGTGTGTCATATTAAAGCCACTTACCCACGTACTGCTGTTGGATGACATATATAGACTGTTCAGTTATTCCCATTACCGCTGCATCCTTGTACTGGTAAGCGTTAATTGAACTTCCCGAGATATTTATCAAGACTGTCACAGTTCTATTCAAACACCTCTGTTAATGAACAGATCATGAGTTTCCTATGTGTGTGCTTTTAAATCAATTGACAATTGTTTTCATCATTTTAAGAATAATTTGAAATTTACCATTTTTTTCTGAAATGCATTTATATTTTTCTATTCTAAGCTGTAGAAGTGATAGTACATATAATTTATTGCAAATAATTACCCTTTAACACTATGTTTTGTTAATATGTGATTAAAGAATTATTGGTTGAGGAATTAAATCACGATAAATATTAAAGGTTTGAAAAATCTCATTAATTGAGCATATAGATACTTTTATTTGACTTGTATTGATTCTGTATGTGTCTTGGTTTGTTTGTACCTATGGGATATAGCATCTGTTTATTGGGATATAGCATCTGTTTATTGGGATATAGCATCTGTACTGTTCTGGGTGGTGGAGGAGATAGACCATCCTCGGTATCCTTTCAGGTTCTATTGGTTGGTTTGATTCAGTTAAAGGGAGGTAAGTATGACCTTACAGGAAGGTGTATGGTGTGATGGATTGCCCCTTGCTTGACCCTCACATATCCCCCCCAATACTGGACGTGCCAGGACATGCTAGGTTCAAATCTACATCTGGCAGAATGCAGCAGTAGCAGCTAATATAGTCATGGCAATACTCCAAATTGAAGCCTTAAACTTAAAAATAAAGTTCTGCTATCCATGTTACATGTGTGCTGATTTCCTGTTCTGCTTTAAAGTTCTTTTTAAAATTATGTAACTGCCAGCATTTGAATTCTTCTAGATATTCATAAGAAATTGGATTATATAAAACTAGTAATTATTTTCTTTATTTATGACAATTCTCACGCTAGTTGAGTATGGAATGCAACCGTTACACGGTAAAACCACGAACAAACAAAGGTCATACCCTGTCTTCGTCTTGCGTCAATCTGTGTTTATTTCCTGGTTGCAGTACGACCCCTACTCCTACAGCTACCCGGCTCCGGAGTATGAGCTGCATACAGGTAGGTCACCATGGAATCACTATGCCTTCATTTCTATTTCGAATCGACCCGTGAAGATTCGCAGTAGAATAGGTCTTCAGCAACCCATGCTTGCCGTAAAAGGTGACTATGCTTGTCGTAAAAGGCGACTAACGGTGTCAGGTGGTCATGCTCGCTGACTTGGTTGATGCATGTCATCGATCCCAATTGCGTGGATCGATGTTCATCATATTAATCACTGGATTGTCTGGTCCAGACTCGATTATTTACAGACCGCCGTCATATAGCTGGAGTATTGCTGAGTGCAGCATTAAGCAACAAACAAACAATAAAAACATTGTGTCGCTAGTCTGTAGTGTTGTACCCAAGTATCACTCCTTTTTGTGTGACAGGGGACCCACGCCAGGACCTGGAGTACGAGCGTCAGTACCAGCAGTCATACATCGTCCCCGAACTCATCAAGAACTTCCTTGTCCACTTCCAGAAGTGCATCAATGACTGCAACCTGTATGAGATACAGAACGCTTACGAGAGCGGGTGAGACCTCTATTGATATGAAGGAACTATAGTAGGCAGCATTGGGTAGTGACACTAGTCCTACAGTCACACACTATATTCATATTGGTTAAAGTTTTGGATTGGGAAGGTTTTCCTGTATATATCATCATAAGGACTAGTGGCTTGTATGATGCTTCTGCCTCTAGTGTGAATAAGGGTTACGAGGGGACTATTGAACTGTGCTGCAAGTGTCCGTGTATGTTCTACTGCTGTGAGTTTGAACCTGTGATTTGTCAACAGCCTTTGTCACTTTTGGCTTCCATCACAAATTTAGTCAGTAAAACAATTTTAACAATATTGAATTTTACCATTTTTTTCTGAAATGCATTTATATTTTTATATTTTAAGCTGTAGAAGTGATAGTACATATAATTTAGTGCAAATAGTTACCCTTTAACACTGTGTTTTGTTAATATGTGATTAAAGAATTATTGGTTGAAGAATTAAATCACGTTAAATATTAAAGGTCTTAGGCTTTTGAAAAATCTCTTTAATTGAGCATATAGATACTTTTATTTGACTTGTATTGATTCTGTATGTGTGTTGGTTTGTTTGTACCTATGGGATATAGCATCTGTTTATTGGGATATAGCATCTGTTTATTTGCATATAGCATCTGTACCGTGCTTTCTGTAATCCTGTGTAAAACAAGACTAAAGGGAAATACTGTTCAAAACAGCTTTATGCTCAACTTCACTCAAGTATTCATTCCTGTGTATAGTCTGGAAGGTAATTTAAGGTACCGACGTTTACTACAATATCTGAAAAACTATCGGACCTACTCCAGTCAAAGTTGGTATGAGATTATTAAACAGTCATACTTAACTGGATATTACATTTAAAGACAATTGGTGCATGAATAAAAAATCTGTCTATTTAGCTATCACTATATTTCATCAACAACCAGACCTGTTTATCACGGGTGGAACGAGCGTTCATTGAAACAGCCATCTGAGATACATAATGCTACCCCTGTGTCACAGGGCCATATGATACAGTTGAACCAATCAACTCAACTCGAAAGGGTGCACGGGAATCACACACGTTGAGACGCCCAACGCTAACACTGTATTCGTGTGTGTGTGTGTGATTCCCGTGCACCCTTTCGAGTTGAGTTGATTGGTTCAACTGTGTCATAGATTACCTTCCAGACTATAACTCGGCATGATGTTTTTACAACCCACCTAGGGTGTTTGATCTTTGTCTGGCACTAACTCCCCTCATCATTCAGATTCAACAAGCTAACGGACAGATTCTTCAAGAACTCCCCCTGGCCTGAGGCGGAGCACATTGCGCCTATTGTCAACAATGGTAAGGGCACTTAGCGTAGAAAATTAGGTTTTCATGTTATTTTATTGGAACAATAAAAAAAAATAGGTATTGTCAAGATACAGAATATCAACTGGATGATCTGCTTGTTAAGATGTTAAGATGGCAATATTAGTTTGTATCTGTCTGCATTGTTGTAAGGGATAAGCTGGGTTATGCATACAGCAAGATATGGTTAAGTTTAATGGTCAGTTAATGGTATCATGTATGTTTCGAAGTGCTGACATCTTTACGGAATGTGTATATATGTCTCATCCGAGTATAATCTGGCTCCGTGTTTCAGATCCGGTGTTTCTAATCCTGTACAAGGAGCTGTACTACCGGCATATCTACGCCAGGGTCACGGTGAGTACCTATCGGACTCGGGACAGTCCAGTTCCTGCTACTACTCCAGTCTGGGCCATAACCTTTACCAAACTTGGCTAAAAGTATGATTTAATGTAGATTTTAGTGTTATTCTTAGACTACTAGCTAACTTTTTACCTTCCCTGCATTACTCCTTCATGCATTTACTGTTGCTTTTTTACAAAATGACAAAGCTATGTGAGCACCGGCTAAAGAAAACGTTCCATCTAGTTGTGTGGCTAATCCCTTCACACAGCCGCCTACATGACCACATATCTTCACATTACTGCTGGTCAACCAGACTGACAAGCAGGGATCCGGAAAATTTAAAATCCCAATTGGACATTTGCATTTAGGCCACGCCCCCTTCAAATAGCGTATTTTAGTACGACTTTTCACACACATTACAAGTTTACGTATTCATAATATGATGAATTATGAATTGTTTCAATTTAAATTGTTTAATTCACCGGACAATTAATAACAAATAATATCATTTTAGATTTACATGGAAAACATACGTTTGTTTCTGTTATAATAACGATCTGGTAACTGAGTGAACGGTCTAATTAATATTCATGAGTTATATTCATGAGTCTGCTCAATTGTATGCGTTGTAACATTTGGATCGAGACTATTATCCCATATTTGGTTATCACGTGACCTCACGGGAATTTTTTTTTTTTAAACTAATGATTTTTTTTAAAAACAAGACAGATAATTTAATCACAAATACTAAAATATCGTTGATAGCAATAGTTACTTGAATACTTTTTTCATCTGTACTTAATTATTGACCATAAAAAAATTGGATATCGATCGTCCGAGAAAGCAAAATGGCGGTCAATCAAGATTCAATATACGACTAGCTACTGAAAACTATAAAATCTGCAAATCCTCATTGTATGTCAACCAAGTGAAAGTCGTTAGCCACGACTTACAAAATGATCGTCCAGACTTTGAGGGTTTGGCAGATCCGCTCGACTGATCTGCATCGGTCGACTGGCTGTCGTCACGCTTTCGCTTCTTGTCTGAGGTTACGTATCGTAGCATTGTGAGGATAATGAGATACATCGATGATGCAAGGTATTAATGTACAGTTGTAAACACCTTTCACTCAAATTAACAAGATGTTCTCAGTAATTAATCCTCGATTAATCAGTGTCAACTCTGTTTATTGCCTATTACAGTGATTGACCGATTGGACTATCATGTAGGTACGATGTATTTACAGCAATCAAAACAAACAAAGCTTGTCAGTGTAGTTAATCTTCATTGTGTTGCAACTGCAGACCGAAACTGCTCAGTCCTAACTGTTGATCATGTCCGGTCAAAATTTAAGAATGTCCGGACAATACTTTTTAAAATGTCCGGTAAGCAATATTTTAAAACGGACATTTGAGATTCCCAATCGGACATGTCCGGCGCATATGACGGTTTCCGGACCCCTGCTGACAAGTGCTGTGTAATAAAGTGTCCAGGTTTTTTTGACTGGCATCCTTTTTGATTGTTGCTTTATGCAGCATTTATTGTGAATTAGATGACTTCTTTCGCTTGTTTCATGGTTTTGCTGTCACATTAATATTTTGTATGGGATGGTGGCTACAAGTCACTGTAAAATCATGTGCTTTGTTGTTCATATGGTCACATTCTCTTTTCTTAGATCATTTGTTCTTTTTTGCAGCTTGATAATACTTTTATATTGTCTTAACTAAAGCTCCCCGTTTGGCAAAGTAGGTGTTTTCACTATTCTATTTCATGATTTTACCCTTTAACCTCCATGTTTTCTGGGTTCAAACTTACTTGTCTTTGTGTTTTGTACAACTTGTGATTATGGCTTCTGCTTAATTGCAGATTTATGCCAGCTTGTTATCTGTAGGTCTCTAGGAAGTGCCTTAGCCAGCAGGTTTCGATGACAATCGGGGGTTTCAGACCTCAAGAACACGCTCCCTCCCGAAACTCGTACCACGCTAGATGACTTGCCACACCTGTCCACGTCAGGCTGGACACCCTCACAGACGTCCATACCTAGGAGCACTGTCTTTCTAAGCCTCCCCAGACACTGATGTCCAGTCAGACGTTTACACCTCCCCGTGCTTCGATGACTTCACAGACACCTACAACCTTTGTGATGCCTGCGCTTGATCCTATGCCTTCAGCTCCTGCTCCTCCCTAGGCGCTGATGTCCTGTTGGATGTTTGCGCTTCCCTGGGTGCTGATGACTTCTCAGATGCCTCCAACCTCTGTGATGCCTGTGCTTGTCCAACCTCATACTACACCCATGGGGCTTGCGCCTCTGAGCTTCTTCGCCACGGCACCGCCTCAGGCGCCTGTGTCTGCTGCGCCTCCGGGTTTTGGTCTGTCAACGGCTCCATTCAGCTTTTGTTCATGCAGTCCATCTTCCATCAGTCTTGTGCGTCTCAGATGTTTCCTCCATCTCTACTGCCTACGCTTAGACCTACGCCTCCTCTGCTTCAGGCACCTTTAAAAAGAAGAAAGTGCCTGATGCACTTACTGTTTCTGTACCTCCTGCATTCATCAGTGGCCCATCTTCGTCTACGTCTGAAGGTTCTTTTGTACAACTAAGCTTCACTTGAGATGGGCACTCATCTAAGCTGTAACCAGATCTCTAACTGGATAGTTGACCATTTGGCCACCAGGTTAGATGCTGAAGGATCTGGACGAAGAATTTGCAATATTATCTTTATAGCCATCCATGCTTTGGAGATGGGGGCCACACCTGGAGAAAGGACCTCCATCGCATGACAGGGTTGTCTAAGCCAACACCTATCCAGATCCCAGACACATGATTAAATTTTATACAAGCGGAGGTCCATCATTCCCTCAAGACCGTGTCAGCTTTTGCCTTTTGGTAAGGGTGTTGGGAGAGTTCCTGCCGATTGTCCCTGTCTAATCGGTGTAAATTCAATGTTGGCTGAACTATACCATGCAGAGGGCGATAGTACTATTGCAGAATTTGACTCATGTGGCTTCTGGTAGTCATGATCTGTACCAAAACTTGGAAGATCACACATTCACTATCGATTAGACATTTGACAGAATTGTCATATGCTACCAGGTACCCACCTCTCGGCATCAAGGACAAGATGGCACACCTATCAGGGAGATCAATTTGCTCATACACCAGCCATCACACTTTCTACACAAAACTCGGGAACACCACTTGTCAGTCTACCACGCAGTTCACAGTGGAAAATGAGGGATTCTAGGTTACTGCGCAGGGTGATTTAAATGTTATGTGTCAAGAATTCTCTTACTGTAAATATAAGAATTTGCAATATTATCTTTATAGCCATCCATGCTTTGGAGATGGGGGCCACACCTGGAGAAAGGACCTCCATCGCATGACAGGGTTGTCTAAGCCAACACCTATCCAGATCCCAGACACATGATTAAATTTTATACAAGCGGAGGTCCATCATTCCCTCAAGACCGTGTCAGCTTTTGCCTTTTGGTAAGGGTGTTGGGAGAGTTCCTGCCGATTGTCCCTGTCTAATCGGTGTAAATTCAATGTTGGCTGAACTATACCATGCAGAGGGCGATAGTACTATTGCAGAATTTGACTCATGTGGCTTCTGGTAGTCATGATCTGTACCAAAACTTGGAAGATCACACATTCACTATCGATTAGACATTTGACAGAATTGTCATATGCTACCAGGTACCCACCTCTCGGCATCAAGGACAAGATGGCACACCTATCAGGGAGATCAATTTGCTCATACACCAGCCATCACACTTTCTACACAAAACTCGGGAACACCACTTGTCAGTCTACCACGCAGTTCACAGTGGAAAATGAGGGATTCTAGGTTACTGCGCAGGGTGATTTAAATGTTATGTGTCAAGAATTCTCTTACTGTAAATATACCCGACCGAAATTAGGTTATGTAGCCTTGCAGTGCATTTTTACAGATTGTTTTTCATGATCAGAAACCCTCCTGAAGTTGGCTTTTAAACTTTAGTCTTGTAGACAGCCTTAATCTAAATCTGCTACCGACCCTTCAACAGTCGCTTACACTTCACCAGTGGCTTCTAGGGCTGCTCAAGATGGCGCAGGATATGACGTTCAGAAGACACTTCCAGCAGCGCCCAATCCAACAGTTCTTGCATCCGTTCATGCATCCGTTCATGCATCCGTTCATGCATCCGTTCCTTCGGCCTACCGTCCCACCTCAAACCTCATCTCCTGTGGTGGATGGTGGAGTTGAATGTCATAGGTGGAGTCTCCTTGAAAGAACTAGTGCCAACCTCATGCCTGTTTGTCGACGTCTCTTTACAGATTTGGGGCGCACTCCTGATAAGGAGGTCTCTTTGCTACAAGCATTGATCGGTAAGTCAGTTTTAGACTTAAGCGTGCACTATTTTTGGGACTTCCTACATTCCTCCTACTCTATTCCTTCCTTTCGCAGGAATGTTCCCTGGTTTCCCGATCATTGCCAATAGATGCTGTGTTTCCAACTTTTCCAACTTATGAAGATCTGAATCAAAGCTTTCAAGATGAAAGTTAATCGTAACACAATATTTTTGTGGTTTCACGCATTCATCCTTCAGGCTTATGAGAACGCTGTTCTGGATCCTCCTACAGCAATCAACCCTCTCAAGATCCAGGCAGTTGCATCTACGATGGCTTTCCACAACATTTGATCCTATCCATCATGGAAGGATGTTTCTGGAGATTTGTCAGTCTTCGCCTTTACCTGAGGGGCATGGCATTGGAATACGTAGAAGGTGTCCACAGTTTTGGTCAAGCCCAGATGCCATTAACTTCTCCAGCTGTCCAGAACCGGCCTTTGACTCTCTGGTGCTTGCACCCCAGATAAGGAGGCTTACATGCTGCTCGCATTGTCTTGGTAGTGTTAGGCTATTTTCTACTACTGTTCTTTGTCTGGACTTGCTCATACTCTCGTTCTCCCACTAGTTGGAATGATCTCCTGGTTTCGAATCATCACAAAAGGCTGCTGTGTTGGTTGCCTGGACATTTGACGAGGTTTTCTGATGATGACATCTGAAGGTATGCCCACCTCCGTACCTTCTGATTCAAATGCATTAAGAAGTAATGCAGGATAAGTTAAAAATGTAAAATCGAAATATTTTTAACATATGTATACTTATACTACCTTACGAAATCAAAGGGCCCACCGATCGCAGAGCTGCCTCCCCACAATGTCTTTAGATGTTACAATCTAGCAGAAATGTGAAGATACATGAGATCATCACTTATGTGGGCACGTGGGAGCTGTGTCATGAGATGTGCCACACAACTAGTTGGAACAACTTCTTCAGCAGGACCTCACACAGCTTTGACTTTCTGTAAAAAATCAGCAGGAAATATATTACAGAGTAATGCTGGATGAGCACACAAATATGTAGATTTTCTCTGAACTAGTGGCGAAAGTCGCAGACTGCTACTCAAGGGTTCTCATGTTGTATCTTTGTGGGTTATCTGTCATGCTGAAGATCTTGGTTTGCCTTGTGTGAAGCCCATTATTTATTGGAGAACAGGGGGCAGAACAGGTGCCCTGTCCCGGCAGGCCAATAGATGTATGATTAGTTGTTATAGTAACTAGTGGCGAAAGTCCCAGACTGCTACTCAAATGTTGTAGCTTTGTGGTTTACCTGTCATGCTGAAGATCTGGGTTTTCCCTGATGACTGCCTTGTGTGAAGTCCATTATTTATTGAATTCTAGGGGCAGGACAGGTGTAGAATAGATGTATGATTAATGGTCACAGAAAAGATAAGCAATGTTTGATGTTCCGAGTCATGAGTGATGGGTTTTTTTCAGAGTGGTCCTACATTGGAGCAGAGGTTTGAGTCTTACTACAACTACTGCAACCTTTTCAACTTTATTCTCAGTAAGTCAAAATTGTTTTATTCCATGTTCTGGCCATTCACATGTGTTACAGCTTGCTTTCGAAAACATATTCTGGGACAGATTTCATTAATTGCAGGCCACCTTGATATGCTACTCAAAAGAAGTTAAAGAACAACCAATTTTTTAAGTTCTTTTGAGCAGCATACTGTGATATTATGATTGGCGTAAAACAAATTTTCTCAACTGTAAGTGAGAGATGGTTTGTGATGTAGTGATTGACTAATGGCGCTATTTGCCTCTACCAGATGCAGAGGGACCTGTGCACATTGAGCTGCCGAACCAGTGGCTGTGGGACATCATCGATGAGTTCATCTACCAGGTAGGTGGTGCTCTAGGGAGTGGAATGATGACAAGAGTTATCTCCCTTGGACAGGCAATGCATTGCATCAACAGGTTAACACATGTGATGATAAGGTTCAGTGTAAATGAAGACAGATTTGACTTAAGAATTTCAACTTCTCCGTTCTTCCCTGCAATATTTGGGTACTGGTGTTAGTACCTTTGATACATCTTTAAAGAAGTGGAATGATGACAAGAGTTATCTGCCTTGGTCATGTGGTCTAATGCATCACACGACTAACACATTTGTATTGTATATCTGGGATATTGTTGAGTTTGGAGTAAACCAACAGACGGACAAAGCAAACTTGTACTGTATAGCCATATGACTGAATCATAATATTTTCCAGATCTTTTGGACACATTTTATGTGTTTCATTACAGTTTCAGTCATTCAGCATCTACCGCTGTAAGCTGAACAAGAAGCCTGACGAGGAGATTGACTGCCTGCGTACAAACCCCAAGGTAAAATACATGTATGGCTAGCATCTTAGGTGTGTTGCAGCTATTAAATGTCAAGAGATCCCAAGGGTATTCCAGGCAGAGGAAGTAGCCATAAACATGCTACTAGACTAGGAAGGGTTAGAATAAGTCCCGAGCAAGCCATGCTGGTCGTAAATGGACGACTAAATGGAAAGGGTGGTAAAGTTTTGCGACTTGGTTGATAGTGTGTCGACTTCGTTGATAGCTTGTCCTCATACCCTGACTGAGCTGATCATGGTTCACAGTATCAATTGCTGGATTGTCTGGCCCAGACATGACTATTTACAGGCCATGGTCTTATGGCTGGAATATATTTTGTTGGCGTTTAACAGCAAACAAAACATGCTGCAAGTGCCAACTGCACTGTGGATTGTCTTGCTTGCATGCGTAAGCATTGTTACTGATATGGATCATTGCTCATGCTATCGGCCACTGTTCTACCTGGCCCAGATTACAAGCCACGGGAATGATGCTGATAACTGTGAAAAAAAAATTCACTTGCTAGATCTGGGCTAGAATTGGGTTTCAGATACCTATGCTTGCTGTGAGAGGCGACTATGCTTGTCGAAGGAGGTGACTAACAGGATCTTATGGTTCAGGCTCGCTGACTTGGTTGATGCATGTCATCCCAATTGCGTAGATACCATCATTTAAGGACCATGAAGATACGGGTTGGAATTGGTTTTAAGCAACCATGCTTTTCATAAGAGACGAATAAACAACTCGCTGACTCGGTTGATGCATGTCATCGTATCCCAATTGTGGGTGATTGATGCTCATGATTTCAATAACTGGATTGTCTGGTCGAGACTCGATTACGGTATTTACAGACTGCCATCATAGAGCTGGAATATTGCTGAGTACAGCGTTAAACAAACAAACAAAACTAACATTTCACTTGCTCACTCAAATTTCAAGCATGTGCAGCAATGTAATTGTTTCATGTAGGCGGACATGCACCATGCATAGAACCAGAGTACAGGAATGTTATGTGTTTTTGAACCCTCGTGATATACCAGTTTTGTTGAAACGTTTGTATAGGGGTGTAGAAGTGTCATGTATATTGTTTGCCGAATGTACTCTATACTGTCTGTGTGGCAGATCTGGAACGTACACAGCGTCCTGAACGTCCTGCACTCCCTTGTTGAGAAGTCCAACATCAACCGACAGTTGGAGGTCTACATCAGCGGAGGTAAACAGTCAGATTGATGTGGCTTTAGTAACCTAATTAATAGCTTCATCCCCACCTGCTTCAATACCAAACACCCGCATACAAACAAACATTATCTCTGTCCCTTGCTTTCTTGATGGTGAGGTACACCATTTACGCCATACCACAAAACAGGCTTCATGCACAGATGTCCACAGTTTCATAGACTTGTATGTGTAAAACAACTGCTTCCTGTCACATTTTTGCGAATTTGGATAATAATCTAACAATGAGTTAACTGCGCCCTCTGGAACGAAATATTTAAGAGTTTGAAATACAAGGATATTTACCTTTGAAGATATTTCAATAACCATAATGATAAAATGCTTTCATTACAAAGTGGATATTATTTGATGACTCATTTTCTCTGTAAACTGGGCTCTGTCTCTCCATAGCCAGTTACTTAAATAGAAGCAAATAGCTTCTCTTACTCACTTGTGTTATAATGTAAATATTTCGTAATGAGAATGGAAACAAATACAATTGGTTCATAATTGATGTAAGACCACCAGTAAACACTGATGCCTTGCTCACACACAGTGAGAGGTGGGGGGGGGGGGGGGGGGTGGCATTTGATTGTTGTGAATCCTTAATTCAGTCTGAACCGCCTCCATGGTCTTGTGGTAGAACATCTGCACGGAGAGCGGAAGGTCCCAGGTTCGATCGTCTTACCAAAAATATGTTTACATATAGTACTTGTTACCCTGCCTGGTGCTCGGCATTATGGGGCTAAACGAAAGACTGGACGGCTCGAAGTCAGTATACTGTGTGGTATATCATGTTAAACTGGCATGGTATCTCGGTGGGCTAGCACTATAAAATAACCATCCTAGTACAAGCAGCCACACACACCACATGCCACACGCCACACCACATACAAACACGTTATCTTTGCTTTTGACCACCGCTTCCCCAAAATGCTGTCATGCGATGTTCAAAGTTATGTCTGGCAAAGGTATCACATCACTGTTTTCACATGACAAAGTTATATAACGTCAATTAGATGTGTGTCATTTCATAGAATATACCACTGTCTACTTGCCCTTATTGTCATACAATTGGGACATTTCATGTCAGTCTTTATGTCACTGCTAGTTATTACGGACACAATGTTTGTTCAGGTGATGCTGAGAGTGTGGCTGGTGAGTTTGGCCAGCACTCACTGTACAAGATGCTGGGCTACTTCAGCCTGATCGGCCTGCTGAGACTGCACTCCTTGCTGGGGGACTACTACCAGGCCCTCAAGGTCCTGGAGAACATTGACTTCAACAAGAAGGTGAGTCAGCTCATTCACACACAGAGAGCCCTGTGTCGGTGTGACTCAAGAGGTTTTGTTCTGTTGCAAGCTGTTCATTCTGCAGATAAAGGGTGAAGCTAAGGGATTGTGTTAATCTGTCCAAAGAAACTGAAGTTGTGTAGTACTCTGGTTCATATTTAGCCTCTGAATAAAAAACAAATGCCTCAATACCTGAGTAATATGATTTGCCTTGACCTGTTTCTGATACCTTCACTTTTCAAGCTAATGGCTCACTTTAATCAATCTGCAGTTCTGAAATAGTTCTTACTTGCCAAAAGTAACCTACAGTCAAACGCTGTGTCAAAGTTGAAGAGACCTACGTGAATACTTTGAGTTTACAGAGTTTAGACACTACTGAAAAATTATGAATAAAGAAGGAATAAGCAGGGACCAAGCTTTTACTTTGAGACAACCAGGTGCAATAGTTGAGCGAGGCAGACTATCATGAATACCATTTTTTAATGTCTCTTGGTATGATGAGGCCAGGGGATCGAACAACAGATTTTCTGTTCTCCAGGCAGAGACTCTATCCACTACAGGGGCCTAGTGGTTAAAGGGTTCACTCATCACACCGAAGACCTGGTTTCGATTTCCTCACATGGGTACAATATGTGAAGCCAATGGTGTCCCGTGTCGTGATATTGCTGGAATATTGCTAAAAGCAGTGAAAAACAATACTCACTCACTCACTATCCACTACACCAGGGAGAACCTGTTTAAGAAATGTTTGTTCTGTGTCTAGAACCTGTACTCCAGAGTGCCAGCCTGTCAGATCACCACCTTCTACTACGTGGGCTTCGCCTACATGATGATGCGGCGCTACCAGGATGCCATCCGAACCTTCTCCAACATCCTGCTGTACATCCAGCGCACCAAGTCCATGTTCCAGAACAGGGCGTCCTTGTATGACCAGGTGAGAGGGGAGACAACCCACTAACTCATGGAAACGGATATATGCGGAAAGATGTAGACACTAGTCATGAATATTGTGTGTAGATAGTAGCTGGAATAACTTGTTTTAAAAAACAAGAAGCTTGTTTGTTAAATCATTAATTTGACATTTGTGTGTTTGATAGAAATGGATTTGATTGTGATAAGAAGTTGAACAAGAAGTAATTAACACTCATCCTCCATCCATGTTAAAGCTGGGTGAGGAAAACATTCCTAAGTGTAACACTGTGCCTGCATTATCATTATTTGGCCAAATGCTGAAAGTATGAGTTGTTTTCCCTGAGACTGTTATGCAAGTACAACTGACGTGTTGGCAGATCTCCAAGCAGAATGAGAAGATGTACACACTGCTGGCCATCTGCCTGGTGCTCCACCCCATGAGGATTGACGAGAGTGTCCACTCCCAGCTCCGGGAGAAGTTCGCAGACAAGATGCTCCGTCTGCAGAAAGGGTGGGTTTGTGGACTAAAATGCAAGGGAAAAGAATTAGTAGAGCCACAAGGCTCTGTGTCTCACCTAAATTATGAAGAAATAATGGGGGGCATATTTAAAGTTGGATTGGAAGTCTGTGTGCATTGTTTAGAGAAACCATAACCAGGGTCATACATAGTTTCAGCGAAAATGTAAAACTTAACAATGGACAGATAATGTGCCACATCATAAGCTCTAGACTTTCAGTCAGGTGAGCTAAAACCTGTTTTACCCAGCCGAGCAATCGGTTTATTTGTGTCCCTGAAAGTTGTATTGGGTCTGTACCTAGTAATTACAAATACTCCTCCAAACATGTGTTTTGAAACCTTGTTTGCCTGCCCACTGTTTAAGTGCATGTTTTTTTTAAACATAAGTACATAAGTATTTGGGTTTTGTTCCTTTTCATTAGATTTCATCTTTAGGGGGTTAATCAGGTGAATAGGACTTATTTATTGTTTCATCTTCATAGTTTCTGACAATGAGTTTATACAATTGAATCATTGTAATGATTATGTATCCAGACGTTATCCCGTGCCCAGCTACAATCTTGCACTGTAGATATCAACACTCCCCATCATTTAAGTACTGCCAAGATCCGGGTTAGAATTGGTCTTCAGAAACCAATGGTCAGGGTCGGGTGGTCAGGCTCGCTGACTTGGTTGATGCATGTCATCGATGCTCATGATGTCAATAACAGCATTGTCTGGTCCAGGCTTGATTATTTACAGACCACTGTCATATAGCTGAACTATTGCTGAGTGCGGCGTTAAACAACAAACAAACATCATTTAAGACTTAGGTAAAAACATGTGGAGTGAACCTGTGTCCTGTTGTCGACGGTTGTCAGTGACTTGGTTTATGTCATCTTAACAAATAGGGAAATTCCTCCTAATATCTCTCTGGTTTGTCTTGCCCTAGCTTGTTTATTACAGGCTCCTGGACTATGGCTGTGGTGTTAAACGAGCAAAATAATTTGTGAGACTCTGTTGTCACAGGAGCCATTCATAGCTGCTGTCTATCTATTAGTACTAGGGGCGGTCAGGTAGCCTAGTGGTTAAAGCGTTTGCTCGTCACGCCAAAGACCGACATGGGTACAATGTGTGAAGCCCATATCTGGTGTCTCCCGCCGTGATATTGCTGGAATATTGCTAAAAGCGGCGTAAAACCATACTCACTCACTCACTCTATTAGTACTATTCTTCATCTAGACATGAGTTGATTGGTAATCTGCTTGCAAGTAACAGGAACTGTACTTTTTTGCAGTGATGTGGCCGAGTTTGAACAATCCTTCTCCTTTGCTTGCCCCAAGTTCCTGTCCCCAGTGCCACCTAACTACGATGGCGGGGGCAGCAACTACCACAAGGTGAGTACAAGGTCAAATACAAGGATTGTGGTACAATTGTCAATTTGTTGTAGAGACCCGAGCAGGTCCTAGTACCAAATCCTTGCTTGCCTGTTTATTTACGGGCAGCAGTAATATAAGTAAGCCTGACAGTCCTAGATTGTCTATTTTACCGACGGACAGTCAGTTTTAAAAAGTTGCACACCCGATGGTCAGGGGTTAAAGTTGCTAAGTTGGCTATCCACCAGTTCATTTTATTTTCTGAGAACTTACATTTAACAGTACTATTCTTACGTTTACCCTTTTCTTACTTTTGTTCGTTAGCCTAGAAAGTTCTGGACTGGCAACATTTTATCTGGCAGGGTAACTTTGCAATGTTGCCAGTCCGGTTGTCTTGACTGAAACTTTGGGGAATTTTATACTCTGAAGTACTGTCTTAAACAATAATAATACTTTGATTAATGTGAAAAATGACTAGAGTCAGTCTGTCTCCTACAGATGGGGAATCCGAGGTAGAACTGCTCCCTTGCTTGTCACTGTTGTAGTGAGTCATTGTTGTTTTATGCCTCGGTAGGCAATGATGTAAATTATAGAGTCTCTGGACCAGAGAAATCAGTGGATGACACAGCCTGGGCAATTTCCCTTCAGTCATGCTACAATGACACACCATTAGTCAGTTCTCACATTGTAACCACTTTATCTTGGTTTGACTAATCTCCTACATGTATGAGGCACTTTGGATCAATTCTTCCCCTGAATCCCTGGCTGCTTGTTATGACAAGAACATTAACATGTGGTGGACTGGTTTGAACCTGGTACACATGTGACCACCATGGAAGACAGATATCATTTTCACCTGTCAGAAGAGTCAGTGTTCCTTCTATCAACCATTAACTTAGACTGCAGGTTACACATCGAGCCCATGTGATATTGTTTTCGACAGTGATGTCAATATAATAAGATAATGTTTGGATAATGTTTGGATTTTGTTCGGATTTTGTTCAAACTGACTTGCTGAAAGATTATGACAAGCTGTTCTGAAGTACATGCTGTGTTGTTGCTGCAGGAGCCGTTCCAGCTGCAGTTGACGGTGTTCCAGGAGGAGGTTCGGCAGCAGATCCTTGTGCCCACCATCAGGAGGTAAGAGCCTTCCTAAACATTGAGGGGGCACAGGTATTTATCTTAGGCGATGCAATTCACTGTGATAAGTTCTGTCCCTCAGGCCTACCAGAAACCGGAGTATCGTGGGTTTAAATGTCAGCTGTATGCCCATTTCATTGGTTTCTATGAAGTGGTCAATGTTTAAGACCTGCATTCATTTGAGCTTTCCTCCATCAACATAAAATGGAATGTTGACACCCTTAATGGTCTTCAAATCGAGCCAACACGCCATGTTCTGACTGAAATACTGTTCGAAGCTGTGTTTAAACCAAGGTCATTCACACTGAACAGTTGAGCAGAACCATACTGTACTGTTCCAGATTCTGATTGATGTCTAGATATTGTTTCTATGTAATAGAATGGTAAGAATAGAGTAATAACTACCTGATAGATTGATATCAATCATCAAATTTGAGTTTGTATAGAAACAGAATTGGTTTAAATAACTTGCTAGATCTGCCAATTGGCCCAAGCCTATTCCCCTTTACCACCCTATGAATGACACTGTAGTGTTATAACTTAACAAATAATTGCATGTTGAGCCCTTTAATAGTCTTCCCCTAATTGTTTTTCAGTTACCTGAAACTTTACACGACTCTGCCCATCTCAAAGCTAGCGGTCTTCATGGATATGGTGAGTTGAGATGTAGTTAGACTGTTGCCTCTCTCAATCATGAGGGGTACAGGTGGCCCAGTTGTCTGAGGTGCAGTAATTCGCTGTGAAGAGTTGTGTCCTTTGGGCACACCGGAAGCCGCCGGATTGAATCCCACCTCACCCTGATTATGTTTCTAGGTTTGTCAGCACCATGTGGGTTTCATGTCAGTTGTAAACGTCTAAGACCTGCATGAGGGCTCTCCTCCCACACTTTGATATAACTGAATACTGTTTAAATCTGTGTTATGGAGTATGTGACTTCAAGGTAGTAATCTCAGACCATTGGTGTCAAATGTGTAGATACCAAACAAATAAATTACTGGACACCCTTGTGATATCCTTAGTATCACAATCTGTAAATTTGGCCTTAATCATTGTTCAATATTGTATTTCAGTCAGAGGAGCAGCTGAGGACTCATCTCATGTGTTTCAAGGTATGTGATTCCCAGAACAGAATATTCCATGACAGGCTGCGATATAACTGAAACAAATCTACATGAAGATTAAGTTAACTAAGCCACACATGAAAAACAGTATGAAACTCTGATCACTCTTTTTTCCCCTATGGGAGAAGTGTTTGCCCAGGGTTAGCCTTCTTCTGTGTACAAATGCATGGTCAGATAACCGATTTAATGTCCTTGTGTTGTTTAAAATGCTGCGATATGAGTTGCCAGATCTGGACATACATTTACACATTTGCTACTTTTGATTCTATCAGGATAAATACCCTGGCCCCATTCACCATCAAAGCTTTATTTTAAACTGTATTCAAAAGACACTCCATTAAAAATATTACACTCATGAGTGAGAGAATTCCTCTGCTAAGTTGGTGATTAGAGAGGGAATGGCGACTTCACTTCAGAAACAAAACTTTGATGGTAAATGGGTCTTCATCTTATTTGAATGGAGAAATAATAATCTGGCAGATCGAGGACGACTCACGACATGCATACATGGACACACTGCCGGTCACCATATGCTGGGGACACGGGTGGCCCAGTCATCTAAGATGCCCAAGTTTGTTGTGCAGAGTAGCATCCCTTGGGTGTGCTGGAAACCTATAATCATGGGTTTAAATCCTGCTTCACCCTGATAATGTTTTTGAGTGTCAGCACCATACCCATGCTGGTGAGTTTCACCAAGTGGTAAACATCTTAACATCTGCCTGTCATCAGGCTTTCCTTCCACCAAACTGAAATACAGCAAACTCACTGGCTGACTCCATGTTGCAGCACAAGATGAAGAACCTGGTGTGGACGAAAGGCACAAGTGGGCTCGAGGGAGAATTCCAGTCGGCTTCAGAAGTGGACTTCTACATTGATAGGGTATGTCATCATTTTCGGCTCAGTTTGGGACTGTACACTGATTGCAAGGTTACTATCATTTCAGGTAAAATTGTAGACAAATCTTTGGTACCAAGATATGTCCTTGAAGTTATTCGTATGTGTTCCCAAGAATAATTACAGCAGAGATACCAACCATGATGATACTGGTATAATAGCTATGATTTGGAGCCTAAACTTAAGCTATAAAATATCATTGGGAGCAAATTGTCAATGCACCTGTGACATGAAGCACTCTACAACAAGACTTATCTGACCAATGAGAGCCATGCTTTCAATTCACAGTACTAAGTGATACAAGGTTGGCTGGCTGGCTTGTTGTTTAAGGCTGCACTCAGCAATATTCCAGCTATATGGTGGCGGCCTGTAAATAATTTAGTCTGGACCAGATAATCCAGTGATTAATACAAGGTCACTGATTGTTTTTTATGTTAAATAACAGTCAAGTCATTTTATCCCTTGATCTTTGCGGGTGCTGACTGGGAGCGAATCGCTTGTACACCAATGTTACTAAAGAACCCCACATTATTTTTCTGAAAAACAGCGGTTTAGTTTTTCGTGATGAATAATATTATGAATGAATGTCACTTTGAGGTGTATCACTTAATTACCTCTAGGCCTGATGAAAATGTCAAAATGAAACAAGTATAAGAGATCCTCAAAGATGACGATCATGGTCAAAGATGACGATCATGGACCATTATAAACTTCACTCTTAAAGGGCAAGTTCACACGGAAATGAACCTATTTTTCTTGTACTTTTTCCACATTAAAAGTGTTAACCTAGAAGTGTCATAGACAAAAATATAAAAATATCACAATTAATTAACATATTTTTCCCATTAAAACGATTTATATTTTTCACATTTACCAAGTGTTCTATTTCCACAACAAAAACACCATGGCTTATGCCCCTTGCAATATGATGTCATTGGTGCCAATTGATAAACATTATGACGTCATTATGCTTTGTTAGAGCCGCTTCACATGGTGTAGGTCCAGGTGTGTGATTCTAGCGTCTCAGATGCCAGCCAGCATAGTGTTATGCTGAGTCACCACTGAGCCGGAGTGTGTCGTAGGCCAAGTTGTTTTACCGCAAACTGGTACTTGATATCTTTTGCGTTGAGAATAGACAGGGACCCAGTTGAATTGGCACCAATTACGTCATAATGTAAGGGGGATAACTCAGGCCTGTTTAGCTCGAAAAACGAAGGCCTCATAACGGCATATCATTTTCACACTATTGTGAGCTTCCTACTTTCACTGTGAAAATGAGTGTAAATTTTCAAACACAGATACTAATTAATTCTAAAATTGCGTTTTGTTTAGAAAAAGAAAGAAAGTGATTTTTGCGTGTAAACTTCCCCTTTAATCTTCAATTCGGGTTGGCATCTCTTTGTACAGGTTTCCACACCCACCAGGTTTCACTGTTTACATGAGTTGTACCTGAATGAAACACAAACTGTGACATTTTCTATTGGATAACCGTACAGGTTTCCACACTCACCAGGTTTCACTGTTTACATGAGTTGTACCTGAATGAAACACAAACTGTGACATTTTCTATTGGATAACCATACAGTTTGGTTTGATGTCAAAACAAAACAAAAACAAATGTAAATTTTAAATGTGTACTGCAGTTATATGCGGGTGGTGCATATTTCAGGAGATGATTCATGTCGCCGACACGAAGGTTGCTAGAAGATATGGAGACTTCTTCATCAGACAGATTCATAAGTTCGAGGAGGTAAGCATCAGAAGCATAATTAAGTTGAAATGCATGATATTATTTAGCTGAATATGAAATGACTTGTATTCAACCAATTCATGTTCAAACTTAAATGGACCCGTGAAGATCCGGGGTAGAATTGGTCTTCAGCAACCTATGCTTGCCATAAAAGGTGACTATGCTTGTCGTAAGAAGCGACTAACAGGATCGGGTGCTCAGGCTCGCTGACTTGGTTGAAGCATGTCATCATATCATATCATGCTCATGATATCAATCACTGTATTGTCTCGTTGAGACTCAATTATTTACAGACCGTCATCATATGGCTGGAATATTGCTGAGTGCGGCGTAAAACAACAAACCAACCAAATCAAACTTAAATGGTCAATTCTTGATTTGATTGTTGTTATACATGATGCTTTGCTTGAGGTTTTATGACTTTACATTTTACCCTTTCAGATTTCACGGACACTTAAACCTTCACAGCCGTAACGGAACAGTGTTTTGCAGCAATTAGCAACCCAAATTCTGGATATTTAAGATGTATTTAAAATAATGGTATCTGATTTATTCAACTTCAAATATAATACCTTGAAAGCATGGTCTTGTATCTTGTGGTTTTAAAGTGTACAAGCATGTATTAAAACATGACATAAGAATTTAGGCTGAAACCAACATCACAAATTCTGAAAATTTATCTGAAATGTATTCGAAATAATGGTACTGGATCCATTGAACTTGAAATATCATACTTTCAAATTATGGTCTTGTATCTTTCAGTTTCATTGTGTACTAGTATGTTAATAATCACACGACATAAGAATTAAAATAAACTGACAAAGAAATGTTGCTGTACCATTTTTTTCCATGGATCTTTGTTTTTCTCGGTTGATTAAAAAGTGAGTGTTTAGTTTTAAGTAGCAGTCAGCAATGTGCCAGCTATCTAAATAATCGGGTCTGGATCAGTCAAACAAGTGACTTAGGCATCACCAATGATCCAGACCCAATGATCCAGACCACTCCTTGGTCTATTAGACTGAGCGTTTGCCCGGGAACAAGGACTGGTCGGCTCGGAGTCATAGTGTCAACCAAGCGCTTTCCATATATCTAGAACTCATAGATTTCACGGACACTTAAACCTTTACAACAGCCTTAATGGTAAAGAGTGTTTTGCAGCAATTAAAACTCAAATTCTGGATAATTAAGATGTTTCAAATAATGGTATCTGACTCATTCAACTTGAAATATCATACCTTGAAAACATTGTCATCTTCTTGATAACTAAAATTGATTCTTGAACATTTAGTTCGGCAATATAAAATAATGCAGTGCCACTACACACCTAGAAATCAAGTGTCTACCAGCAAACTTTCTAAGAAACTTTGAATTTTTTTTATGGGGTTACTATAAGGGGGGTAAAGTTTGTTCATGACATCGGTCTTGGGAGTTTAAAAAAGTTTCCCGGTTGCCAAACCATCTTTGAACATTCCTTCTTCAAAACTTGGAAGGCTAGCTAGGTGGGAATAATAACTTTGTTAATTACATTTTTACATGACCTTGACACAGGGCAATTATTAAAGGTGATTAAGATTGATGTATCATCAATCATTGAATGGTTTCCTGAATTGAGCACCAGGATGCTGTTGTGCAAAGCAAACTTGGCGCTAAGGTAATCGTAACTCCCATACCTTTGCATAGACTTACAACAGTCGTTGTGCTAAGGTTGTTTTGTACAACAGCACCCAGGAACATCATGAATCATCATCAAATGAAGTGACAGGTGACCTTACCAATATCTATATCCATCTTTGATACTTAATGTCAAAATCAGTACCCAAAATAACACTTCAGTTTTAATGACATTATGAAAACAACTTAGAAACATCAAAACAAAGCCCAATGACTATTTACCTAAATATTTCCAAACAACGTAAAAAAATAATATGATTATCTGCCAAAAAGCGATTCCATTTGGCATAAAAGACAAAATAGTGATGAAAATTAAGTGAATGGATCACTGAAAATCAGTGCTGAAAGGTGTTTGCATAAGAAAATTCTATGCACTTCAAGTTCTTTACCTCGACCGTTAATATTGGCTGATAACATGCTTGATTATTTCTATTTGAAAACATGAGTAAAAGCTTTCCTAAACAGTTTAGTTTTTTATCCCCCGCCAGGCCAGACTGGCCGAAGGGGGGATTATGTTGTGGCGCAGGACTTCCGTCCCACAGAGGATACTAAGCTTGTGAAATCAACTCATCCTACAGTTTCCAGAGAATATCCCTGAAATTCTACACACAAGATGTCGACATGTTGATGATACTATAGCAGTCCCGTTTCATTTCGACTAATTTTGGCAGAGTTACTGCCCCTGTTTTACGGAGTTTCATTTGCCTAATTGTGAGATAGGTACTAAGCTTGTGAAATCAACTCCTCCTACAGTTTCCAAAGAATATCCCTTACACTCTACACACAGGAGATGTCGACATGTTGATGATACGCATAATGCAGTACCGTTTCATTTCGACTAATGTTGGCAGAGTTACTGCCCCCGTTTTACGGAGTTTCATTTGCCTAATTGTGAGAGGTACTAAGCTTGTGAAATCAACTCCTCCTTCAGCTTTTAGAGAATATCCCTGACACTCTACACAGAAGATGTCAACATGTTGATGATACGCATAACGCAGTACCGTTTCATTTCGACTAATTTTGACAGAGTTACTGTCCCTGTTTTATGGAGCTTCATGAAATCTACTCCTCCAGTTTCCAGAGAATATCACAATATCTAACTATAACTATCATGACTATAGTTAGTTTCCTTGTATAAGGCTTTTCTGGGTGAACTACAACCTTATGGCATTAGCATTCAGACTTGATTAATCCCAACAAAATGTTCTGCACAATTTGTTTCAAATGCAGTGCCATCTACTGTTGTTATTTCATAAGTTGTTATTTAATAAAATACAAAGAAAATATCATATCATAACTCGTTAAAAAAATTCATGTGGGGGATGTTGTGCTCTCTTGTTTTGTTTTGGTTAACGCCACACTCAGCAATATTCCAGCTATACGATGGTGGTCTGTAAATAATCAAAATCTGTACCAGACAATCCAGTCCAGTGGTTTCACATGAACGTCAATCCACGCATTTGGGATCGATAACATGTATCAACCAAGTCAGCGAGCCTGAGCACCTGATCCCGTTGGTCGCCTTGTACAACAAGCATAGTCGCCTCTTACGGCAAGCATGGGTTGCTGAAGACCTATTCTACCTAGGATCTTCACCTAAACATGTCATACAATCACAGGTTGGTTCACTACACAAAGGGGAGACAATTTCAGTGACCTTGACCTTCAATAATCATACCAATTCCATGGCTCAGCTTGAGGATATGTACCAAATTTAATGTGCACTAAACTACTTAAGATTTCCAAAGAACTTTCCAGCATAAAAACCAAGTCTTGGTGGAATATCATGCATTATGACCTTCAAACATATGCAGAAATAAGCATTTCAGTGAAAACTGCAAAACATACACGAATTATCTTCACTGTGACCTTGACCGCAAAACAAGAGTATAAAGAGATGATATCCATGAATACAGCACAGCTGTAGAGATGTGCTGCATACAATACAGATGTGGAGACAAGGTTACAAATTGGGTGTACACAATTATTTTACAAATTTCCAAAGTGTTAAGTTTCATTAAACAACCAGTTAATGCTTCCCAAGTTAAGCAGTCAAATCTTTTTCCAAAGCTGTGGCCTTGACAAAACGATCCTAGTGTGACAGTTGTATAGTATGGGAGTTAAAATCTATAAAGCATCTTTAGATTACGGTTTATTATTGACTAAACTTTTCTCATTAAAGAAACTTTCCAAACATGCCTATTATACACTTTGGTTAGTTGGAAAGCCAGACAGATATGGGAACTTATTTTTGAAGAATTTAACTGTTGGAAATCCATTTTTATAAAACCTTTCAAAATAACTAAAGATACAAAGCTTCCGTGGTTTCAGTTCAGGATAATTCATAGGATACTTACAACAAACTCTTTTCTATTTTATATCAAGAATGCGGACAGTGATCAATGCACTTTTTGCAGTGATGATAGAGAAACGATTGTCCATCTCTTGTCGGAGTGGGATATTGTACAGAATTTCTGGAAACAATTTATGAGCTGGATAAATGACAAATGTGTACCAATTCATAATCTAAATCTTTCAGCAGAATTTAACATTTTTGGCTTCCAAGAAAATCTTATAACTGATAAAGTGTTTGTAGATAAAATATTCTGTGAACAGGATGATAAAATCAGATGTCGAGTTTAAAATATACCACTGAATACAGTTTTTAATGAATGAAATCAAACTTCTATATAAGATAGAGAAAAGATTGTTCTTTGTCCATAAACAGAGGTTTGGAATTTAACAGACTGGATGATGTACCACAACCTTTTTGAGTTTTAGGATATGTATATATTAATATATATGCTTGTGTACATGCGTATATCATGGTATGCCCGTGTCACTGTCTTCATTTCCGTATCATTCCACAGAAACCACTGATTTGAGATCTTTTTGAGAATATAATGTATGTGTGTATGAGAGTGCTTGTGGCGTCCCTGTGTGAGTGAGTGAGTATGGTTTAACGCCACTTTTAGCACTATTCCAGCAATATCACGGCAGGGGACACCAGAAATGGGCTTCACACATTGTACCCATGTCGGGAATCGAACCCGGGTCTTCGGCGTGACGAGCGAACGCTTTAATCACCAGGCTACCCAACCGCCCCTTTGTGACACATACTGTACATTTACTACACTGACCATCAGTGTCTGCCAAGTCAAATGTAATTTCCTAACATGCTCAATCGAATAGGGCTGTCAAGGACAATGTACTTTATCAAAATTAACTTAAAAAAAACCTATGAAATGTTATTAAAGAGACCCCCCCCCATCAACAAGTCTGACCACCAGTGTATATATATATATATATATATAAATGCAAAAACATGATAGCTGTGGTACCCAATTTTTTTGTGGTAGGATTGTAATGTTTCATGTAGAAAATAATCTTGCTTAAGAAACTGAAAACAACAAACCTTGAAGGCTCGGGCATATCTGTTCAACTAAATATCATGACCAAAACCCTTGCGAAAGCTGACCCCAACTCATGCAAGTTTATAGATAACTGCGTTAACTTTTGAGAGTAACCACAAAGGTGTCCTCCCCCGTTTCGTATTTTTCGTAATGACTTTGCCATCATGCCACATAAGACATTATAAGCATCGTACTTTTCGACCAAAACTGGAATATTGTACACCAAAATCATGGTTATCATTGGTCTAACATTTCCTTTTTTTACAACGAAGTTTCTTAGATATTGATCCATGAACATGTTCGCAACTGTCCCTGATCCAAGGAGGAATGTGTCCCGTTTTCAAGCCAATATTTCATTGTTTAATCTTGGATGGATTGTTCTGATAGTTTTTCAAAATGTGGGTTTTGTTCCAGGCAAAGGACACATTAGCATGGTAATGAATGTATACGCACTAATGAGAAAGATGGAGGTTGAAGTGAGACAATTGGAATTTTAACATTGTGTTGAGATAATTGTACTTGTATAATAATGTGCATGCGCGTGATTACTTTTTCTAGTCTGGACTAACGTCTATTTTATAAAGCTAACCCACCCACAGTATACTCGGCCCAAACATTGTTTTAGCCAAGTTCCATCTTTTAATGTCTTTTGGAATGAAGCTGTATGGGATCGAGTCCTACATGTGCAATGTGGTTTCTATTTAGTGTACCTGAATGCTGCACCAGGTATAGTCAATACAAAGTAAAATATAAACA